TTGGGACTGCAAGTGAAACAATCAGCTGATGGAATATTTGTTTCACAAAGCACTTATGCCAAGAATTTAGTTGAACGTTTTGGTCTCGCCAAGAGTAAAGAGGCGAAGGTCCCAATGAGTGTGACTGACAAGCTCTCAAAGGATGAAGCAGGAGAGGATGTTGATGAACGAGTTTACAGAGGAATGATCGGGAGTCTGTTGTACTTAACTGCCAGCAGACCAGACATCTGTTTATCTGTTGGAATCTGTGCTCGGTATCAAGCCAAACCAAAGAAGTCTCATTTGTTGGCTGTTAAGAAGATCATCAAGTACATCAAGGGGACTGTAAATCTTGGAATATACTACACCAAGGATACAACCAGGAGCTTGACAGGCTACTGTGATGCTGATAGGGCTGGTTCATTGGATGATCGTAGAAGCACAAGTGGTGGATGTTTCTTCATGGGCAACAACCTGATTTCATGGCACAGCAAGAAACAGAACAGTGTTTCTCTGTCAACAACAGAAGCCGAGTACATTGCACTGGGAAGCTGCTGCACTCAACTCATGTGGATGAAACAAATGGTTGCTGACTATGGTATGGATTCTGAAACTCTTTTAATTCATTGTGATAACCAAAGTGCAATCAACATAGCTAAGAATCCTGTTCAACATTCACGTACTAAGCATATTGATATTAGACATCATTTTATTCGTGAACTTGTTGAGGCGAAACTGATTGTGGTTGATCATGTGAGTACAGAATTTCAACTGGCTGATTTGTTTACTAAACCATTGGATTTTAACAGATTCGTGAATCTGAGAAAATCCATTGGGATTTGTGAGATCTAACTTTCTCTGTGAGCTGTGCTGATCTAAGACAAGGTTGGAGCAAGAACAGACCATGGAAATCCTAAGAATGAATAGAAGATCAGCACCCTATACTTCGGTTTAAAGAGAGTGGAAAATAGCTACCTGTCATGCCAACTCTTGTGGACATTCCTGTAAAACGTTGTCGTGATAACGGAGGTCAAAGAGCTGAGGAGAGGTGGAAGTGTGCATGTCACGAGATGTACTTGGAATTGTGATACATCACTAAGTCAATTCCAGTACTCTATTAATGGAGCTCTGAATATGCTATTGAAGACATGCACAAGGATCAGTGGTTTAGAAGTCAAGTGATATCATTGATCCACAAATCAGAAGGTTTAACAGAGGCTTGGTCAAAAATCAACGATCTGAGAGAAGGCTCTGCCTGACTGTTAAATCATAGCTCCACAGGTAGTGTGTTAAACAAAAAAAAAAAAGGGAAAAAGAAAAAAAAAGAAAAAAAAGAAAAGAAAAAGGGTTTAACACACTTCTGGTCCTGCACTCTCCAAAGGTTATTCCAGCTGCATGTTCATGTTGGGTTTGGAAGCTTGAGTTAAAGGTATGCCAGAGTGAAAGACTAGCCACTGAACTCAGAGCTGATCTGTCAAAGATTCAGAAGGTTGTGGTAGTTTCTAGCTCTGTCCTGAACAAATGGTTGGCACAGAACACAGACGAGAGAGAGACTCAAGGTACATATTTTTGAATGATTTTATGTTAATACTTCCAAGTACTCATATGTTAATTATCATTCTGGGTCCCTAAAGCATGTTCATGAGTAAATTGAGTCTTGCTAAAAGAAAGTTATTTGAGGGTCTGTTTTGAGCTCAAGAATGTAAAAAAAAAATGGGTTGCAAATCGGATTTGAGGCTTGAATGATAAGTGTGCACTAATGGGTTTATTAAGTGTTTCAGGTTCGTGGGTTATTCAAGTTAATTCAAGTGAGGCCCATTTGTTCTTTAAGCCCATGATGTTGTGAAGTGTATTTAGGAGGGAAAAGATAGGGCTACGACCTAGTCGGGGAAGTTGAAAAGTTTCAAGATTGATCATTGTTCTTTTCTCTCTCAAGTCCACGATTTCAAAACCCTAAGCCAAGTTTGATCAGAATGATGAGGTCCATCTTCAGTGGCATTCAGAAGCTCGTGTCGAGTCAGTCGCCAGAAACCGATACATCTCTGCCGGAACAACCGTCGCCGCCGAAAGAAGATCAAGTCACCGATCCGCAGAGATCTGAGTCGCCCGCGCCGAATACCCAGCTGGTTCCGTATACAGTGATCTTCCCTGAATCGGAGACCCAAGAAATAGAGCCGCTTGCTATTTCCAATTCTCCGGTGGATGTTGATGGGGATTGCGACTCTTCAGCTCACCCTCGGGTTTCACAGCCGACTGATGCGAATGAACCGGTTCGCAACCCGCAGATTTAAGAGCTCTCGGATGATTCCGACTCGATTCAACTAACCGGAACCACGAGACCGTCTATTTTGTCCCGGATGATGAAACGCAAGAAGTCGATTGCGATGCCTTCTGAGCAGAAGAAGAAGCGACAGGCAACCCGAGGAAAAGGAGCGGCTGTCAAAGACGAGCATTCATTGGAGTTTGATCAAACTCGGTTCGGGTCTGCTGTTGCGTTTCAGAGGTACGGTTCTTTCAATTCCCGGAAATTGCATGCTGAATTGAACATCACCTTTGGTGAAATTGATGAGGTTAGGGATCTGATTTATGCTGCGGGGTTGCTTAGAACTGTTTCTGAGAGCAAGCCTTTTGATCCTCAAGTTGTGTATGAATTTTGGGCGAATCTGCCAACTGTTGAGCTAGAGACAGATTCCGCAGAAGTGATGGTCCGGAATTGGGTGTATGAGTTTAGTCCTGACAGGATTAATGCGTTGTTTGGACTGCCAGCTGTGGATGAGCGCACAGAACAACGGCATATGGCTGAAGTGATTACCTCCGACATAGCTCTCTTTGTGTCTGGAGGTAAAGCCAAGGTCTTCAAGCAGTTCCAACTGTCTAAGGTTGAGGACAACAACACGAAAGATCTTCTCAAGATCTGTTGTACCAACTGGCTGCCTACTGCTAATGATGGGTATGTCACTCCTGACAGAGCCAAATTGGTTTACAAGGTGATGCATCAGAAGCCGTTTGATTTTGGGAGGATGGTCTTTAAACTGATCATCAACATGGGTCTAACCCCTGTCTCAAAGTTGTGCCTGCCGTTTCCCAGTTTGATTTATCAGCTGATTCCGTCACAACACCCTGTGCATCCGGATGTATCTCAGCCAGTGCCAAAGTCCAACAAGAAGGGCAAAGTGAAGAGAGGACAGACGGCTGAGGTTCCAGTGTGCTCTTCAGATGATCGCAAGGCTTTCCGTCGTGCAATTCAGATCATGCAGCGTATCATCGATGCAGGTAAGTGTTTCTTCTTTCAATCTGTCATTCATGTGATCCATAAGTTACTTGTTTTTGACTTAGTTGTGCAAACAAGAAGGGGGAGATGATTCTGATTCTGATGATCATAGGACTGGTTGATTTGTGGGGGAGCATTTGTCCTGGGGGAGCAGGTGCTGTTGTTGCTGTTTGTTTTTGGTTGTTAGCAACAATGTATTTTTATTACAGAACCTTGTTTCGTTAGCTTTTGTGTCTGTAAAATGTTTAAACATGGCTTTTTAGGATTTCTTATTTTGGGATTTGTGCTAGTTATATTGCTAGATGTTTTCTTTGTTGCTGTGTTTTGGTGTTGTCTCTCTGTGACTTTCAGGTTTATCACAAAGGATGCTTGATTATCAAACTAAGTCAAAAAGGGGGAGATTGAAGATGCAGTTCCAGAACAGCTTGCTGTGAAGATCAGGAAGCCGCATCTGTTCAGACGCCTGAGACCACATCAGACGCCTGGGATCACATCAGACACTTGAAGTTGCTGACATGGAGTCGTGAGATGACGTGGCAAAGCTTAAGTGGATGGAGTGACGTGCTAAGGAAGATTTCTTGCTTGGCAGCAAAGATAGAGACGAATTGCGTGTGAAGATATGGTGAATATTCTTCACATCAAATAAGGAAAGGATAAGCTTGACAAGCAAGTATATTCCGTTTCCGTGAGATCCTCGAAGATCCTAGGGTTAGGGTTTCGAGTAGTGAGTATAAATAGTCTAGGGTTTGGCCACGAGCCATTTTGAACACTTTAGATTTTTTGTACGTGATTGTATACTTCGAAGCTAGCAAAACAAAAAGCTGAGAAGGTGAGTGTTTGTTTTCTCTTGGGACTACACGGGTGTAGGAGAGATAGGTTTAGTGCTCGTTCTTTAGTCGGGTTCAATTCTATTGGTAGGAATAGATTGAGTAGGAGCCGAGACAAAACTGTATCCTAGGAAAAGATAAATTTTGTTAATAAAGATCGAAGGAGAAAGCGTTTGCTTGGCGCGTTCCAAGCTTAACTGTCTGTGCGTTTCTCTATACATTTTCAAAATAGGTAGACGAAAAAGGGACATAATAACTTCCGCTAAACAAGGTTAGTAAATAAAGACAACGTAATGATTTGTATTTAGTATGTTGCTGAATATTCAAATTTTAACACTACGTAAGAATTATTAGTCATTATTATTCGTTAGTGTAAAGTATCATCATCACGACACTACTCGTATAGTAGTATTGATGTAAAGCTGTAAACTATTGAGCAATTTAAAATTAAAGTAATTACGAAGCAAAAGAGTAACGTTCAGACCATACGGTCACGCGTGACTCAGTGGCTCTCTCTCTTTAATTTAAAATTTTTATTCTTCAAAAAGAAGTTTTCTAAAATAACCAAATTCATAATTAATCTTAAAAACTTTTGAATTAATAGTCAACTTCTAAGTTTCTATATAAAACATAGTAATACATTATACGTCAACTTACGTAATGACACCAAATGAGAAAGTAATAATAAGTCAATCAAGAAAACAAAGGAATCAATTAATAAATTTCCTGATCAGAGAGAGAGACTTGATTAAAACCAGAAATTAATTAATTTTGTTAATTAGGTTTTAATTCTGAGACTTTAATTAACTTACACGAAGGAGCAAAGAAAAAAAAAAAAGACAGTACAGTAGCCATGTTTTAATGACAATGGCTCTGCTTTCCACGTAATTAATATTACAAAATCTTTGCTCAGACACCCCAACTTGCTTAAAACTCATTTGGGTTTAGCTTCTTCTTCTTCTTCCTTCTTTCTTCTTAGATTCTCTGTAGCTGAACTGGATTCATGGATCCATCAACTCGTCTCTGTATCTTAATACAGTAAGGCCTCTGTTTAGTTTGTATTTACTCTGTTTTTACAAGCTTCCGAGAAGCATCAATGGCGGAGTTCATCTGTTTATTCGGAAAGGTTCATCTTTTAAGCTCTCTTCGTTTATATTTTTGTGATTAAGCTTATGGGTATATCTGCATGTATGTTTTATCTATCAAATCTACTAAAAACATCTGTTTTTTGTTTTGTTTGATTTCATGAAAAAAAAGTTAGTTTGGTTTTAGATTTAGTACTGATTCGATTCTTGTCTGATAATATGTTGTTTATTTGATTCTGATTTAAGGAAGAAGATTCAGTTAAACAGTTTGATTTAGGGTTTAGTATCAGTTCTTGATTTTGATGTTTTGGTTTGTTAACAGGACAGTGCAGCGATTGTTATAAAGCAACCAAAGAAATCACCATTGTTCTTAAGGATGATAGTTCTGGTGTTTGCTATGGTCTGTGGTCTCTACATTTGCTCCGTTTGCTTAAAACAGTTTGGTAATGTCAGTTTCCAAAGCTCCCAACTTGTGCAAACTAGTCCTATTGATTCTCACTCGTTACGCTTTGTTACTCGGATTCATTACCCAAAGCCACAGACTTTTAATAGGTAACTTATGTCACTTCTGTTCTTGTCAATGTTTTTGACTATGTATCCTTTGGTTGTTGAAATCTTTGTTTTTGGGTTTTTTCTTGAATCTAGAGATGAATGTGGGCATAATCCGGTGAGGTACTTTGCGATACTGTCGATGCAGAGATCAGGAAGCGGTTGGTTCGAAACGTTGTTGAATAGTCATAACAATGTAAGTTCTAACGGAGAGATCTTCTCGGTTTTGGATCGAAGAAAAAACATTTCTTCGATCATTCAGACTCTTGATAGAGTTTATAATCTTGATTGGTTTACGAGTGCTTCAAAGAACGAATGCTCTGCTGCAATTGGATTCAAATGGATGCTTAATCAGGTATAATAAACACACAAATCTTGAATCGTTACCGAGCCAGTTACTATCGGTTTTTATATAAGTTCTTGATCCGAATCCTTTGCAGGGTTTGATGGATAACCATAAAGAGATAGTTGATTACTTTAACCGAAGAGGTGTCTCGGCGATATTTCTATTCAGAAGGAATCCTCTAAGAAGAATGGTTTCTGTGTTGGCAAATTCTTATGACCGTTATGCTAAGCTATTGAATGGGACTCACAAGTCTCATGTTCATTCTCCGGAAGAGGTTTGTTTATCTTATGCATAGTTGCATACAAATGTTTTGTTTTTTCTGGATTCTTGTTTTCAATTGGTTTCTTGATTCTTTCGAATTCAAAACTGCAGGCAGATGCACTCTCTAAGTATAAGCCGGTAATCAACTCAACATCGTTGATCCACGATTTACAAGAAACAGAGAATTCAGCTGCAAAGGCATTAGAATATTTCAATACCACTCGCCATATCGTTGTCTTCTACGAAGATCTCATAACAAATCAAACGGTAAGATGTCACAACACAATCAAAGTTAGTGACTATACATTATTTTTTTGCTTTAACTCAGAATAACCAATGTTAAGTGCTTTTGGGGTTTTGATGCAGAAATTGAAACAAGTTCAAGAGTTTTTGAACATTCCTGTGAAGGATTTGTCAAGCAGACAGGTGAAAATACACAGAGGAGATTTGTCAGATCACATAAAGAACTGGGAAGATATAAACAAGACGTTGAACGGGACTGAGTACGAGAAATATCTAAGAGCAGATTATTAGTGTTTTTATAACTTATCTTAGAGAGACGTTTCTTCTACAATCAACTAAAAAGGGTTTGCAAAATGCAAAAAAAGGAAGTCTGATGTTTGAAGCTTTTCTACTTCTTCTTTAGGTTCTTCTGCTCAACTACTTGTTGATCTTTTCATTTTTCTTCATTTCATCTTAGAACAGATATGATTTTGTTTTGTATTGTTTTTTTAAAAATCTTCTCATTGGTTGTATAGGGATTGGAAAGTGTATTGCTTATTTTTAGATGTCAATTTAAGGTGTTTTATTTGTTTAGACTTTAGATTTTTAATTTCATTATGACTAGATGAAGTGGGCCTTGAGAATAGGCCCAAGAAGAAGACCATTCAGAATCCGTTATCTGCTTTCGATTATTCCAACTCTTCTTTACTTGAACATATTCGATTTCTTGTGACCTTCACATGATTCATGTTTTGTTTCTTTTAAGTAGAGAATTAAATGGGTTCACGAGAAGTTGTTTGCATTCATCTTACAATTCTAAATAGCTCAGAAACAAGAGTACATGTACTACTAAGTAACCTTGAATTTTCCTTTTGTTTTGTAATTGACTTTGAGTGAGATTACTACAAATGCACATAAACAAGAGTACGTAGATGGTTTCACGTGAGCGGTGAGTTTCGTGATACACTGTTTTATTCAATATCATGCAGTCTTATACGACGACATGCTATTTCGCGTATACACATTCTCTTGATATGTGAGTGATATTATTTTACTTGGTTACACGTTAGTTGATCAAACCAACACAATTACAAGGAACTAAAGATTTTGGCTTTTACTAATTTGCTATTAAAACTAATTAACTAACACATCTACCTAACTGATCATTAGAAACAAGTGGGCTATTATTATTCTTTAATCACTGTCCTCTTCTTTAATTAGTTTTATGAGAAAGTATCATATCAGTGAATTAAACTAAGGTTGTACACTTGTAGTACTACTACATATCAAATCAGAGAGAATAATATCTCAGCTTTCATTATATAAAGATTCACTTTGGCCTTTGGGGCAGGAAGTAACTAAAGAAGCTTGGAAATAGTGTAGTTTAATTGAAAAGATGCCTATAAACATACCAAAAAAAGGAAAAAGAAAAAACAAAGAAAGAGGGAAAAAGCAAGAGTGAATGTCTCTGAACCGCTAAAATTTTGAGACTTGGCCAGGCCAACACTTTAAGGTTGGAAAGGTGAGGAGAGTGCAACAGCCTTACAAATCTTTGATCGTGACTTGTGATTCCTTATAAAATTGATTCGTTCGTGATGCTTTTTTTTAATTAATATTGGAATCAAAGTGACCTTTTACTAAGAATATATGTTATGCGACAGTTCATAAAATTAGGCATTTTTTGTTTGTTTGTTGTATAAACTAATCGAATGGAATTCAAAAAGAAAAACAAAGAGTATATACTAATTGAAAATTGTTTAAAGTAAAGCACAATCATTATGTTGTTATACTTATATTAACATGGATTGCTCATAATTAACTAATGAAGAGAGAGTTAAACATCTACGTTATATATCTTTGATGCTTACTTCCAAATCACATTATTAATTCTCTCCTAGGACACAATCACACACACGTACGTGTAATTTTCAAATTGTTTCTCTCCATTTGTTTTGACTTCCTTAAGCCATATATATACACTTTTTGATACCTTCACATGTTTAAACGATTCATTTATGTAAAATACCTCCCACGCATACAATATCAAAGAGGTAGAGAAGTTGAGTAATGGTAGAAATTATATGATCAAGACAAAAGTTTCCAATATTACAACGAAATTTAAAACCAAGGTTAAATAAGAGAAAAAACACATTAACGTTTTGCAAAGATATCTCTCGAGCGTTTCATTATGAAAGAGAACAACTTGATAATACATGCATTGTATGTATGAAGACATAAATAGGAGCCTGGGGTGGCGGAGGCTACGGTAGGTCCCTTAGTGGAACTTCCCTGTGTGCAGGAGCCAACCAAATTTTAAAGCTTTGTTTCACTTTTCAACATGTCCATGAATTCACTATTTTGTTTCTCCTTTTATAAATCCCTTTTCCCGTAGTATCAAGTGGTCTATGTAGAAACATGCATGCGCATTGTTTAACCAATATTGTAATTCTTCGATTTCCAAACTAAAAGAGTTCGAACGGTTACAACGATTTGGACTGGAAAATTTCATTTATACATGTTTATTTAGTATTTATTAAATTATAGTTTGTCGTGGTATAAACCGAGAGAAATAGAAAATAGATGCTAGTTCGAAAACATATGATTAATACCGCTATATCATTCACATATTACAAAAGCTGTTAGCAAATAGGTATTATGTCCTGAAAAATGCTAAAGTTTGAAGAGATTGACATGAAATAATTAAGCATAGGAATCAAATTTTGAGATCTGAATGTCTCTACTAAGTATATTCTCTTATGTTTTTCTTTTGTGTTCTAATAGTCAATGGCAATCATATTGATTCTTTTTGTTTGTCAACACGGTAATTATAATTGATTAAACTCTTAAACTATTATGATATTATGTCCTACATATCTATATATATTAAAAGGGTTTAATTAGGTGAAGACCAAAAAAAGTGAAGTGAGTGGTGAAGTGACTCGTAGGGACCATATAGTGGTTTTGTGTTGATGGTGATGGTGCCTTTGACATTATTCTACTGAATCTATTGACTACTTTCACTTTTCTATAATTTGGTTTATTATTTATTCCCTCTTTTGATTTGTTTTTTTTGGCACTATTATTTATTTGGAAATGGTATATTCTTTGAAAGCATGGCGGCGTTGTTGTCGGACACATGCGAGTTCGAGTTGGCAAGGAAACTAATAACACCCACAAACATATACCAAGTCGATAAAATGGTTCTAATATAGCCATTCTCGCCCCCCCATTTGAAGACTCATTTTTAGTTCATGAGTTTCAAAACCAAGAGCAACCTCTTTTTTTTTCCATCTCATATATGATCTTACCATAGTACCATGTAAGAAATTATAACGATGTACATATCGTTTATCAATCTCACAAATTCGAAACCAACAAGAGAGGTACGTAACAATCTCTGAAAATTATTGAGAGTATTGTCTCACTTCGAAAATATCTTTTCATATATACAACAACAAGACATTTGATGGTAGCCAACCTTTATCATGGGGTAGTGGAAGATCTTATATTTGTGACTGAGATTATATTTCTATGCGTAGTATGTAAAAATTATGTACATAAAAATAGAAATCTCAACAATACTATGCAATATATATAGTCAAACATGCTTAGGATCATATTTAGTGTTTTTAATTTTTTATAAAACATTTTCACATTCGACTTTTGAAAGAAGAGAAAAGGTCAATAGAAAAGATCTTTTGTCAAATCATTAGTGTTCTTTAATTTAAACTCGTGTGATATTAAAATAGTCTTTTCGTTTGAAATGCATTTCTGTGGTGGCTAAAGGGCGGCTTTTCTTAGCCTTTGATTTCATTTCAAAAACAATGAGCCGATTAATTTTAAGTATTCAAACTAAAAATGTTAATTAGTTCAACATGTATCGTTAAAAAAATCTTTCGGAATACAAAAATAGTATGCCTTGTATATTCAACAATGGAGCGCACTACGTGAGGTTTAGGACCGACTTTGTAATAATATTGTATATTAATTTCACCCTTCAACATAAAAAATAGAAATCTACCAATAATAATTGGAATCTCCTTTAACCACAGGCTTAATATTGATCGTCCATTGATACACTATTATAGCATTTTCTATTTCATTTAACCACGAGCAACTAAATAAAAATGCGTACCCACTTGTTGTCTATTTGCATGTGTAAATGGAGAAAATTCAATAGAGAAACTAAGTAAGCATTTGTTTGGTACTCCATTTCAAAGGGCAGCTGTTGGTAGTGTCGACATAGGAATGTTATATGTTTTTTTTAAAAAACTCATCATCAAATTATATCATCTCTTCCATTTTAATGAAATTTTACATTCATATCAACAACAACAAAAATATCATCTCCTTAAATTATATTTTTTCTTATGTTTTTACCAAAAAATAATATGAACAAGAAACCTATAATTTCTTTATTTTTTTTTATTTTTTTTTGGGAACTGAAAACCAAATTTGTGACTATTTGATCATGGTTTTATTTTAGAAACAAACCCCTTCAAGTTTTTAAAAATGGTTTTATATTATATGAATACTTTGTAGTATGATCAATACTATTGAATTGATATATAGACGGTCCAAAATCAATCAATGTGGCCATTGTCCACACATTTTAAATTAAATGAACAGCAACATAAGCAAACTCATAGCACTATAAATACAATCTCTTTGGGGCATTCTTACTCCAAATTTCAGTACAACTACATAACTACTCTCATATATATATAAAAAACTCCTAATCCTTACTCCGAAATCCACAAAACAACAACATGAAACTACTCACTTTCAGTGTGACCATTCTCGTGATCTCGATGGTATTTTCCCAAACAGCAACCACCACTGAAGCAAGAAAGTTGAGGAAAACTAAAGATCAAGATCGTATTAAAGCTGGATCTACGGGTGATTTCGTGCCTACTTCTCTAGGAAACAGCCTTGGTGTTGGACATAAAAAAGGTAATGCTAATGTTGAAGGGTTTCAAGATGACTTCAAGCCCACGGAAGGAAGAAAGTTGCAAAAAACGACCGGTGAAGATCATTTCAAAACCGGTACCATAGACGATTTCGCGCCTACTTTCCCAGGACACAGCCCTGGGGTGGGGCATAAGAAAGCAAATGCCAATGCAGAAAGGGTTAAAGATGACTTCAAACACACGGAAGGAAAAAATACTCAACAAACGGACGGTCAAAATCACTTCAAAACAGGAACTACGGACGATTTTGCACCCACTTCTCCGGGAAACAGTCCTGGGATAGGGCACAAGAGAGGGAATGTGAATGTTAAGGAGTCTAAGGATGACTTCTCACCCACGGAAGAAAGACGATTGCAGAAAGCGAACGGTCAAGATCATTTCATAACTGGAACCACTGATGATTTTGCACCTACTTCTCCAGGAAACAGTCCAGGGATGGGACATAAGAAAGGAGATGAGTTCAAACCCACAACACCAGGACATAGCCCCGGGATTGGTCATGCTGTCAAGAACGATGAACCTACAGCTTAGAAGAAAGATCTATTAGTTTATAGCTTTATTTAATACATTGTTTTACAATATGTATTTTTTTTAAAATTATTGTATACCGTATTATACCATTTGTAATACTTGATGATGGATTCATAATTCTAGATCATGAATAAAATTTAAGGTTGATACTTTTTTCGTACTATCTTAAACTCTTTTGTATCATATAAGTTTGCATTTTGATATCATTTGTTAATCATGATTTGTTACCTACCATGAGGTAAACTAGAATTCAGAAGCACGTAATTTTCTCTCTTAATAAGTACGTTCCGATATTTGTTACACATATTAGATAAGAGTTTTCGGAACAGCAAAAACTAAGATTTATTAAGGTCTAAAAATCTAAATATTTCCTTTTTTTTTGTTGTTGTTGTTGTCAAGCAAGGTTTAAAGATTTCCATATTAGGAAAAAACAGCTTTATTCTTTAATCATAAAAATGAGAGACTAAAACTATATTAACTACAGTATATATCCAACGTACTCATGAAAGCTAAGATGCATTTGCCGCTCGTGGCTTTGACCTTGTTGATACCACTGCTATCAAGGTCTAAGGTGTTTGATACTTACTTACATATCACGCCATTGAGAGAGCGTAGAAAATTTTAAGTGGGTGTTGCAGTCTCGATTTGATGTTACCAAAAATAATTTTCACAGTAGTCGTCTCTGGTGCACCCAATTTCTCCAAATGGTCTGACAAATCAAAAAATGGTTCTCCATCATAAAACTTAATATTCTTTTAGGAAAAGGTTGTCGTTTTAATATTTGTTGAAAGTAAACTGAAACAAAAGAAAATATATAAGGATTAACCTGGTGGACAAAGAAGAGTGAGGTTACAAATTGTATTAGCCACGTATTGAAATAAACAGATACAAATAATCAAATCATATACACACGAATAAACCGAAAACAAACCCAACAAAAATCGATCGAATGCTCTTACATGTAACTAGTTTGTTATTTGCCTGACGTTAATCGAACCAGCCGCTTTAACGTCTATAACCTTTAGCCGAATGGTGTGGATACAGGTGCTGGTCCAGCGAGTGCATCAGACCGTTTGATGCTTCCCATACCACAAATGATACAACCGGGAGACGAAAGAGCAGCAAACTTTGCCCCACAGAGATCACAAACATCGTATCCAATAGTTGATAATCTGCTGAGCGTAGCGGAGCATAACTGAGAAGGGTCTTCAAGCGGGTCGATGGATTTGTTCGATGTGCCTCTCTGGACACAGAGATCGACTAGTCCTCTTAGTTCTTCTTGCTTGCTTGCTGGTGCCTTTGATAAAAGCAGTTCAAGCATCTGCTTTGAGTAGCCATAGTTTTGGACTTCCATGTTTCTTTTGATTGCAGTGCGTATGCAGTTTATGCGGTGCTTGGCTAGTAGTGGCAGGGAAGCTAGATGCCTTGAAAGTCTAGCCATTTCGTCCTTTGCGCTTAATGCGCTCGCGCCTTGGACTCTTTGTAGCCTCAAAATTTCCTGCAAATGGGGGAGAGGGGAAAGAAACATTGATAAGATGATTCTATCTTTTCTAACAGAATCATTTACTTTCTATAAGAGGGGAGATATATGAGTTAGTTACCCGAAGGAGAGTTACGGCTATCTTGTATTGAGCACAAATAGTGGCTTGAGCTTTGATATCTGCTCCACGTGATTGATCTTTAGCCAGAGCCAAGAATGCTTCGTCGAAGCAAGACAGTGCATCTGGAAGCTGGTTTTGTTCAAGATGGGCAAGTCCAGTCTTGAAACAAATCGGAGCTGCAGCTCCACGTGGAACCTAAGGAGAGTAGTGATCATAGAGGGTAAAGCAACTGTGAGATTTATGCACTTTATGTGTCGAATTTTATCTTGATATATGTACTTTCAGAACATTAGCAAGTTGATCGGCATGCAAACACAGAAAAAAATCAAATACACATTTACCTGTCCATTTTATCTTGATATAGAACATTAGCAAATTGATCGGCATGCAAACACATAGAAAAAAATCAAATACACATTTACCTGTCCAGGACGAACTGATGCAGGAGGGGACTGAGGCTGTCCAGGAGGCTTCCCAGAATCACTGGTATTTGGAACTCCAAGAATGCTAAGATCAAGAGGCTGCGTAGAAACTGGAACCTGGGATGGCCCCTGGGTCTGACCATACTGTTGAGGAACACCACCGTCGGGAAGTCCAACAGTCTGAAATGGAGCAACCGGTTGTTGACTTCCCTGTTGAGGATACTGTTGAGGAACGCCCCCATCGGGAAGACCAATATCAGGCAGAGTAGTATTATTTCCTTGATTTACGCCCTGTGCAGCTATTGCAGCTTGAGCAGCTTGGTCCATTTTTGAAAGATAAGTGCCAGGAGGAGGCAATGTCTTGGCAACCTCAACAGATGGGATTGTGTTTTGGAAAAAGTCTTCCGGTATTGGTGCGGCTACACCAGATGGAGCTGGTTGAGAAACTGGTTGAGGTTGTTGTGTCCATGAGCTCATCGCAAAAGGATCAACAGGAGCAGATGCAGAACTCGGAGCAGCTGTAGTTGCAGCTGTTGAGGAAGAAGGTTGGCTTAACATCTGGCCCAAATCCTGGGATCCAGCACTAATTGATTTTGTTCTACTCATTGCTAAGCCTAGCCCATCTCCGAGTTTAAACGTTTTAGCAGCTTCTTTAAGCTTATTGACGTCCACAGTGGTGGATGTTGGCTTTTCACGTATTCTAATTTGCAACTTCTTAGTTTTTGGAACACCTTCCTCGTCACTGCTGCTGCCATCACCAGCAGCCCCATACATTGTTTTCTTGAATTCCTCAGCAGCCTTTGCCTGTTCATCAGCTACGTTTTGTTTTCCAAGGGATTCCAGACCCATCAACGAACTGGATTCACCAGCAGGAAGTGCCAAAGGTTTATCCGATACAGGTTTACCCAACAAACTAAGCCCTCCAGGTTTAGAAACTAAGCTGTCTTCTTTAATTTCCACAACATTAACTCTACCTTTGACGCAGCCCAAATAAACACCAATATGATCAGCTACTATTGAGGGGATGGTTCCATCTTCGTTTTTCATATATGGCATTACTTCCCCAGCAAGCTCCCACTTAGGTATGCTCTTCATGTCGGTTGGAGTCTTGATTTCCCAGTTGCCACCACCCCATTCTGGTCCTTTTGGAACCATACTCTCAGCTGCAAAATTAGCAAAAATTCCCTGGGTCCATCCTGTAGACCGCACTCGTAAAATCCTTTCACAATATCGTCTCAACTCGGGATCTCCGCTTTCTTCTTCCAATTTCTGGGCAAGACGACGCATAGCACTAGGGTTCAGGTGGCATATGAAAAGATCTAGCATGCTCTCATAGTCGGCTATTACTTCAAAAGTTTCCTTTGCGCTATCAAATTGACCATATCTACAGTACAAAAAGACCACGTAGTTAGATGACTGAACCTTGCCGAAAACATTTCCATGAGACACTAGCATAGAGATGCAACGTAGCTACAAGGATCAAGAAGTGTTATATCCAAGTTCCAACTAACTATAGATGGTGAATGGGGAGGTGGTGAAAAATACTTGTGATTAATTTTTCAAGGTCCAGTTCAAGATGCCGTAAACTCCCACATATATTAGGTCAACAGAAAATGAGGTTGAATAGGCCGTCCAATAAGTACTAGCAATATTTTTAGATACTCAGATGCTACATATGTCCTGCACGGAAAGTTTACTTACTTGATACAGGCATATCCGAGCTGCCGGAACCTCTGAAACAAAAGAGAAGTTGGAGGACATTTTGGATAGTCTCTAGAACGCAGGAACTCGTCCTTTAGAACCGACAATGCCGTGGAGAACCGCAGAGCGTTTATCGCATATGCACAACGTAGTACCTAATTTTTTGCAAAAAGTTTAATAAAGATCACATCTTCTGGGCGAGAGTTCTGGTCATAAAATCTACTGAACTTGACTCACCTGGTTGAATTGAGGGCCTGCTTGAGCTAGTGATACAGCAAGATCTCCACACACTGGAGCGCTTCTAGCAAGAATATCAAGAGATCTTGGAGTAATTCGCAAGCTATCAAACCTGTATCCAATATATATATATATATATATAATATAATAAAGAAGCTAATAAGTTAGCATGGTAATGGAGCAAATAAAGATAGCTAGGAAAAGAGACAAAAGAAACTCATTGATGTATATCCTGCACACCTATTCAAAGTATCGACATATATATATATAAGAAATTTCAAAAGTGTAAGAGAAGAAAAAAGGGACAGAGGTAACCTTGTTGTTATTTGATACATTATTTCAGAAAGGTCCACTTTCTGTTCAAATGTTTGTTGCATTGTAGAAAATCCGATTAAAAGCGGTTCAAGTAGCCCAACTAGACAGCTCTTGATTTCAATTCCCTTTTTCTGCTTCGGACTTATATCAGTGGGATTAGCAAGCAATAGGCGGTCATTTAAGGCACCAACTAAGGCTGCGTTGAAGAGGATATAATTTAAGAGAATGAAAATACAGTAAAATCACCTTAAACATAAAGAGAATCAAGATCTGCTTACCTGCGTACGGAGTACTAATAGAAAGAATGGTCCTTACTTTGCCATCCCAGCCAAGCAAACATACAGCAGTAGTAGTAGAAAAGAGTAAGGCAGGCCCAACCCATAAAAGAGATCTAAAGTTCGCATAAGTTAAGGTTTTCAAATTATCAATGATCATAAATATAAATAAAATTAACATATAATGCACATGATTGAAAGGAAAGAAAGATGGGTTAATAAGGATATTGATGGTAGTCCTCTATCATATTTCGTCGAACTGCTTGCCAATATATCAAAATCTGCAGACACCATCAGCACCCTTTGGGTTGTTAATATCCCTGCGACATATCCTCGAGGTGTTTCTTGCCATTGAACCTGTCCAGTTTGAGACAACAATTAGTTCTTTATACAGTTGAGGGGGAAATGATATTTTGGAGATCTAAAACACATTCTAAAAATACTCTACATTATACCAAATTTATTGACCAAAATTTCAGGAACAATTATATCATTGACCCTTCTCAAATCAACCAATTTTTTACAGCAATAGAATAGCTAACACCAACTTGACGAGTAATTTTCCTGTCATCATTAATTTCTGAACGAGATCATTTTACTTTAATATATAACTGGCCAGGTGTAAACCACATCAAAGGGTAATGAATAAAATGACTGCACTTATTCAGCTGGTCACAGAATCAGAAACTAAATATCAAAAGTTTAATTTGGCTGTGAATTTTACCAAACTATTACTCTACTAGTAACAGTACGAGTTATAATAGATGTTGCAGTCTGCCTGTACCAGCAATTAGGAGGACATTCATGCTTTGTACAGATTTTTTCATACCTGAAGAGCTATTTCATGTTTCTTCAACTTGATTGACTTTCGTCCCTCGCCTTGTGTTGAAATATAATGACCATCTGAAGCTGAGAGACGATAGCCCTGAAACAACTTTGCCAACCCAATTTGGGTTCCATTACAAGCAAACATCAGAGTGGACTCTGTAATTTAAAGAGACATCAGTTAGCGTTGGCATGGTCCCATTGATAAGTAATTTTCAAGAAAATGATTATCTGATGCAACACCTATCGGTGTGGAAAAAACACGATCGACTTCTGTCTCAAACATGAATTGTTGTGGACCCTGAATTCCAGAAACATTTGTCTCCTTGGTTTGGTTCTCTTCAGATAACAGATTCTTCTCATTCTCTTCCATGGTGGTAAGTTTTGGGAGGATATACATAGACAGTCCTGTCTTATCCTCGTCAAGAATTGCAAACTGATCGTCATTTGGGCCGATAAAGGCAGCATCACAACCTGCATATTACAAAGTATCGCTTTGAGGTTAGTCCTCTCTTGTTCATTTACGCATTCAGAAACACAGGAAAACAAAAAGCATGAACGCCTAATCTTGCATCTCTTTCAAGTTAACATATAATTTATTGAAATCTTCCGCATCTTGATTGTTAGTCCCTAGGGTAAACAGCAGTGGACCCTAGCACCAGTCTCTCAGCAGAAAGACCACCTACTGTTTTATAGCATACATTGTAGCCCTGGTATATATAAATGATTGAATGTGGTATAATACCACTTAATGTTTTCAACAACTACAAATTCTGAGGCGAGATGGAAAGTTCTTTAAAGAGTAGCAAGGGAATCCAATGACTAGACAAACCTTTAGCAGTGCTTCCTTTGCTATTAGGCAGCTGAGAGCCTGTATTTTCCCAGTAAAGCACAACTTCATTTGTAGCACCACTGAATTCAAAGACAACCAGAAAGAGGTGTCTTTTACGACTGTAAACAATGTGTTTTGAATGATATTCTACATTTCCGGGAATCTGAACAAAAAAAGTATTGTAAGTAAAGGGAAACAAATAAATAAAACGAAATCACATCATATCAGATAATACCGATGTGTACAGCTTCTTGTAGATGTTGTCCGTTCCAGAACAGAGACTGTGTGCCATGAGGTTAAGGCCCTCGATATAGAAGGCTCTCACAGGATAATGTAGAACTCTATTTGGCTTATTGAAGAAATTCAGCTCCAAATGAAATGGCTGTCAAATAATCCAATCAGTTAGGCATAAATCAGATATTACAGAAAATAAGCTCTAAACAACAGTTACGTGCCTGGCAAACAGGAATGTCTTTAAGTTGATCTTTTGTATCCACGACGGTAATAAGGGGCAACCTTGATATTGGAGCAGTTTTGGCATGGCCCTCCATAAAATGCTGTAAGGATTATGTCATGGACTTAGCTAAAGATAGTTCCTAATAATAAAACAAACATAATGTCTAGGCAAGAAGGTCAAAAATTCATACACTATACAGGAACGCCTTCCGTGCAATATCTGAAATTGTTAGTTGACCCTGGCTGCAGAAAAGTAATAGAGTGAACCATGAAGCAGATGAAATATGAAAAACTTGAGTCATTCGGTAAGGAATTCATGGCATATTCACACCACATGATAGTAATTTTTTTAAGAAATTTCCAACCTCGATTGCATGAGGAATATCAACCTACCCCTTGTGATGATGCTCTTGTAGCAGAGCTTGGAGTTGATGCTCGGCTAAAATTCCAGAGGAACCCATAGATGAAAGCTTTTCCTTTAGAACAGAAGCTGTTTATCACTTCAAATGTTAGAAAGCAGGATACTGACACTGACACCAAACAACTCTGGTTGAACCCACAACCCTAGATATTAACAGAGGATTGGCGACTCTCAAGAGACACATCCATACAGCTTAAGAAGAGTATCACTTGTTATGTTCAAACAAAATTTGTGTTCACCTGAAGATCCCCTAGCACTTTGCAGAACTGCAAAGAGCTGCTTTCTTCCTTCCCTAGTCTGAGCTGCTCGATTTTGAGTGTTCTCATTACCCGCCATGTTCTGCATAAAAATTCAGTATGTCAAAGACAGAAGCCACACTTCTACTTGGGAATGCCAGTAGGAAGTATAATGAATATTCTTAACTGCAAAAATCAAAGCTGCTAAGTTCAGCTTTGGGTGAACTTCTATAGTTTTGATTCGTGGTAAAGGGTAAACAGCTTCCCCACCCTGTTGAGAGAGAATTCTAGGAATGTCTATCGATTCCATAGCTGCAGAATAAAAAAAGGATAGTGTTACGATGCGTAATCAAAGTTTCCAAACCAAATCATGGGAATTATTCCTAAATCGGGAGGAAAAAAGATTTTCTCTTTAAGAGACATCAGTCTTACCAGCAGGCTCAAAAAAGTTTGTTTGTGCCGAAGGCCTGTTGGGATTGATTATAACCCGTGTCTTCCACACTTGAAGAGATCCATCCTTGGACACAGTGACAAGCACACGCAACATAGGAAGCCAGGAAATAGAAGTGATGGGTTGCGAACCCACTTGAGTTCTGCAGTTGTTCCAACATATAATAAACAGGAATGTTTTATTATGTGAAGGGATAGCAATTTCATGCCAGCCGACAGAGAGCTACAAGCAACAAAAATGACTTACATTCCAATCATGTTAGGTCTTTCAGTTGAAACATCCCACGCTAAAAGTGTACCCCTCCTATCTCCAACAAAAATCCATTCTAGTGTTGGGTGAAAAGCAAACGAACTTGCGCCGATGAGTTTAATAGTATTATCCACTGCTAGAATAACAAAGAATTGCTTTAAGTGGTAGCTATTTTTCAGGATACCCCAGGTGAAAAGAAAAAAGACAATCAGACATGTGATATCCTCCTATACTCACGCTGTAGTGTATAATGAACAGCATAAGTATGAATGTTATAAGCTCGTATCAACCCCTCTGCATATGCTACATACTGAAAAAGACACAGCATTGAACAAAGAGGTTAACCATGTTTACAAAAAAATCAAAATCTACACACTAAGACGGAAAATAAGGATGTTTTATCATACCAGGACAGGAAGTCGAGGGTGACAAGCAATGTTCACAATTGGTTTCTTCAGGTCTGTCTTAATTTTTGTAGGAGCTCTTCCACCTTCAACAGTTCCAACAACTACAACAAAGAACAATAAGAGACAAATCAGAAAAATAACATCTACTCGTACACATAAAAATCCGCTAATGTAATAGAGAACTCAGAAAACGATAACCAAACCTGTCACACTCATTCTTTTTGGAAATCCAAAAAACACAACAGGTTGGAGTGGCGTCACAGCAAGATGAACTTCTGTATCCGAGGAAATGTGCTCACTCCTCTTCTCCGGTGAATGCAAGACACATGTCTGCTCCGTCTCAAAATCACAAGACCTAATTGTACAATCCTAAATAAACAACAAACCAGTTAAATATGCTGATCACCAAGCTAAAACAAGTATTCTAAATTGAAAACGAAATCTCTACAATAGCATTATAGGGAAATGACCTCAAGAATGGCAACAACAGCATTGCTGCTAGTAGGACTATACAACATTCTAACAGCTGGAGATCCAATGTCAATGGACGCGATCTTACATCCAGTTAATGCATCGAATTCTGCAAACCAATATAGATTTCAACATCGAAACATCACAACTATGAAACCAAGAAACTTCATAATCAATAGCGAGAGATATACTTACCCATGATGTGAGAACCAACGGCAACAGCGATTACAGCCTGAGTAGGATGAAACGCCGCCGTATGAGGTTGCAACGGCTTGCTCACACCACGACCAACGTGGCGTAGATCCAGATGCTGCACCGTTGCCCACTCCATAACTCCTGAAAGACAAACTCCAGTCTATAGTTATCGCAATTACGATTTAGATCGATCAAGAGAACGAGAGAAGCTGACAACAAAAATTACTGATCTGAGAAATTTTCAAAATTGAAAAATTTGTTGATAGCTTAAACTGTTCATTTTGCTTTACCTGCTCTTATTAGATCCCTGTGAGATTACGAGTTCATCAATATGCTTCAAACCCGAATCTGAACATACGAAGGTTTTTAGAAAAAAATAGTTAGATCGAACGGGAAGATCAGAAAAATCAATACTATTTTATTTAACCGGTAAAAGGTAGACGACGAAGATGAACATCGAACCAAAAATTGTCAAAAATTTGGGTCGGGTTCTCCGGGTCTCTCTTTCTGGGTCGGGTCTTTCAGGTGGTCATTTACTTAACTCTTAAACTACGCCGTTTTCATCAACCTCCAATTTATAATAAATGGGCCTATATGGGCTTTAACTGGTCTTTGATGAAGTAAACATAATAACGCCCACATATCTGCAGTCTACATTTTTTCATTTTTTTCATTTTTTTTCGCGTTAAGAATATTCTTTTCGAATTTGCAAGAGATAATATATTTACAACAGCTAAATATTGTAGAAGATAATAGTTAGGAGATATGAATTTTATCTTCGTTATGTTTTTGTTTGTTAAAAGATCTTCGTTATATTTTTAACCTTAAAACAAAAACGTTAAATCCTTTATATATAAACCGATTTAGTCTCAACACTTAATGGCCATTTCATAATACACACAACACAACACAAATCCTTTAACGATGAAAATCTCCGTCGTTCTCGTAGCGGCAGCTTTCCTCTGCCTTTTCGCTTTTCCGACCATAACCGTCGGAAAATATTGGCCGAATGAAGAAGGATGGCCAAAACCGTCTAAAGTCTCCAGAAACGAGATGGTGTATATGAACACTCTCCATAGATTCAGCTATGGAGACTCCAAAGTTTGGAAATGTACTTATAGCAACGGATCTGCTCCAGCCATTTCTATTTCTCCCTCAACGCCGTTTCCGACAATACCATCAACACCGTCAACTCCATCAACTCCGTCAACACCGACAACTCCATCAACTCCATCAACACCGTCAACTCCATCAACTCCATCAAAACCGTCTACTCCTCCTCCGGCTCCGAAAAAGTCTCCACCGCCGCCAACACCGTCTCTTCCACCTCCAGCTCCAAAGAAGGCTCCATCTACGCCTTCAACACCGGCGTCTCTCCCACCACCAGTGCCCAAGAAGTCTCCATCCCCGCCTTATACAACACCGTTTTTTCCACATCCAACGCCCAAAAAAGCTCCATCTCCGCCACCAAGTGGTGATCACTCTCCATCAAATCCACCACATCATAATCAGTATCCATGGGAACACATCGACAGCTGTATGAGGAACATGGGACCTGTTGGGATGTGTCGGATGCAGATGGAAGTGAGTTTCTTCACGAGGTTGTTTCGTGTTAGTAACTATTGTTGCAACCTTGTTGTCAACATGAAGAGTGAATGTGACGACGTCGCTTGGGGATTCTTCAACGATCCTTTCTTTGTTCCTCTTGTTCGTTACACTTGTCATGTTTCATCCTAGTTTCTCTTTTGTTCTTGATTAATTAATTAGGGTTTTTTTTTTCTTTAAAAATTTGTTTCTTTGTTTCGGTTAGTTTAGTCATGCAATTTGTTTCCGTTCATATCTAATGAACGGATTCTTTTGTCAAAGTTTAATTAATGAATAATTATCTCTCTCTTTTCTTTGTCGTTTTGTTCAATTTCATTAATCGGAAAAGATTCACTAAAGTGAAAATCGTTTAAAAATATGATTATTTGGACTTGATCGAAAAGATCGTTACGCAAGAAAACTGTTTGTATTATATTGTTTTTACGATGCAATCGCTCTTTTGGTTACATCGATTTAAAAATTTTGATTTTATTTATTCCTCAATGAATAATAAAATTCTATAATCAGAACTCAGAAGAGTGTGATCATATAATCGAATATTCCGGGAACGAATAATTAAGAAGACGAAACATGATTTGAATGTTTCTTTTCCTTTTTATTCGTTATTCGTTATTCGTTTAGTTAATAACTTAATATAACCTCAGTATTCAGTAATTCAATATAACAATTTTTTTTTTCATTACTTCCATATATGTAAAATATTATTTGCAATTCTTTAATTTATTTTAGATTTTTGCTAATCTCCAACAAATAACATTAAACAACATTTAACAATCAACAGAGTTTGATCTTCTTGTTGGAATTTATAGGATATCCGGAAAATAATTAGAAGACGAAGTCATTTAAATGTTTCTTTTCGTTATTAATTACTTGTGACTCGTGAGTTTTATAACTGATAAATTCCCCTAATCAAACCTTAACAATGTTCATTGCAAATCACCTCATTATGTTAACTGATTTATATTTTCCTAAAGACTATATTAAAATATTTTTAATTAATTACAAACACGAGATAATGGTTGCAAACAAATCAGTTTATAGAGATAACAACTGCTACAACATATTCGTAGTATATACAAACTCTATCGTCATGATCATCATGTTATTTTACTTTTAAACAAAAGAATAAAAAGTCTATATAAACGTATCCATATACATTCTCACTCATTTTTCTTTATACGCTAGAAAACAAAAAATCTCTTTCTGTTCCATCGCCTTAACCATGAAGAGCGTCATTATCATTGTAGCTATACTATGCCTCGTCTCTTTCCCAAACCTTACCGTCGGATTAACAAAGAAACCATGGCCTAAGCCGTCGGATCTAGCCAACCACAATGACAACTTCGGTGACTCTAAGGTTGGTTGGGCTTGCTCCTCCACCTCAGACCCCAACGCTCCTCCTTCACCTCCCGGCTCGTTCCCTAACATCCCAAAAATCCCTGGAATCCCCACTATCCCCTTTCCAAACATCCCGGGAATCCCGGGAATGCCAACAATCCCGGGACTCCCTAATATCCCGGGACTCCCGGGTCCTCCGTTCGAGTCTCTTCTCGTGTCGCAATCCAGTGAGTTAGAGAAGTGTTTGTCCAAGGATGGATCGAAAGCGAACGAGAAATGTTTCTCGCAAATATTTTCTAGTTGGGCGGAGAACGATTTTGCGTTAGACAAAGAGTGTTGTGAGATCGTTTTGAATATGAACAAGAGGTGTCACAGCCATCTTCACATGATGTTTAAGAGCCATTTCTTTGCTCCTCTCCTTCAATATTCTTGTCACATCAAGCACGCCAAGAACTAAACACGTCTCCCGTTTTGTTTTTTCTTATTTTATTTCCTCAAGTTCTGTTAATTAGGGTTTATTTAGTTTTGTTTTGTCCATTTCTCATGGACATCTCTTGATTTCTTCGTCGTTTAATTAATAATATTTTTTTTTACCTCAGTTCTGTTACGAATATATTCTCAGTTTTATTTGCATGATCGTAGATCCGCCTGAAATTACGTACGAATATAAATTTTCTTGGTAATTCTGATTCCAATTCTTATAAACCACTTTTGCCAATGTATGAGTATGGGCTATATAAGCTAAGAAGTTGTATAACATGGCGGGCAGTGTGGGCTTTACAGGATTATCCACGAAGTCGTAAACACTTGCGCTTTACCAATTGAGATGAGCCGGACACTTTTGTTACGTACATACATGAAAGCTATTTATAAAATTTATTGGAATAATTGAAGAAGTATTACGTACATAATATAGAAACATATTTAAAATGCACGTAATTCTAATTTCAACCATAGCAGCTAGCTACCCACCAACTCCTTTGGGACCTCTTGAGTTAAATGCTTGCTATCGATTTCATCCCCACACGGCCACATGACCTCTAGAAGAACACGTTAATTGTTTTTTTTTTTGGGTGACGGTGCGAAAGAAATCATCAGAAGTAAAAAAACTCTTCGCCATCTCTCTTTTGTTAACTAAAAAGACAGTTTTACAGAACAAGGATATGATGAGAATGACCAGACATTTATCTTATCTTATAGTATTTACTATTTACACAACGTTTGTAGATAAATAATTTGATATCATCATATAGTAAACACGCATATTTAGCATTAGCCACTATATTCTTGTAGACTTACGACTATTTTATTGAAAACTTTGATAATAACTTTACCCTTTTCTTTTGTTTGGACCTCTATCAACTTTACTAAAAGACTCGATCACAAAATGCAAAAGATATATATATACTCTGATACATATATGTTTCAAACTAAGGTGATCGATGGTGGTTAAAAGAGAATGGAGGAAAGATTTGTGAAGATTTAGACCAATCATCATAGATGATATGGGTTACTCAGTTCCCTATATCTGGTCCCATATATATTGGATAAACTTAATATTTGAATTTTTTTTTATTCAAAGTTTATCTTTCCGATATTTGCAAGAATCATCTTTTCATTGTAATTGCAAGAATCTTATACAATCCTTATCTTTCACAATTCACATTCAAAACCCCATCCAATAATTCAAATTCAATATACATTATCTGATCATATCAGTCATAGACTCATAGGATAATCTTTAAGAAACAAAGAAAAGGAGTAATGTTGATTGCATTTAGAGTACTAAACTAAATGCATATATAGTAAACGTTCTTGGTAATCCTAATCACGTGTGTTAACTGTGAACAACGAAAACTAAATTTAATATAAGGATAGACATGTATGTAACTATCTAGAAACTTCTGTGAAAAACAGATGTACATATGTTACATTTGTATGTATTTGTTTTGATATGCCGATGAGCTGTAGACAGAAGAGGAAAGGGGGCAGGGAATGACCAACTTGCAGGACAAAAATAAAAGCCAAATCTGTATACAAAATCAAAAAGGGAAAATCTCGTAATAATATTCCCCATAAAAGGAAAGCAAATGGGTCAACCTATTTAATAAAAATTGTTATATCTTCTTCATTTCTTATATAAGAAATACAGTTTTCCAAAATGTATATAAACACAAATTTTCTTTAATATAATAAACCGTTTAGAACGACCGAATAAAAAAAATTCATATGAAAAATTCACATTCGAAGCTCTAATATTGACCAATAGAGATAGAATCCTCAACAACATAATTCACAAAAGACCATCTTAACAAGTAAGAACAAAACGCAACAATTGCTTCCACATGACATGTCTCTCTTTGTCTAAGAACCACACTATCCATTGGACACCATCTTTTCCCCACAATACACATATTTCTATGTATTCATATGTTGATAAAGGTAACTGTTACATCATAATTTGCATTGTTATATTTAATATTTATTATTTGTATTAAAGTAGCCGAAATTATGATATGTAAATGACAAAGAAAGGTGTCTATATTTAGCAACCAAAACTCATCTAGTCCACAAGAAAATTTCTCCTTCTCATATTAAATAGAGAAGAAACAAAGAGACTGGCCTAGGTTAAGAGGGTAGCTCACGTCGACAACTTATAAAATAATATATTTTTTCTTATTTCTCTCATATTTAAAATCCACAATCCAAAGTAGAGTAGAGATATAAAGAGACGAAGGTGGATAAAGGAAAGATCATAAAAGATCGATGATGAGAAACGTAGGGAGTTCGAGCTCCGGTAGCAAAGGCATAGCGGCGGTGGTAGGGGTCGGTCCAAAGCTTGGCCGCTCCGTTGCTCGGAAGTTTGCTCACGAAGGCTACACCGTCGCCATTCTCGCCCGTGATCTCGGTTTGATTCCTTCTCTCTCTCTCTCTCTCTCTCTTTTTAGCTTTTAGCTTTTTCTTTTTATCCATATATATATGGCTTGTTCATACACGTATACACACCGTCACACCCACATAAACACGCATATATCCATTAATCCATGTATACACTTATGCTTCTTTCGATTGTTTTATATGTGCCCACGGAATCTTTCTTTCTTCTCCATATAAACCAAAGAAGATAAAACGAAATTATGGCGAATTGAGTGATTTTAATTAGAACTATTTGTTCTCGATGTATATTAATGCGGCTAATTAAACATGTTCACACACCGCATTAATATATTCATTTTTTTTTTCTCTTAAGACTTTGGCCTTTTAAGTTTATACATCAGTACATCATCATAGGCTTATAACTGGTGTAATATTTTCAGTGTAAATAGTTGAAATGTTCAACTTTTATTAGAATTGGTTCAGTAAAAACTTATTTACTAATCACGTTTAACTATTTTTTCTTTTGTTTTGTTCGACACAAAAGTAAAGGAAACAATGACACTTTTCACTATGTTCTCTGATGAAATTAATATTTTTCTTCCATTTAACTTTTTTTCCTTTTATATGAAACACTTGCTAGTCTTAACAGTATTGATCACAAAAACCGTGCACTAATTACCGTACTAAATAAAACTGGCTTAATTAATTGGTGTTGTTCTTTTTTTGTCACATTCTTGATATAGTTTGGTAAAATGTGCGCAGGTAGGTTATCTCGAGTAGCGGAAGAGATAGCGAGAGAAGAGAAAGCGCAAGTGTTTGCTATAAGAATTGACTGTGCGGATCAAAGAAGCGTAAGAGAAGCCTTCGAAGGAGTCTTGTCGTTAGGGTTCGTGGAGGTTTTGGTGTACAATGCTTATCATTCTTCTTCTTCCTACACAAATCACCATCCAACTTCTTTCACACACATTCCTTTTCAGTCTTTCCAAACTTCTATGTCCGTCTCAGTCTTCGCTGCATTCCTTTGCGCCCAACAGGTGACCTTTCTTGAACTTGCATGCACCATAATTATTTACGAACAATGTGATTTATTTTTTTAAAAATTTCTCACACAGTTCTATGAAAATTCCATCGTTATTTTTTATGTTGAAGACTTGCATGCCCTTGTTAAAGATTAATCAATTTTTTTATATATATTTTGTAAGTTTTTTCATTTGATTATAATTAAGTTATGGTACCAAAAGGTTATTCCCGGGATGATGGAGAAAGGGAAAGGAACTATACTCTTCACCGGTTGCTCGGCCTCTTTGAATGCCATTGCTGGTTTCTCCGAACTTTGTAATTTCTTCCTCAACATTTTAAAAATTTCTTTTAGTATTTGCAACAAAAATAAAAAGTAATAATAACTTCAAAAATATTTGGAATCGGAACAGGCTGTGGGAAATTTGCGTTGAGGGCACTGTCTCAGTGCTTAGCAAAAGAATATCAAGCTTTTGGAATACATGTGGCTCATGTTATTATCGACGGTGTCGTTGGACCTCCACGGTACGCAAAATTTTGCTAATCATATTCCATTTTTTTTTTCATTTTAAAAGAAATCATTTTAGACCACAAAAATATCTGTCCGAAAAAGGCTCTTTTAACTTTATATAGCTTCCACAAACGGCAAGATTCTGATCCAAATCGACAAGATTCTTACCTCAAAAAAAGTATTATTTTAGAATCACAAATATGTAACTTTGTGACTCCATTTCTTTATTTTTTTCCTCTAGCAAATGGAAACCAATTTATATATGATTCGGTAGCCTCTATTTCTTTATCTTCTTCAAATTCATATGGTCAAAGATGAAAAAGGGGTGGAACTTTTGATAGAGTCCCCCACACAAACAACGGTCCACACTACTACTGAGTACTGACACATTTAAGTATATGAAGTTCTAAAGAAATGAAGTATTTTAACATAGATAAAATCTCTTGAAAATGTATTTTCAGAGAAATAAACATCCCTCCTCGAGGAATGGTCGCGGAGCAATCATTTAACGTAGGAGGAGGTGATGATGGAGAAGGAGAAGGAGAAAGCTCGGGAGTGATGGGAATGGATCCTGATGTGCTGGCTCAAACATATTGGTACCTCCATGTTCAAGACCGAAGAGCTTGGACCCATGAACTCGACATCCGACCATCAAATACAAGATTCTAGCTAGTACTTTAAAAATTATATGATTTGATTATTCGTGTTTTCTGATTTTATTCAATGTTCTTTGAGCCATGTATGTGTATGTATATCCTTGTGTTTGGAATGTAATTAAAGTATTATTAAATGGTTTGTTTATGTTTGGTGTGAAACTGTGAATGATCTATCAATCTCTCAAGTAGTTTCGTTTTGGTTTTTAGTTTGCGTGACTTTTGAGATGATGTTCTGCTTTTGTCGGCTAAGGCTTGAGCTGTGTTATATTTTTTCTGTGGCGTTAAATTTGTAAAGGTACAAAAGTGACTTCGTGTTCAAATTGGGGACACAAGACGATCCGACAAGTCATGTGAATGGACATAAGATCCGATCACGAAATAAAAAGTGACCCCCCTTATAAAAGGTAAATTAGAAACAATCGTCCTTTCAAGTGTTGTCACGTCAAGGAAGGAACTACTCTCTGTTTCGGGGTCCATTCTTTTCACACAAGAGAGTGAAAACTTTGATGATGGTCAAAGACGATCTCATCATGGAGTCTCTTGTAGCTTTCTTACATTTTTTTTGAAGGGAATGAAATAAAAGAGAGAGTACTGATTAGTGTTGATCAAGATCACATTGAGAGTTCTTTGACTACACATTTAAACTAGATCATTGTGTGCATGAAGAACGCAAAACTACACCGGGAACAGTGAGTTATATAAATACTGGTATTCATCAGATACATTTCGTACTTATAGTAATCAAAACAAGAGTTTACAAATCGTTTTTGGGGAATAGCCATATCTCTAAAACTCTCTAATTGAAGCTGAGATAACTATATAAGTGTAAAGAGAACAAAAAATATCCCTCTGTAAAACAAATTCTCGACATCTCTGAGCATTGTATATAGGAACAGTATATGATTTAGTTTACCTTTCCAATAGATGATCTTTGATAAACTGCTTCTTTGCTCCTATCTATTATCCTGAGGAAACATATACGATCACAAAGAAGAAAGAAATCACATAACCGAAAAAATTATAGCCAAGATGCAACAAAAATGGAGCTCTCTGTCATAAGATTGAAAACACCACAACAACAACAACGAAACTGCTAATGTTTTGTCTGATCGTAGTCGGTTTGATTACCTTAAGAAAGCTTTCTCAGCTAAGAAATGTAGATGAGTCTCTCAATCTTGTTTCCCTAAAACCCAACAGAGAGATTTTAGTGACTAGACAAGCTATGTAGCAACAACATTCCCAAGTTCTTACATAAACTTAGAATGACCCAATTCCAATTCCAATGATTTTCCACCAAAATTAAGCAAAATGTTCCCTAAATTATTAACCAATGGAAGATTAATAAACCCTAAATTGATGCAAAGGAAGTAAGTGTGAACAGATCAAGATTTCACAAAAAACCCTAAAAATTGGTAAACCTTTGAATAGACGAGTGACTTTATCAACAAGAGAGTCTTCTTCGTCTTCGTTATCATCGCCTTCCTCATCTTCGTCGTCATCGTCATCAGAATCCGAATTCGAATCCGTAGAATCATCTTCGCTTAATTCGCTATCATCTCCACTGAATCGAATTAAATCCACAACCGATCAACAACTAACCAACGAATCAAATCGAGAAAAGTAGATCACAGTGAAAAAAGAACGCAAATACCTCAAACTCCGATCATCATCTTCTTCTTCTTCGTCTTCTTCTTCGCTGCTACTCTCGCTATCGACATTATCATCATCATCATCTTCTTCTTCTTCCTCATCCGAGCTATAGATATCGACGATCTCTTTCTCGTCCGCCATGGAGAATTTCAAAAAAGCTAAACCAATTATAACATTGTCGGAGCCCCGACCGAAACTCTCTAACTGGATCCGCTTGCTTGTCTGTTAGTTAGATCCTTTATCACTTTTTTTTATATGTTGGGATTTTTTTAATAAAGTAATACTGATGAAAAAAATAAAATGAAATAGCAATACCTTAGTCTATTTTATTTTGTTAATCCTAAATTTATAATTTGAAAGACTTTATTTTAACATTATTTTGTTAATTTTGTTTTGACAAAAGAAGAATCGAGTTTTTTTTTATTTACATTGAGCAATCAAATGAAAATTTACAAAATTATATATTCAACATAGCAAGCGATTACATTTAATTTCTACCTTAAAAGTTAAAACTATCATCTCTTTTTTTTTTGAAAACTATCATCTCTTTGTGTTGTGAATTTAAGTAAAATACACCTAAATCTTGAAAACTTTGGTACAAAAAGTAAAACATCAATGAGGGAAGAGCTTGAGAGGGGAAGCCATCACAATTCACAGGTTGAGGTCTTGTAGGTCATTCTTGGCCTTGGTGAGCTGCTGATATCATCTGACACATGTGGTCCATTAACCTACCCGTTTCATCGGCCCAATAAGATTGAAACTCCCTTTTGGTTTTGTCTGCAAGGCGGGTAAAACTGGCTAAAGTCAAGCACAACACATGAAAGGAACATAGATAACATATAGTCCGATTACATTTCTTTTAAGGCCTCTGCAGCCTCTTGCAACACCTTTCTCCAGTCGTATTTGGAAGTTGGAACAATAAGTTTATAGAGAAAATATTGGATAATAAGATTGGTGTTAAAAAAAAAACCAAAATCTTAAAAGGAAGAATGTCAGAAACATCATCAATCGTCATAAGTTATCAAGTTTGGAAAAAAATTATCATCATTCTCTTCTCTACAAACTAAATAACACACACTTTATCTTCTTTTTTTGCTACACTCTTTTTTTTTCAATCTTTTGTTCTCAGCTTTCATAACAAAAGTCAAAAGCCACATATTATATAACTCTTTTAAAGAAAAGCTCCTAAGAGAAAGTGATCTCAGACAGATTTCATACATTATCATTCCAAGTTTCAAAACCCTTCTAATGAGCTTTGATAGTGCGGCTAGACACACCATGTAACAATTTCACAAATCCGAGAAAGCTAAGCTTTCCATCGGTATGCCTAAGCCAGTCGTGAAGCACTGCGTGGACCGGTACAGAAGGACCAAGACCAAGTTCCTGTAATAAGTTCGAGTTCATTTGAGCATTTTTCAAAGACTTGAAAGAGGTTTTTGTATAGAGAGGGGATTAGATAAAAGAGACAAACCGAAGCGAGTTCATCGATCATGATGGGCCGGTTTCCTTCCTTTTCGAAAAGCTCATAAGCACAACGAGCGTGTTGTTCCCATCGATCAAGAGCTTCTAGCTGGTGAACACTCAATGCTGCTGCACAGAATTCTTCAAAGTCCATTCTTCTATATTGAAGAGCACTCAACTACAAAGATGGTCCAATAAGATTTTCAATTCAATTACCAAGTCAAAATTGTGTGGTTCAAACACTGAATTGCACGAATTAAGGCCTTACTTGTGCTAAGAATTCTGGAATACGTGAATCCTTCATTGCATCTGTTGCCATTTTCATCAGAGCCTGACAAAGAGAGTTTGAGTCAATGTCATGATAATATTGATAACCAAAGCATACCAGAAAATAAACTGAAACAGGACGAGGGATAGAAAACTTACCGATTTGATGTTTTCTAGACTTATGGTTCCGTTCTTACTAGGTTCTAACAAAGCAAACTGCTCCCTCAGATAAAACAGTTCATCAACCGTAAGTGTTTTCGATAAGGCCTGCAAGAAAATGACAAACAGTTAGCAAAAACAAAAGTGACCATTGAAGTAGAAATACTGAAAAACTAATCCACCCACCCTTAATGCAGCTTTACGGAGAGATGATGATCGTAAATAAGCTCTCATAAGTTTGAAAACCAGAATATCCAATGGAACCTTTGCGTCATTTGAGTCTTTTATCCATGGGTGACCTAAAAGAATGGAAAATATTACAATTTTCTTTTCACACTGGAACAATTTTGTATGCATTATACTCATCCAAACATCTTATACGCATTCTAGACTTACTTAAGGCTTGAGCAGCTGTTAATCTTTTACGTGGGTCTTTGTTTAGCAACCGCTTAACAAAATCTCTTGCCTCTGAAGTTAACAAAGGCCATGGAGGGTCGTCAAAACTCGGATCTGCTTTTAGTACTGCTCGAAAGATTCCTGATTCAGTCCTAGCCCAAAACGGTCGGCTTCCACACAATAGAATATACACAATCACACCGACACTCCAAATATCAGCTTCTGTACTGTAAGATCTATGTAGAACTTCAGGTGCTACATAGTATGCACTGCCAACAATGTCATTGAGCCTCTCATCTGCAAATACAATTGTCAAAGTATATATATTATCGAAGTCTCTGAATTCTAGAATCTAATATACAGACTGCATATAACATAAGTTGTTTACCTGGTCTCACGTAATCTGACAAACCGAAATCTATTGCCTTCAATTGAGCGGTGTCTTCTTTTGAGGTAAAAAGAAAATTCTGATCCAAACAGTTTAAGTAAAGTTCATTAAGATCGCAATGAACATGAAAAGTATAGGTAGAAACAAAGAGCTTTTATTACCTCAGGTTTAAGATCTCTGTGTACAACACCTTGAAGATGACAAAAAGCAACCACATTCAATATTTGTATCATAACCGTCTTTGCATCCTCCTCTGTGTACTTCCCACCTCTGCATAAAACACCATCAAGTTCAATAAAAACAATCCAAAACTAGTAAGAACGAACAATCCTGATTCTAAAGTGGCGAAAATCTCTTTACCTTGAAAGTATTCTATCCAAAAGCTCTCCTCCTTCACATAACCTAAAACAACAAAAAATATAAACATTGGTTAAATGCTAACTCCCACGCTGATTTCAGAATAAAGTCTTAGCAAAAGTGAGCTTACTCCATCACTATATAGACATTATCATGATCCTCATATGCATCATAGAAATGAGGAAGATTATTATGACCAGACAAAGCCCTCAGTATCTTCACTTCCCTCCTCACATCTTCAATTGCAATAGCCGTAGTCATCTACACAACAAACATCAACAAAACTGAAATTGAAAAGCCTTGCAGGACAGATTACATCAGTACTTGTACAAGTATCATCTCTAGTATAACAGATCTCGACACTACAATCCATAGAAACACAGAAGAAAGTAAAAAACCACTAACCTTCGCTTTGGGAATAACCTTAACAGCGACTTGTTGACCCTTATTATCACCCTTCTTAAACTTAGCAGCACAAGTATATCCAAAATGCCCACGACCAACTTCATCACCAAGCTCATACTTACTCGCAAAACTCTTGGAAAAACCAAAGCTTTTATCCAATCCAACACCACCTCCTTCAGCTTCACTCCCTTCAGGGATCGCCGCCGAATTAGGCTTCACAGAGCCGTGCCGTCTCGCTAAAACAGCTCTGATGTGTTTAGCCGGAGACGGAGGAGGAAACGGCCGTTTGAAGAACCGCTTCGGCGTAGAGTTACCACTAGCGTTAGTCGCCGGAGATCTACCCGGAGTCTTCTTGGAGAAGAAAGAGTGAGCTGGACTCGGACTGTAGAAGGGGAAAAAAGGAGACTTTTTGCCCTCATTGCTCGCTACTACACACTGATCTTCAACAGGGTTACCTCCATTAACGGATGAGGTCGAAGGCTTGACGGATTCAGACGCCGGAAGTGGACTATTCCTCGCCGGAATTTGATCGGAGTTAGGTGAATTCGGCTTCGAAGTACAGAGACCCATATTAGAATCTCTATCTCTCTCTCACATCACACGAATCAAAATCTCAATTGTATCATCATCGGAATCAAAACCCAGAAATCAAAACAAGTAAAAATTCAAACTTTTGAATCTTGCAAAACGAAAAAGATAATAAAAAAGAGATTTTTAATGATTTTGGGGGAAAGTGAATATAATTCAGTTATTGTAAGAGCTTCGTCTTCTTTCTTTGGAATTGACTCCTTTGTCTATGGCGAATTCCAAAGCGAAAGATTTGGATCCAAGAGGAATGAGTTAAAGAGAGAAACGACGATACGTTCGCTTTTTAAAAACAAAATATTTATATTTTAAGTAACATTGAACAACTACTAATTTACACAATTAACTTAATTACTTCCTTAATTTTGTTACGCAGCTTTCGCTACAAATTAATTTATATCTTTTGGTGACATAATAATAAATACGTGTGTTATAAAAAGACAAAGACCAAACTAGAAAATAGGAGAATTCGGTGAAAATTTGCCAAATTTATACTATAGACTAGAGTGTGAATATTAATGTGTTTGTGTGTACTTTGTAAATTTTTTTGGTATTATCACAATCATGAAAATAAAGGCTAACTAACTTCATTAATTTATACTATAGTTTTTTTTTATTTGGATAAGTTATTTGAGAGGAGAATTAATTGGACAATTTAATAGAAGACATTGACAGGGGGTATTGTATTATTTAGATGCATTTAAAATCCTGCCAACTCTTGAATGTGCATAATATTTGATAACATTTTATTTTTGGTAAGACCGCTATTAGTAAGTTAACCAATCATCATTTCATATTATGGATTTAAATAGAATTAAGCGTGCTGTCAAGAAAAGAAAACTCAAAAACGTTTAGATTTTTTTTGCAGCCATTAAAAATAGTAATTACTTTTCTTATATATTTTTATAGTGAATTAAGCCAAGTATTTATTTTTTCTATTTTAACTAGAATACAAGTGAACAAATTGTTAGTAATATTACTAACAACAAGGTGAGGAATAATCTTTTCATATGTTAACAAGATTCGAGTTCTAGTTGGCTGATACGTTTTTGGTCAGCAACAATTAAGAACACATTATCAAATTTAAACCAAACTGTAATGAGAGAAAAGTGAGAAACACTAGTACGTACGTATCACATATATGTCCAAGTTACTTTTATTTCATTGATCCCGTTTAGAACTTATAATTATTTTAGAAGATATAAATTGTATATGGACACTAGCTAGGTCCGAATGTATTAATATTGCCCATTTGATTGATAACACTATCTCTATATTAGTAAAAGAGAAGTACAAAATAGAATGCGGGTCGGGTTAAAATTAAAATATTAACCCGATTTTAACAATTGGATATTTCAAAATTGGATATTAAAATGGATTCGGATACATACATCGGATACTTTCCATATCTCATTTTAGGATTATATTATTTCCATAACTAATTTTAGGATTTCCTAATATTTCTCTAACTAATTTAATAGAATATATTAGAAACAATTATCATTCTTCTTTCACTTTTATTTGATCTTATTTTCAATTTATAATATCATACTAAATATGAAAAATGTTTAAAAATTTTTTAACTTTTTTCGCATATGTTGCAATTTGAATTTTTCAAAACGGACATATAATACTCAATTACACTCGGTTAAATATTTTGGACAATGATTTAAAATCATTATAAGTATGACCAATATTAAAACCATTGTTACATGAGCATATTAAAATTTTAAAATGTTTCAAAATATTATAATTAAAAGTTTCAAATATATAAAAAATTTAGATTTAAAATAATAAAACTATTGTTTTCAATACATAGATGTAAATTTGGAGACATAAGTTTTATTGATAAAATATTATATATCAAACTACTTAAATTTTAGATAGTTCACAGGTAGTTTTTAAAATCACAATTATAATGGTAAAGCGAGTTGTGAATAATGTTTTTACGATATGAATTATGTTACGGGTTGGTCCTTCAAAAATATATTGTAGTTTGTAATTTTTACGTCTATTCCTACTTCTACTACAAAAATGGTCAAACTGAATAATTTATCGATAAATATTATTTCGTGCTATAAAATTTTCACCCTTTTTTTAATCGTAGCAAAACTCAATATATTATTATTTACTCACTTTTTCCTTTTATTATTTTATTTAAACATATTTTTTTTGGTAATCTATTTAAACTTATTATACAAATATATGATTCATTGTAATCGACTGCACTGTAATAAAATTAAGCTTTAATATATTTTAATCCGTTAAAATTTCTTATTTTTTAGTAAAAGGTTAAAAAAATTATTTTTAATAATCCGTTAAAATTTATATATAAGTAATTATTTCCCCCGCGCTGTAGCGCGGGTCAAAACCTAGTTGTCCATATAATATAAATGATTGTCACTAGTCACTACTAAACAATATATAAAATTAACAACAAATGTATCTATTGCTTCAATAATGCCAAAGCAGGCCATCGAAAATTTTCTAAAACATTTCTATCTATTGTTGTTCTTTTAACTTGTCTAATCAGCACACATAGAAACAACAAAACTTGGTACACAACAAAAACTCTATAAACTATTTTGTAATCCAAATGTTGTTAACTACTGGTTTCGAAATGATAAAGAAAGAGAGAGAGAGAGGTGTAGAGAGAAAATGTGATGAACAGAGAGGTGGGTGGGTAAAGCAGTATAGAGAGAGAGTCTAATGGTCCAGCTCGATCAAATAGATAATAATAATGTGGGAATGAATAATTCTATAGAAGTAGGTTTGTTCCTTCCTTAATTAACGCTATTGCCATTTGGATTTTGTGGTAGGGACTCTCTATCTCTTTCGATGCTTCCTCGAGAAATAAAAATATAAAAGCTGCATTCTCTATATGACTCACTTCAAGGTTATAAACGTCACTACTGCATCTTCTATGGAGTATGGACTATTCGTTAGTATTATTTATAGTCATTGGTCAAAGACGTTAACTTCTCTCACGTAGAACACAATTAACCTAACTGCTACTACTTGTAAGATTTTGACAAAGTCTTTTTGACAAAAACAATCTTTAGCTACGTTATAGGCGCAAAAGTTTGATTCAAAATGTTTGAAGTTTAATTAGTGTAGTTAATTGTAGTTATACTAGTAAAGGCAATACAACGTGAGACTGAAATGAAAACTAATGATTATGTTGTATTTATATAATTCGTATGATGATGAAAACGAAACTTGCTTAACTTAAGTTGCTTGTTGCGTCCGACATATTGAGAAGCCAATTCAAATTTTGCAGTTCGTTATCATTTTTTCCCCACTTATATTCGTATGATTTAGTTTGTTTTCTTTCTTTCTTTCAAATGCATGCACACGTAGTGGTAAACATATTCATTATGTATCCCTTATGAGATTTTGTGTTGTGATGAATTTGGTATTCCCCTATTATAGATTAACATCATTTTGTTTATCCAATTGAATATATATAATTTAAATGTATTTTTTCATCCAACTGACACCTTTAAAATATTCATATACTTCTTTTGTTCCAAGTAATCCACTTTTAAAATAAAAAATAGTTACAAAAAGTTACTAATATATTTTCAATTTTCTTGGTGTAGTTATTGTTTACTTTTGCTCAATTTATCCTTAGAATATTTGTTACTTAAAAAAGCACTTATGTAACATTCAATTAATATTGTTTTTTATAGTTTTCATTTCAATTTTTTTAATATGTGTGAAATTAGTAAAGAACATATCAGCATTGGTAGATCAATCGATAATTTTTGTTATAATCTAAACTAGAGAATTCTTAAGATCACGAGTTCCACCATCAATAATGCATGAGATAGAATTTCGTGAAAAATATGGTTTATAGATCCATAATTATGATTTGTTTGTCATTGGTTTATGTTTGAGTTTGTGCTTATGCTTGCGTATATGTAATAAATGTAGAAAAAACATTTAAATCTTGTAATGTTTGCATTAGACCATACAATATCGTCTTGTCATAGCAAAATGTTTCAAAAGTAAAAATGATCTTGTGATAGCAATTAATTAACAACAACCCTAAAGCCAAGTTTGTGTGTGCTACGTAACGTGAGCAAATCATATAGTCAAGGTGACTGATTAGAGAGGCACGAAGCTTAACATCCCATGAACCTATCTCTTTAATAAAATAAATCACTTGAGCTATATAATAAGAAAATAGTAAAGGAAAACAAATGGTAACAAGATCCAAGAATTTTGAATGGACTTTGTTACACTTTAGTTAATTTTGTGCCTCATTAAAAGAAGGGCAGAGAATAAAAATTTATAATTGATATTTCCACTCAAAGATCCCCCAAAGTCAACTTCCCAAAAATCTTATGATACAATACAATACATAGTGCAGGAAAATTATATGTAAAGTGATGCAATAGATTATGATTTTATCGCATGGTACACCGCAATGATAAAACAAAAAATATTGGCCACCCTTTTTATTTCTCTTCTTCCACGTTGCGTCTATACTCTTTACATGTTTCTTGTTCTACAGTTTGGTCTTTATTTTGTTTTCAATACAATTTTTTCAGACTTTTCATTAGCTTTCACAATCTTGAAATGTTTTCTTCGATAGAACCAATTTCATTAGCTCTTATCATTTGAGCTACAACGTGATTTGCATGGTTGACATACTCACATACGTGATACTATAGTTTTTTATAAAACTAGACGCAACTTTTTGTGTAAACCCCTATAACTTTTACATAATAACTCGAGATGGTATATATATTAGTATAGTCTTCATGAAAACAAAATCGATAAAGAAAGCAACAACATTGATACTCATATACTCCTAATGATGACAATCATGAAGCTTAGGAAAATAACATATCTCTACTTTTGTTTTCTTTTTTGTGTGTGTGCCATTTTTACCCCTTTGCCATTGCCGCCAAAAAAAATCAGAAGGTGCTCTTGGGGGCCAAACAATATTTTTGGTCAAATGGATTCACTCAACGTTACCTTTCTCCCTTTTTCTTTTTTGATAGTGATGGCGCCAATATCAAAAGGGTAACTCTGTAAAAGTATTACAAAATCTCTTTCTCAATCTCCAAGAAGAAGAAGGAGAAAAATGAAGATGAAGATGATGGTGATGATCCCAATGTTATTAACACTATAGTTTGGTTTTAGAGTAGAGTTGAGTTACTACTTACTAAACAACTCCATTGTTCAATGTTCCTATCTACCCAAACTCCAACACACTGTATTTGGGACACCACGATTTGGTTCCCTTCAAGAATCTTATTTCATTTCCAATATTGATTATTTTTCATTGTTCAATGGCAGATACATATTTCCTCTTTTAACTGTACTCCTCACTGTTACACAAAATGATAAAATATAGAGCAAGTGTACTTTAATAATCCTCCCAATTTACTTGGTTATCTTGAGAAAACCTCTAAGTTATTATGGGGTCAAATGTTAATATAGTGAAACTTAAATTACATAAATTGCTCTTCCAAGGGGGAAGAAGAGTATTGAATCTCTCTCTAACCAGAGGTTCTGTCTCCACCAAAACCGGATTGTAAGAAGCCGGTTTGGTCCAGATGACTCACGTCTCCCCAAACTTGGATCGTCCATTTGTCTCCGTCGTATAAATGGAACACATTGACCGATGTATTGAGTATCTTATCGATTCTTCTTGCACTTGGACGAGCTCTTTCGTGGAGAGATCGAATCACACCTCCATGACTCACTACTACTACTCTTTCACCTTCATCAAACCACCAAGTAAACCAAGACAAATACTTAGAACATATGTGTTAGTGTTCGTAATACAATAATCTCGGAGAAACAAACGCACAAGAAAAGGAAGAAACCTCTATGTTTGTCACCAATTCTTTGTAATGCTGATGTACATCTGTCGTAAAGTTTGTCAAGACTTTCTCCTCCACCCTTCATTCATATAACCGAAGCAAACTTTGTTGAATCAAGAAAAACCAATCATCATTCACATAACTAAGCTTCTTGGTAAACAATATCTTACTGGGATATCAACGTCTGTGCGGTTAGACGAAAAGGCTTTGTAAGCTTCAGGACAAAATTTTGAAGCTTCTTGATACACTACTCCTTGCATATCCCCTAAATGTCTCTCCCGTAAATCACGATCAGTAAGTACCTGCATCACATTACTTTTATACACAGTTGGAACTTCTATAGTCTCTAGAAAGCCAATATGGATTCAGAGCTTCACAATGGTAGATAAATAACGGCTTTTTCAGAACTTAGAACCCCGAAAGAGGAAGAGCAAAAAGCTGGAGACTTTAGGAGCAGATTCAAAAACAGAAAGTAACTTTTAACACATAGCTATATGTTAATATACCTCAAGCTTGCCGCACTTAGCTGCAATGATCTGAGCAGTCTCAAAGGCTCTCTTCAAGTCAGAAGAGTAAACATAAGATATCTTAGGCTCCTTGGCTAACCGTTCTGCAACCTTCATTTCAAAAGAAGAGAAAAGTTTTACAAAGGCATTTTTCATCATCACCATCATCAGGATTCAAGTTGCATCTCACATACTCTCACTGCTTGTTGTCTTCCTGCATCGTTTAACTCAACATCCAAATGACCCTGCAAACACACACAACCACATTTCTAAATCTCCAATCATCAAAGATTCCCAAAAAAACTATACCTTTACAGAGACAATTGAAGATACAGCTAAAAACCCAAATACCCATTTTCAAATTAAAACATTTACCTGGATTTTTCTCTCGGCATTCCAAGCAGTTTCACCATGACGAACAACAACAATCTCAGCATATTCAAGATCGTCGGAACTGTATTAAAAAAAACCAACAAGGAGTTCCCATTAACATTGGAGAAAAAAACACATAATCAGATATGCAAAGAGAGAGAAGCTAGAACTTAGAAGAAGCATACTCAATATCGAAGCTTGATTCCGCCATGGGAGATGATGCTGAAAAAATCGGTCAATTTTTTTTTTTTTAGATCCGACGACGAGAAGAGAACCAATTCCAATAATGCAATGCGATACTAACACTACTCTAGTGGGCTTTAATTGAGTTTTATTAATGGGCCTTTACGCAGATACTTCAAAATTAATTAACTCCTAATAAAAATAATAATACTGTATTTTGCAAATGTTGAAAGAAGCAAATATTTTACTAGACTGAAAATATCAAATTATAAGCACACCTATATGAATATTTTAATTATCTGGATAAATATCTATTTGGTTTTATCTACGGTCAGCGTAGGATTATAAAACATTATTAATTAGGTTGGATATTGTTTTTCTTTTGTACTATAAATAAAAAATTGTGTGGTAGGGGAAATTTTGACCTACTTAATTTAAAGTTCGTGTTGAACGTATTTTACCGTAGAGGTGAGGATTTTGGAGAAGTATTTTGTTGTTTACGTATAATGTTGGATCCTTTTTTATTTTCTTGTTGCTTTTATGCACAATTAAATACCGATTTGATTTCATCTTATGTTCATGACTCCACATCTTAAAATTTGGTTTTATGAATACCTCACTTGAGATTCATCTTATGTTCATGTTTGTGTTTTCACCTTCTTTTAGCATATATTTTGAGTGGAAAACGTATTCCAAGATTTTTATTTGCAACTTAAATCTCTTTACTGATTAGTGTTTAGAATTTACAAAACAAAATAAAAATTCGAGTTCGTATATTTATAGCTAAGATTCTATGCGGCTATGCTTCATGGATTTACAAGTTTTGATTTTTCATGTTTGGAAAAAAAACAATCTGAATTTTATGTTTGGTTTAATCCTTATCTTCTTTCTTTAATTTTATAGATTTTGTATATCATGGACAATATAGTACCACCGTGCGCGGCGTGCAAGTACTTGAGGAGAAAATGCACAAAAGACTGTGTGTTTGCGCCTTACTTCCCCACGAACAAACAAGAAAACTACGAAATGATCCACAAGGTATTCGGAGCAAGCCATGTTGCTTCACTTATCAACGAAATTCACCCTAGCCAGAGAGAAATTGCCATGAGCACGCTCACTTGGGAGGCACAAGTTCGTCTCAATGACTTGGTCCATGGCGTCTCTAGTATCATAGACCGCCTCCAAAGTCAGCTTAACGATCTTCAAAACCAGCTCGCAATCGCCAAGAACGAGCTTGCCTCTGGTGGTTTCGTCCCGACATTCGCGCCACAGCACCCCATTGCGTATCAGCAACTCCAATCCAATCCTATGATACCGGATACACCTATTAATGACGGCTATCTAACGGCTCAACAGTTACAAAATGAGGCTCAGCGTTTTGCATCCACACAAACCGCTCAAATGCAGCAAACGCAAGAGACACATACGCAGCATAATGAGAGTGTGATGACTGTCCGAGACAAAAAGATATGAACCATATATGCATGCTTACCTAAATCATCGAAACAGTTTTGATAACAATGTTAACCCTTCTTTTTATTTTTATAATTCTTATCGTTTGTACATATATGTATAGCTACATTACTTTGCACCTATCGGAGTGGTTAGTGAATTATTAGTTTTCTTCTTTTCACATAGTTGATATAGAACACTAATATCAATGTTACATAATATCGGTAACTACAAATGATTTAGTTACAACCATATTCTAATACCTGTTTTCGTCGTATAGCTAACAAGATCCGATGTCGTCCAGCGGTTAGGATATCTGGCTTTCACCCAGGAGACCCGGGTTCGATTCCCGGCATCGGAGCTTTTTTTTGTAAAATTTTAAAATCGATTATTATATAATATACAGTAGTTGTGGCATCGGAGATTTTATTTTCCGGATTTTTTGCAAATTTAGGAGTTGTAGAATTAATTAATTAACCAAACGATGAATATAAGTATTATCTTTATTATTTTATTTACTTTTTTATTTAATGAATAATAGTATTATGATAGGACTGGAAAGAGATATTGATATCTTTAAGAAAGAGAAAAATATTTAAAACAATGATTATTGATATTTTTGTTTTCCTTCTTGATAATGATAGTTAATAATTATTGTTATGCAAACTATAAAAATTCGTTGCCATCCCAGATTTCCCAGTTGTTAGAATATCTTACCTAAAATATTTTTGTCATATTTAATAAAAAATAATTCTAAAATCGGTGGGCATTTCTGTGTGTAATTGTCGCTATATATATGTTTTTGATCACTAGTATTCATTATCGTCTCGTGTCACAATTTTTTCACCTTCTTTAACAAATATGACCCGAGAAAATTCAGTATACTATAAACAGTACTCCAGTAACAATCGATCTATTTTGGTTAGTTAATTACTTATTGTTACGTCTTCTTTTGTTTTTTCTGATTAGTTTGTTTAGTTTAAGGGTTTGTGCTAACACTTGCTGGTTTGGCAGATGGAATATTCTTGTACGTGTAAAGAAGTGAGGCATAACTGCATAGAAGAGTGTGTGTTCGCACCATATTTACCAGCAACCAATAAGGACAAGTACACAAAGTTGTCTAAGGTTTATGACATGAGGCGGTTGGCTCAATATGTCATGGATATTGAGCCTAGCGAGAGGCAAATATGCGTTGACTCCTTCTGTTTCGAGGCAGAAGCTCGTCTCCGCGATCCAGTCTTTGGCGTCACTGGTTATATTCATCTCCTCCAGCTTCAGCTTGAAGAGGTTAAGCGTCTTATACAAATCGCAAAGAGGGACCATATGATGATTTTACAATTACAACGCAACCGACAAAACCATCGCCACGATCATTTATAAGATCACCTCTTTATCTATAGCTAGCTAGTCTTATGATTGATATTTCGATTTGAATTGTTGAGTTTGTGTTAACTTGTTTTAATTTGAACTTGTAGCACTAGATAAGCAAAAGTTGTTTACTTTCTTATAGGATTCAGAGAAATGAGGAAGATCGTTGTGTTTTTTTTTTTTTTTACCAACTTTAACTATTTCAGATTTGATCGCTACAAAGATTCCAGAGAATACGTACATAATATTCGCCTAATATCCTCATCACTCATATATCTCAATAAGCCGTTATTTATATTTAAGAAAAGCCAATCAATTATATAAACAATTTGACATTATTGCTTAATTTTTAGTTTATATAAGAAAGTAAAAAGATTTAATATTTGCTTATCTAGTCCGTAGAAACCCTGATATCAAGTTCTATTAAACCCTGATAATTTAAAGAGTTATTTACGTATATCATATGTATTTATCTTTTAAAAAAAAAAAATTATTCAAATATATATCTAAGTTTTAAATTATTTCATCTCTTCGAAAAAGTTTTCCCTAAACAGATCGTAGAGTAGAAAATTTTCATTTTTGTGTATATATATTGCCTAGTTCGCTATCTTCTTCAACTAGAGTATTCATCTTCTTTGCATCATCATAAACTGTGTGTGCTTTGTTTTCTTCCTCTGTTGATCCCTATCGAAAGTCCTGTACACAGACATCGTCTCCTGGTTAGTTAATTTCTTATTCTCACTCAAAATATTTAAACATGTTTTTTTTAGTTTGATTAGATTTAGGGTTTCTAGCTAGGTGTTTTTCAAGGTTTAGGTTTTTTTTTCTTCTTCTATTGATTGATTGTTAACAAAGATTTCCCTTTTGTCTATGTAATTAATTACGAACTTTTATGTATGATATTTAAAATCTATCAGTCTCATACTGTTGATAAACTAATTTTTGTAACGACTTCTAATTGTTATTGCACACACGTAGAAGTTTCATTGTCATGAAGTTTAACTAAATATAATTATTCTGAGGTGATTTTTTTCTCTCTCTTTTTTTTTTTTCATTTCTTCTAACAATCCTTTGTATTAGTAGATGGAATCATGTGAGTGCAAAAATGTGAAACATGCATGCATAGAAGAGTGTGTTTTTGCGCCTTACTTACCAGCAAACAAACCGGAGAAGTACAATACATTGTCTAAGGTGTTTGACATTAGCTCTGTGGCTGAACTTGTCATGGGTATTGAGCCTAGTCAGAAGCAAGCATGCGTTGATTCACTCTGTTTCGAGGCCGAAGCCCGTCTCCGCGACCCAGTCATGGGTTGCACTGGACTGATTCACCAACTCCAACATCAACTTCAAAACCTTCAAATTCAATCGAAAATCGCCAAGAGGGAACTCATGATGGTTTTACAAGAGATCCACAATCGCAATCGTATAGCGCAACGACAAAACCTTCAACAATTATATATAAGATCACGTTTTTGAAGCACCTAACTAGTATTTTAATTATTAGTTATATATTTAGATTTGGATTTAGATTTGAATTGATGAAGTTGTGTTATCATGTTTTAGACTTAAACTTTTTGATCCGAGTTTTGGTTTAGATGAGATAAGAAAAAGTTTCTACAAAAGAAAATTGTCAATGCATGGTTCTTCTCTTTTTGTCATGTTTTATTCAAGTCTTAAACTGAGACATGGATGATAAAGAACAATATCATTGGACGAAATGGTTCTGATTTCTGAGATACATATATAGGTATCTTGGAGTCATCATCCTTTGAAAAGGTACGTTATGGCTTTTGAAGAATTTGTTTCTCTGTTTATTCGGTGTTAAGGTTAGTTAATTATAATTAATAACTAAGATTATACAAATACTCATAGTGCTGGAATAGTGTTTTGGGCTGTACATCAACCAGCTTCGAACTTTTAAAGGGAAAAATGAGGAATTTAGTAATATGATTTATATGTGATTTTGACTATAGTTAATTTATATATGCTTTTGAATATTCATAAGATGAATTTCGTGCAACTATAAGTATATATTTCCCTATATTGATCGCTGCAGGTGGCTTACAATACAACTATGTACATGTTTTTTTCCCCCTATACATGTTGTAGATGAACTCTATAAGAACTCAAACGAAATATAAGTAGTATATTTATCATTGGGTGTTGTTACACTAAATGTTTACACTACAAACGTTTTTTTCGTTTTAGTTTGATTTTTTTTTTGAGTTTCATTATTCATCTTCAACTTCGATTATCATTATCTTTCAAATTCCCAGTAATGTTAATCTTGTCTAATTAAGCAGTCCAAAGAATGCATGATGATCTTCTCTGTGTTAGGTAAACTAGATAACTCAAGAAGTATTATAACTCAAAAATAAGATAATACCATGTTGTTTACAAAAAAAAAATTAAAAAAAATAGAAAGATAATATCATGTTGACATGTATATTAACTCAACGATGTCTGCTTATTTCAAAAAAAAATTCAAGGTATGTAAATGGTCTGACCATAACTTTGATTTTGTATGTATTTGGTTTGAAGTTTAGTGATATGATTTACATAGTTATTAAGGAACACTTTTTGAAAAATATATAGGATAATAATTTTAGAAGTAGATATATACTCCATCCGTTCCATTTTATTTAATTTTTTAAGTTTTTTTCTTTTGTTCTATATTATAAGATTTTCCAGATTTTTATGCGTTATTTATGTTTATTTAGTATGTTATGACTATTTGTATTCTCGAGTCTTTTTTTCTTTTTCTATTGGTTATTTAAAAAAATATTTATGGGTTGAATTCTAAAAATAACCAGTAGATTGAATTTCTTATTAATATTATTATTATTTTATTTTTGTGAAAGAGGGGAGATTAAGGTCTCCCTAATTTATTGAAATAAAAAATAACAAACTACAAACGAATATGTGGGAGAAACGCAGTTTTTTATGAAAATTATTAATTCTAAAAAACAGTTTGAATAGTAATAAGAAAAAGGTAAACTATACAAAATAATTTTACGTATTATAAAAGAAAAATAAGGAAACGGTACAAAACTGTACAAAATATTTTTCCAAATCTCACGGATAGTGAATTTTTAAAATTTATTTTAAAAACACTAAACGGATAAAACAAAAAGGCTAATCGTTATTTTAGTCGACAAGACGAACTAACGAAGCCAAAGGAAACAAACAACTACAATAACAAAATGACCAAAACGCGGCGGCTTTTGTCGTATCAAAAAACAGATTAACAAAAACGGTGTCGTTTCAAAGCTCTCTCTCTCTCTCTCCTCTTATCTAATGTAGAGAGCGACCAATAATTGCCTTTGTCTTTCTCATTCGTTGATCCAATCTTTTTCCCCAAAATTTATCCTTTGTGAGATATTTTTCCTCCTTCTTTGCTAAACTCCACGCGAAGCTTCTTCTTCTTCTTCTCCTAGATTCCCAGCTACTGTTTCTCTTCTAAACAGGTCTGTGCTAATCTGATGTGATTGGGAAGAAATCACAAAAAAAAAAATGGATCCGGCGAGTAATTCACAGATTATGCCGATTGATTTGCCGATTATGCACGACAGTGATCGTTACGACTTCGTCAAAGATATTGGCTCTGGTAATTTCGGTGTAGCTCGTCTCATGACTGATAGGGTTACCAAGGAGCTCGTTGCTGTTAAGTACATCGAGAGAGGAGAAAAGGTTTGGTTTTTATGATCGCCCTTTTACTCTTTTATAAAAAATATATTTACTTTGGATTGAAAGATTTGATATTTATAGGTTTTAGTGATATGATGATCCCAAAGATTTCGTTTTTTTTTTAGTTTCCAGATTTAGTACCTTCCCTTTTTATCCGATCCAGCTTGCTTTTATTTTATTTTTTGTTTTCTGTTACTATGATTTAATGCTATAAAAGTTTTGACCTTCCTTAATTCGTTTTCAATAAATGCTTTTTATTTTTAGTTTTGGTTTTTTGAAGCTGTTGTGATTCGTGTTGACAGATTGATGAGAATGTTCAGAGGGAGATTATCAATCATAGATCACTGAGGCATCCTAATATCGTCAGGTTTAAGGAGGTATGATTCACCTTTGAGATGTTTCTTCTGTGTGTTTTGTTTATGTGTAAGAGTAAGGCAGTGTGGTTTAGAGTTTGTTCTGTGTGTGTGTTTTTATAATGTTTTAGGTGATTTTGACGCCTACCCATTTGGCTATTGTTATGGAATATGCTGCTGGTGGAGAACTTTATGAGCGGATTTGCAATGCAGGGAGGTTTAGCGAAGATGAGGTTTTGATTCTGATATTATACTTTTGTGTTGTAGTTATCGATGTGCTTGTACTGATCTTTGAGTGTTTTTGTTTAAATGTATAGGCTCGGTTCTTCTTTCAGCAGCTTATCTCTGGAGTTAGTTATTGTCATGCAATGGTATGCAGAGCAGTGTTCTTAAAATTAATTGAACTTTTCTTGTTTATGTTTGTTTCTTTTGGAGAGTTTAATAATTTACTCTGGTAATACTGTGTTGATTTCCGTATGAAGCAAATCTGTCATCGAGACTTGAAGCTGGAGAATACATTGTTGGACGGAAGTCCGGCACCTCGTTTGAAAATATGTGATTTTGGTTATTCCAAGGTACTATTTCTCTGAAGGTTTGTTTTCTGAATTCCTAGTTTATGTGTGTTACAATATGGCTGGCCCTATTCAAAACAGCGGGGAACATCTTGCTCATGCTCTGTATCGATCATGTATTTCCTACTGATTGACGTTGAAATCATTGTTTCTGTTTTAGTCCTAACTATGCATTTCTTTTGTTCAGTCTTCTGTTCTTCATTCGCAACCAAAGTCAACTGTTGGTACTCCTGCATACATCGCACCAGAGATTCTTCTTCGACAGGAATATGATGGCAAGGTAAGGGCATGAGACCAATTCCTCTGTTTAGAATTAAACCAGGTATGGTTTTTTGCACCACAAATATTCTTTGAGATTTCCTCTGAATTATGCTTGTGTTTCAATATCCAGCTTGCAGATGTATGGTCATGTGGTGTAACCTTATATGTAATGTTGGTTGGAGCATATCCATTTGAGGATCCACAAGAGCCAAGAGATTATCGAAAAACAATACAAGTAAGCATTTCTCTAAGTTCTTTCTAGTTTCTATCTCAATCATCATTATCCTTCAAACGTGATTGTATTGAGTTTGCTTCTCTGTTGACCTAAAATGCAGAGAATCCTTAGTGTCACATACTCAATTCCAGAGGACTTGCACCTTTCACCAGAATGTCGACATCTAATATCCAGGATTTTCGTGGCCGATCCTGCTACTGTAAGTTCCACTCTTTGAATAAACTCTGTTTTTAAAAGCATTTGGAGTTCTGAGTAAACCAATTGTGAGACCCAATATGGCAGAGAATCACTATTCCAGAGATCAAATCCGATAAATGGTTCTTGAAGAATCTTCCAGGTGATTTGATGGATGAGAACAGAATGGGTAGTCAGTTTCAAGAGCCCGAGCAGCCGATGCAGAGTCTTGACACGATCATGCAGATAATATCAGAGGCTACGATTCCAACTGTTCGTAACCGTTGCCTTGATGACTTCATGGCGGATAATCTTGATCTAGACGATGACATGGATGACTTTGATTCCGAATCTGAGATTGATGTTGACAGTAGTGGAGAGATAGTGTATGCTCTCTGAGGTTCTGAGGACAAAGTCTGTTTTGTCCGTTACTGTTGAGACACAACTGTGGAGTATTGTCTTAGCTCCACTCCATCGTTCATTTTTGGATCGTTTGTTGGTTTTTAGTTTTACGCTACAAACTTTGGATTCACATACACATATATGTAATATAATGTATAATATATTTATGTATTTCTCTTTGTTTAATCACAATTGGCACATTTTATAAAAGATTATATGGCATTAGGTTTGAGGAAAATAAGGAGTTCTCCAAATTTTCCAAAGTTGAATCTACATCTTGAACAATTCAACTTGATCACATTTGAGTGATTTCACACAATTGGTACATCAAGAATCATCACTTCAATACAAATCGGATTTCACTGTCTTTGTTCCGTTTTCTTGAACTCCACTGAATGTGTATATCAATCTTCGGCTTTGATCCATCACTCGAACATTCAGCATTTTCTTCCAAAGATCGCTCTGAGACTTCGACAATATCTTGATTACTACTTTGTGATATGCTATGACTGCTCTTGAAACAAATACAATCTGTTGGTTGACGCGTGATTTCGTCAAGTTTAGTGTTCATTTCAGACATCTTGGCCATGACTTCTTTGATATCTACCCATTGATTGACTTGAACATCCACATCCACCATCCATCTTAATGAAGCTTCCAACTCTTTTATTCTTCTCTTATACCTAAAGATATCAAATCCACAAAAATGATACAAATGTTTTGAGAAACGAAGATGCTTTTCTAAACTATTTAACTAAGAAATTATGAGGCGACTTCATCATATAAACGGAAGAAATTCGTATATACTGTTATAATATACAAACCTGAACTTCTTGAGTAAGTTTCTGCGTCTGAGTTCCGCATAGGCCTCAACAAGAGAAACGGCCTTTTCAAGGAGATGCTTAAGATCTTCAATAACTTTCCTCGGTGAATCTTCCACTTCTTCGCTAAGCTTATCAACTTGAGCCACCAACGGAGTGATCCTAAAGATTGTTGCATCGAGACGGTCCAAGATGCATGTTGTGGTTAAAGATCTATCTTTAGCTCTTTTGATGGCGTCGTGAAGGACTTGGAGAGCAAGTCCAATAGCAGCCCCTGCCATAACCTCACTAACCGGCATTATTCTTGATTAGGATCAGGATTAGCTCTTCAGCCCTCGAGGTGAATGTATGGAGGTATCTATGTCAATGGGACTATTGAAGAGTCTTTTTCTAGTGAAGATAACTTTGGAGAACAAAAATGTTATCTTGCGTACCAAGCCGGACTATAATGATCACAATACTTTTTGTTAACAAAACGATCGAGTACTTTTGGAATAACTAGATGAAGACAAGAGACATTGACTTAAAACTTAATATCGGTCAACTCTTTCTTCTAGGTGAATGGAGAACGTTGGAATTATATATATCCAAGTTGTTGTGATTATAAAACTCAATGATTAATCGTTTACTTGCACAATTTGCACTAAAATATGCTTAATTTACAAATAAGTTGTAACCAATCTTCTTTTGTATTTTATACAAAGCAAGCAGGCGTTATATACATATGTAAGTTTGGCTTTATCATATGTATGATAAACCCAATATTAGTGAATAGTAATAGGATAAGGACTATCCCGAAACAATAGGAGTAAATATGTGTTTGTATATTTTACATAGTTGTGTCCTTATCTTGTATACTTGTATAAATACTCTGCCTATGAGGCTTGAATCAATAAGATCGACAAGCTATAAACCTTTGTGTCTAGTTTGATATGGTATCAGAGCCACGACTCTAAATTCTGATATTCTCTCGATCTCAATTTTTTTCTGATCTTGTTTTTGATTCGATTTCTTGACCTAGAACAAACTAATCTCTCTCGGTTTGTTCCTTCGACATCTCGACACTGATGGCTGACGACGACCAAGTTTTGGCTGCAGCAGCAGCAGCTGCTGTAATCGCTAAACCGACCCGGAGAACGATCTCTCCATACGACCTGACTGCAAGTGACAACCCCGGAGCGACGATCTCTCAACCGCTGCTTAATGGCCAGAATTACGACGAATGGGCTGTTAACCTGCGAGTTGCTCTTAGCTGCCGAAAGAAGTTTGGTTTTGTGGATGGAAGTATCCCAAAACCCGCTGATGATTCGACCGACCTTGAAGACTGGCGTGCGAACAATCATCTGATTGTTACCTGGATCAAACTGACGATTGAACCAAAGCTGAGAACCAATATCTCTCATAAGGAGGTAGCAAAGGAGCTTTGGGATCTAATCAAACGACGATTTGCAGTGAAGAGCGGAGCTCGTTATCAACAACTCCGTGGTTCTCTTGCGACTTGTAGGCAGTCTGGCTCTACCGTTGATGACTACTTTGGACGCCTCACGAAGATTTGGGATGCCATGTCTGAATGCTTATCAAGCAAAGTGTGTACCTGCAACAAGTGTGAGTGTGAGTTAGGAGATGCTCATGAAGCTGAACGTGATCTGATTCGAGTTCATGATTTTCTTTATGGTCTTGATGACTCCACACATGGTGCTGTTCGATCCCAAATATGTGCTCAGGTTCCACTTCCCTCACTTGATTCAGTTTATCAAACGATGGTTCAAAACGAGACTGTTCAAGCGAATGCTCGCCAAGAAGCTGCCATTATGAGTTTTAATGCTCAAACTTCAGCTTCTAACCGTCCCATCGACACTGGGAACACTCGACAACCACGACCAGCTTCATCCTCCACCGTGCCTTGTACGAGTTGTGGACGCCTTGGACATGAAGCACATACTTGTTTTCGTGTCATCGGTTTCCCTCCGTGGTGGGGTGATCGACCTCGCAATCGAACCAACATCCAGGCAACCAACACAGGAGCTGCTGGCCGCGGAAGAGGTGCTGCTCCACGTGCTAATGTTACCCAGATTGTTGGCGAACAACCTGTCCAAGCTCATATGGCGTTAACTGATGCGGATCGTCAAGGCTTAACAGGTTTCTCCGACGACCAATGGCGAATACTCCGATCCTTGTTTCCACAAGCTACTCCTCCTGAGCAGGAACGACTAAGTGGTAAGAATGACGATACCCTATGGGTTCTCGATACAGGTGCTACTCACCACATGACCGGCCGACTTGATTTGTTATCCGACCTCCGAAATATTACACCCGTCTCGGTCACGCTAGCAGCTGGCAAGAATGCCATGGCTACTGTTCAAGGCACTGCGAGATTGACCTCTCGTTTGGTGCTTTCTAACGTTTACTACATCGACGGCTTTAACACCAATTTAATCTCCTTTGGACAGCTTGTTACTGATAATTTTGCGGTTGGCCAAGTAACTGATAAATTGGTGATTTTGCAGGACCGTATCACGAGGACGCTGATTGGAGCGGGGATACGTGAGAGAGAGGGGCTTTATCACTTCAAGGGGATTGATTCAGTAGCAGCGTTTCAGTCTGGTATTGGTGACGATGGTGTTCTTTGGCATCAACGTCTCGGTCATCCGTCAACCCCGGTTGTGAAGATGCTTTCTGGTGTTGGTGTTCAGTTTAGGACTTCTTCTTTTGATTTTTTAAATAATTGTGAAGTTTGCCTTCAAGCGAAGCAAACTCGACAACCCTTTCCTATTAGTTCTAATAAAGCACTTCGAGCATTTGATTTGATTCATTGTGATTTGTGGGGTCCTTACCGAACAACATCTTTATGCGGCTCTCGATATTTTTTAACGATCGTTGATGACTACTCTCGGGCCGTTTGGTTGTATCTGCTCCCCGACAAAACTAAGGTCTCCACACATTTGCGAAGCTTCATTAATCTTGCTTTACGACAATTTGGGAGCAAGGTTAAAATTCTTCGTAGTGACAATGGAACGGAGTTCATGTGTCTTTCTCAGTACTTTCACAATAACGGTATTATTCACGAAACCTCGTGTGTCGCGACTCCACAACAAAATGGGCGTGTGGAGAGGAAACATCGACACATTTTAAACGTCGCACGTGCTTTACGCTTCCAAGCCGCCTTGCCTACTGATTTTTGGGCTGAATGTGCACTCACGGCATGCTATTTGATTAATCGTACACCTTCTAAGCTTCTCGCTGCCAAGACTCCGTTTGAGTTGTTGTATGGACATCCACCAAAGATGGCACATCTTCGGGTCTTCGGCTGCTTATGCTATGCTCACAATTTAGATCACAAAGGTGATAAATTCTCTCCCCGGAGTCGCAAATGTGTTTTTATGGGTTACCCATACGGCAAGAAAGGATGGCGTTTATATGATCTTGAAACCGAAAAGTTTTTTTCATCACGAGATGTGGTGTTCTTGGAGTCTGAGTTTCCCTTTAACACTCACTCCTCCACTATTTCATCATCTGTGCCTCGCACTGATGCTCCGAATTTCCCACATGCTGACGATGACGAAGTGTTTCCATCACAGAACACTTCCTCTACTCCCGATGTCATACATCCGACTCCTACTCTGGTTCAACTAACGTCTGATGATACGTTGGTCACGACTACTACCACTCCGTCTGAACCGCTTGGTCGTGGTCTGCGAACTAAATTTCCATCCGTCAAGTTGAAAGATTTTGTCATTCCAACGATTCAAAAGCCCTCTCACACTACTCTCACGTCTTCCTCTCCTCAGCCACCCTCAGGTACAGTTCACCCTCTTGCTAATTATCATAGTTGTTCTCGTTTTTCGGATAAACATTGCAGCTACTTGGTGGCTTTGACGGCTGCTGTCGAACCGCGGTCTTATAAAGATGCGTTAACTTCTGCGGTTTGGACAAAAGCAATGTCTCAGGAGATAACGGCTTTGGAAGATAACAAAACGTGGGATTTGGTTGAGCTACCTCTCGGCAAGAAAGCTCTTGGCTGCAAATGGGTTTTCCGCATCAAATTGCACTCGGACGGCACGATTGAACGATATAAAGCACAGCTGGTTGTTCTCGGAAATAATCAGATTGAAGGAGAAGATTTTAAAGAAACATTTGCACCGGTTGCCAAGATGACAACAGTTCGAATGTTTCTTGATCTTGTTGCGAAACGGAATTATGAAGTTCATCAAATGGATGTGCATAATGCATTCTTGCATGGTGATCTTCACGAAGAGGTGTATATGCGTATGCCTCCCGGTTTTCGAGCTACCACTGACACGCGTGTTTGTCGACTACGCAAGTCTTTGTATGGTTTACGACAGGCTCCTCGCTGCTGGTTCGCCAAGTTGACAAAGGCACTCACGGATTTTGGATTTCAACAAACACGGGCTGACTACTCTCTCTTTGTTTATCTCAACGATAAGATTGCCCTTCGTGTCCTGGTCTATGTTGACGATTTGATTATCTCCGGCAATGACTCGATGTTTATCCAACGTTTTAAGGATTTCTTATCATCTCGGTTTCATATGAAAGATTTGGGTATTCTTAAGTATTTTTTGGGTCTAGAAGTTGCTCGCAGCAGTGATGGGATTTATCTATGTCAGCGAAAATACTGTTTGGATATCATTACTGAAGCCGGTTTACTTGGTTGTGCTCCGGCTGGGTCTCCTATCGAACCGAATCAACGCCTAGCTTATGCAGAAGGACCCGACATACCTGATCCTGCTGCATATCGACGCCTAGTTGGGCGTTTGGTCTATCTCAAAGCTACTCGTCCTGATCTTGCATTCGCCATTCATCTTCTTTCTCAATTCGTCAAATCCCCGAAACAGGCGCATTGGGATGCTTCTTTGCAGGTTGTGCCCTACCTTAAAGGGACTATTGGTCAAGGCATCTTATTGCGCGCTAGCTCACCGATTCATCTCACGGGTTGGTGTGATTCTGACTGGTCGAATTGTCCCTTATCTCGTCGCTCGGTCACTGGTTATTTTGTTCAGCTTGGTTCATCTCCCATTTCTTGGACCGCACACAAACAGAAGACAGTGTCTCGTTCTTCAGCAGAAGCCGAATACCGATCCATGGCGGACTTAGCTCAAGAACTTCGATGGTTGAAGTCTCTTCTCGCAGCATTTGGCTTCCAACACGATCAACCCATGACTCTCAAATGTGATAGTAAGGCTGCTTTACACATCGGTGCTAATCCAGTCTTTCATGAACGAACGAAGCATATTGAGAACGATTGTCATTTTGTTCGCGATGACATTATGGCTGGAAGGATTGTGACGGCTCATGTTTCTTCTGCGGATCAACTGGCCGACATATTGACTAAAGCTTTAGGCCCTAAGGCTTTCGGAAAATTTCTTTCCAAGTTGGGCATTCAAAACTTGTACGCTCCAACTTGAGGGGGGGTAATAGGATAAGGACTATCCCGAAACAATAGGAGTAAATATGTGTTTGTATATTTTACATAGTTGTGTCCTTATCTTGTATACTTGTATAAATACTCTGCCTATGAGGCTTGAATCAATAAGATCGACAAGCTATAAACCTTTGTGTCTAGTTTGATAAATAGAAACGAGAATACTAAAATATTCGGGAAATAAATACTTATTGATATACAAGTCACTAACACTAAAATCTATCACTTAAAAAAAAAATCAAAATGTTTCATTGATTAATTTCTTTCTAACTTTTGTGTAGCCTATCAAAAATCTATATTAACATTTTTGCAGCACTTTTAATAAAAACCATTTGGTTTTAAACTTATTTACAAAAGCAGGCCATTGGCATTAATTATTTATTTCGAAATATGAAATATCATTAACAAAATTCCATAAATCTCTCTATAATAAATACAAAATATTATTTTTTATATGATATTTTCCAATATTTTGTATGATCTTATTTGTTTTTAATTTACTTTATTACATAAAACATATATATAATCAAAATATAAAACTTTTTTGCATATGTTGCAATTTAAATTTTGAAAACGGTTGTATATTACAAATTATTTTTGCTTTAGAAAATGTTTTAGAAAATGGTTCATAACTTTTATAAATAAGACAATATGCTTCCAAATACGAAAAAACGAGAAGCTTGATTTTATCGAAGGTGAATTTCGATCTTCGGATTAGAACCGTTGTTTGAGCATCCATCATTGGAGTCTAAAGATGGATCAACCCTTTCGACTATGTTTTGGTTACTGTTATCCTCATCAGATCCTCTAATACAATCTATTGGTTGACGCGTGATCTCGTCAAGTTTAGTGTTCATTTCAGACATCTTGGTCATGAGTTCTTTGATATCTGCCCATTGATTCACTTGAACATTCATATCTACCATCCATTTTAATGAACCTTCTAACTCTTTGATTCGTCTTTTGTACCTTAAACAACGTATGTTACACTTTGGTATGTTAGTACATGAAACAAAATTAATTGTATGGTTTGTTTCATTAAATGTCTATATACAAAAAAGTATTCATGTATCTAAGATTTTATTTTAAAAAAAATATCATTATTACATGATCAAAAAGATTCATCACAAACCTGTATTTTCCAAGTAAGTTTCTACGTTTGAGCTCCGCATAAGCTTCGACAAGAACAACGGCCTTCTCAAGAAGATTGTTAAGATCTTTGATGACTTTCTTCATAGATGCATCGGCTTCTCCACTGAGCTTCTCGACCTTAGCGATCAATGAAGTGATCCTCAAGATTGTAGAATCGAGGCGGTCCAAGATACATCTTGTAGTTGAGGATCTATCTTTTGCTCTTAAGATGGCCTCGTGCAGGATTTGGAGAGTAAGTCCAAGAGCGGCCCCTACGACGATTTCACCAAGAGGCATTTTCTAGAGATTCTTATAATTAACAGGGAGATAAGAGATTTGTTGAAAGTAGCTTTAGCTCTCGATCATGTAAGGTTAATTGGTATATGAATGAATAAATTTATATGGTCATATGGAGCTGGACTTTGATTAAAAAACACATACTTGGATTGATTTGTTTTTTACAATTTGCTTTTATTGTGAATTAAAGAAATGAAGAGCAGAGAATTGTTCTCATAAATGTAGATTATTTTCTTAAACTAAAGATTAACCTTTTTCAACTTGAAGTAATTTATGTAACTGAAAAAAGAAGAGTAGAGAATCATTCTTAGTGACGATAAATATTACATGATTTTGTTTACGTACTTTGTTTCGTTATTCCAAGTAAGATTTATCGTTGACTTTGAAGGGTATATATTGTAGTTCGTTTTTTTCATATGTTACATTAACATTATCATCACATATATTGTGATCTAATCTTTAGAAATTATTATAAATTTTCCCAAATCTATTTATGTGCAACATATGCTAAACAACTCCACAAACAATTCCGTGACATGCATCTCTCTCCGCAATACTCAACTTCTCCTAGTAATGGTTTTTACATGCACCTTACCAACTAGCAACGATGAATATTTTTACTCTTAATTTTTTGAGACTACTACGAATCGCTCTGCCTGTAACACCTTGGTGCACTCTAAATTTTTTTATTCGAATTTTGCAATATTAATTATTTACACGGCAAGAAAATGCACTTTTTGGGAATGGAGTCCCAAACATGGTGTAAAAGCCCATTAACCACATAAAAGAGGCCCAACAGCCTGTATCCGATACTTACCAATGACAAAGGAGATTCCACAATTATATATTTTTGTATGTTTACAAATTTAAAGTATATATAGAAAAATATTCTATATTGACATTATCGTGAAATGTTATGGTGATTGTCATATTAACACAAAGATTGATGAAAATTAGCATTTTTCATACTTAAAGTTTACATAGTTAATTTAAAATTATATTGTTAGTTTCTCGTATATAATATTTTATTTACCTTTTCTATTTTTCAAAGTCTTTATCCAGTTTAGTTTAGTGTAGGTTTTGATGTTTAACCAAAACAAAATGGTAGTTATTTTTGGGCCTTAAGAGCTATTAAATGGGCCTCAGGTTGTGTTATGCAACCAAATCAAGTTAGGATTGAGCTCTTGATACATTTTGGTTGTTGTTGCCAATTACAGATGTGTTATATTAGTTCTATGAAGTGAAAACGCTAAGCAAACATCAAATCACAACGTGTTCGCAGATGTCTTACTGGGAACAATGGTACATCAAATCTTAATTTGCCACCGGCTGCAAACTCCCAAATTGGGAAAGTCCCACCATTTTCTAAAGTAGACGTAGACCCTTGAGGTAAACATGTGCTATTCATTGTGGAAAGTGTTATTTATCTTGTTCTCATCATCTTTACCAATGACTGTAGAAGCATCTGATCAGGAAAGAGGCTGTGGTAGGAGTAGGACCTTGCTTCCACAGTTATACTTTCTTTTCAAGAGGTCTTATCCCAAATCAATAATAATAATTCATATAAACAAGAAAAATGTTGAGACTCCTCTAAATATCACTTTCCTCAGCTAGATATATCAGTCTGCATTGGATGCAATGCATGGTGTTGTCGTCTTTGAGATTAACTTCACCAACAAGATTCTTCAAACTGTACATGGCTCACTCCCACAATATAATGATCATCAGGGTTTAAGTACTCATCTCGCCCACAATGTTCTTTTTAGTTGCATTTACTGTTGAAAATGCCTCTTGATCGATCAGAACAGTCTTCTTCTGTGGTCATTCGTCTATATCTAGGAAATGTTACGATAAATATCAAATAGATATTTATTTGTCTCGTCTCTTTCAACTCTTTGTTTTTTTTTTTTCCTCTGTTTGCTCTTTAGTGCTTTCAAGCTTTTACACTAGTTTCTAAAATTGGGTTGTCATTTATACTTTTCCGCAATGAATTATATGTTCTTTTTCTTCTTCTTTTTTTCTCCTTGGGGTATTCTTTTGAGAGTTTATTTTGGTATTGGGGTTGTACTTTCACTTTGTTTCGTAGTTTGATTTCCTTCCAAGCAAAATAACCCCCAAAAAGATGATATTGTAGAAAGGAAAAAAAAGTGGTATAAATATGAGATGAATAATATATATAGGATTAGGTTTCAATCCGCGGTACAATTTTTTTAACTAAAAGGTTTATATTTTCTCAATCTATCAATCTTCAAATATATTGTTTTAAAATTTATACAACTAAGAAAATGAGACTAATTAGAACTGTTAAAAAGAGTTAAGACTTTGTAAGAAAAAATGATCAAGAGCACTATTTTTTTTATTGGTCGGCAATGGAGAGCCACTATTAAAAAAAGTTGTATACGTAGGTTCTTTTCCCTAAACTTATACGTAGAGTTCTCTAGCTACGTTTATTGCTGAATCTATAAGTGTATACGTATGTTTATATTAGATACAGAAACTTTAAAATAGAGAATTTGCTTTGAGAATTCTTGAGTCATTCACCTATTGCAAAAGAGAAAAGAAAAAAATGTATAATATTTAGTACAATAAACAATTGGCTCTCATTTACATACGAATGAGAAATGGATCTCACCTAGTTCTTACTATTTTATCATTGTTCTCATGCGTTATACATGTCCTTGTTGTCATTTTCCTCGTAACGTTTAGATGACCAAATTTGACTCGAAAAAGTTCCAATGGCCTAATTGCATGAGTAGTGTGATCTGACCTTTGCACTGACAACAAGATTTAAAGAGAAGAACAGTTTCACATTTGTCAAATATGGATTTCAACAATGCAATTTTGGTTTCCTCCACGTGCTTAACTTTGGCCGTCCAAAACTTTTTTCTTTCTTTTTTGCGTAAAACCCTACGTTAACCCCACTAATTTGCATTCGTTCTGTGCCTCTCTTCTACTTTATATCAATTTAGTCCACTAATTAAGAATAATTAATCCACTATAAATTTATAGTTTCACCAAAAACAATAAACTAATACGTGACAAAAGTATGTAATTAACGAGATTATATGATAGACATGTCAATTAATCGAAAAGAATATACAGTATGTGAATCCCAACATAGATATAACTTGATAATTTAAAAAGGTCAAAACAAGAAGATAAACATCATTCTTGTTAATTAAAATATGACTTGACTGCCGACAAAGAAAAAGAAATAATGATAAAATAAATTAAAAATATTGATTTCTTATTAATGAAAAACAAAAAAGTGGAATCATATTGACAATTAGACTATGAATATGGTCCACGTCCGTCATATACTGTAATTATTCGAAAATCATGTAAATAGCTGAAACTTATTTTAAAATAAATAATAAATATGCAAATTTCCTTTTATATTTTAGTAAAATATATTAAAATCTGAACCGTAAACCTAAAATTTTACATTTTTAATGGTAAGGTATGGTAACAAATTAAAACTCTAAACCGTGAATAATAAACCTAAGAGATTCACTTCACCCCATTATTATTTACAGATTTAAAGATTTTGTGTCTTAATTATATTATCTTACAGTTTTTACTTGCCTTTTTAGAATCATAAATTCGTGTCCGCAATTAAACCAGTTGACCAGAAAACAGAAAACTATGTGGCCTTTGGTGATGGGTAATATGGCTGCCTATATAACACACGAGTAGACAAAGATAACATGACTTACCAAACAATACCAAATGCAAACACATCACATGCAGAAACAACAACTCCACCACTTCGTCTTTGTCCACGGCTCATGTCATGGAGCATGGTGCTGGTTCAAACTAGCTGCAAAGCTCAAGGGTGATGGTCACCGTGTGACAGCTATCGAGCTTGGTGGGTCCGGGATCGACACGAGGCGGCTACATGAGGTTCGTTTGGTGTCCGAGCATCTTGAGCCTTTGATGAGTTTCATGGAGTCTCTTCCTGAGAACGAGAAGGTGGTTCTCGTTGGTCATAGCTATGGTGGCATTGGGACTTCTCTCGCTATGGAAAGGTTTCCGACCAAAGTCTCTGTTGGAATCTTCCTCTCTGCTTATATGCCGCACCATGATTCTCCTCCGGCGGTTTTGATTCAAGAGGTCAGCCGGAAGAAACAATATCTTTCTCTTATCTTGTTTGAGAGCATACTTATGAACTTATCTTCTCACCACACACGTCACATTCTGTTTGTATATATGCAGTATTTTAAGAGACTACCAGAGGGTTTCGCCATGGATTGTGAGTTTACATTCGAGGAAGGACCAGAACACCCTCCAAGTTCAGTGTTGTTCGGTACTGCTTTCTTAAAGAAGGCATATAGTAATTGCCAGTTAGAGGTGAGTCAACAGTTATGATTATGGCATAATGTAGTTGCTTCCATGTGATGTTAAGATTATCTTTGTCTGAGATCAGGTGGTCACTGTTGGTAATTTGATTGCAGGATCTGGAATTAGCTATGGCGTTGGTGAAACCGAGCTGGTTATACACAAAGGACATGGAAGGTGAAGATTTGATATCCAAGGAGAGATATGGATCTGGAAAGAGAGTGTTTATTGTCTGTGAAGGGGACAATGTGCTTCCGGAGGAGATTCAGAATTGGATGATCAGTAACTACGAGCCTAACGAAGTGAAGAGGATTGAAGAAGCTGGTCACATGGTTATGCTCACTAAGCCTCAACAGCTTTCTGAACTGCTACAGGAAATAGCAGCGAAATATAACTAAATATTACAACTATGTATGATTTGGGCTCAAGTACATCTATGATATGAATAAAGAATGTTTCAATATTTTGTGATTTTTGGTTATTTCTACACTGTATTCGACATTTCATTGATTACTGTATTTGGCTGGGGGCAGTTTCACATTAGCTTGAACAGAGTATCTTATACCTTTCAGATTTGGAGTATGGAGGCAAGAACATAATGCTCTCTGTTTCATAGCAGGTGCACCAACAAAGAATTTAGGATCTCTCTGCAGAAACACAACTCATGTCAGATACACTTGTGTCTCAACCCCCAAGAAAATTCGATTAGACAGGAGATTCTCTTAACTTACATACAGTTCTACTTGTGAGTTAATTAGCTTGAAACTTGATCTGGAAAGGAGACTTCTTTGTGTTGGCATCTGATCCTTCTCTCTCAGAGAATCTCAGCTAAGAAGCTACACTGAGAGGTTAAAGACTTCTATCACCACATTTGTTTTGTCAATTAATGGAAACCTCTGGGGAATTGTAAAGAATCCAAAAATTCAAAAATAAAGACTAACAGAACCCTTTACCAAATCATAACTAAGCATATGGCAATTTTCACATAACAGTTCTTTTGGATCCATATAAAGTATGCAACTAAATTACCTTTGGTCCAGGATGAGTTTTCGTGGGATAGACAGAGCTCTTGAAACCTTAGCAAACTGCCTCAAAGTAAAATTAAAAAGTTAGATTAGGTGACTATATACATAGAGTGAGTTTATTGTAGCGGCTATAGACTAACCGCCGTAGAAGAGCTTCTGGGTTGTATGGAAATAATTTCTTCTGATGTAGTTTAACAACTGAAGTTTGTAATGAAAGCAGACAATCTTTGGCATCTTCAAAAGCCTGCAGATGTAGCTTACAGTTTTTTTCAACCCCAGAAGTCTCAAGCAAAAGTTTTCTTCTCTTCGAAGATGAAGCATTTGTACTTTCTTCAAATGGGAATTCCATAAATAGGGTCCAAGAATCACAGACTGCTCGCAAACATCTACCAGGAAAATACAATGGATGTTAAACAGGAATCAACCAATTTTATGTATTTGTTTGGGAAACGCATTACGTTATTTTGCAGCTAGAGAAACATTTAAAGACTAGTCTCCTAGCTAACATGGCTGGTCTCACACAAACAAAATAGCAGATCATATCCAATCTTGACACGCAGGGATGAAGCAGTTGATAAGCAACTAACTTAAGAGAAAAGGAATAACCTCAGCAGGTACTCTGCACAGCTAGCCCCGATGTCTTTAGATATAAGGTAATCAAGAAGGACTTGATGATCATAATGCAACTGACAATGAAAAACAGACATGAAGGAATTTCATCAATGATTGAACAAATTAGCAAGCCTAATGGAACATAGCAGGAGAATTGCCTTATGTGAATGCTTTATGAAAATTACCTCTGAAAGAAATATACAGAATAGGACTACAGGATTGAACAAGGTTGATAAACGGAAGAGAATAGCTTGTTCCTCATCTAGACGTGAATGCCCTTCCACTTTAAGCCTTATAAATAAATAGAAGCCAATAAGAGCTCACAGAAAACTGGGTAACTGTTAGCAGAAAGACACTGTATTACCCTACTTACAGTTCTTCTCTATGCAATGGTACAGAGAGCAATTGCAGGAGGACTTTAAATAATAGATCATCCTACAATTAAACAAAGAGAATATATAATAGAGCTCTACTTTATGGTGTTAATCTAAAGCCCCAAATATAAATGATAGATATAGAAGGATAAACTTAAACCTCATGCATGAACAACCGGACGAAGGATGCAGAAAAGTCAACACTCTTCTTGGTATAAATTCTGTGATCAGAAAATGTGTAGCCTGGAATCTGTTGTTCAATCCATTTAAACATCTCTTGCATTCCTTTCTTACTACAATCAAACTCACAGTGCTTGTCGGTATGTCTACTCGAATAAAGCAGGGTGAAGGAGCACCGTAGGAACAGAAACACAGAAAGTCTTTGCAAATGATTAGAATGTGTCTCACTGACCTCCCTATAAGACAAACTCACAAAAAATGGCGAACCTTCCAAACAATTATCTTGGATGAGTTTAAAGCTCGTCAGGGACTTTTGAAGAAAGCCTTGAAACTGGAATTGCAGATATTGCAGCCATGAAAGAAGAATGGTACATTTTATATTGGACTGATAAGTGAGCCTGATCATCAGGACCTACAGAAAGGGGGAGACAGTAGAGTAGTATGAATTACTATCCAAGAAATCTAGAAACAAATCAAAGAGCATATCCGAACTTGTAAGTTTCTAAACAGATGAAAAACGAACCAGCAACTTGTGACCTAGGTATCTTAGCATACAAGAGCCACTTTGACTTTCTGATTTTGGTTGGCACCAACGAAGAAGATTTGGAACAAGCTCGATGGTTTTTTGGAGGATCAAATGTGGAGAATCAAAACCATCAGAATCTTCGGCAAAGTGAACCTGCTGAACCACGGAACAGAGAAACTGAACAAAGCTCCCAAGAAATACTGTTGCTTCCTCATGGTTTTCAGTGCTTCCAAAAGTTCCATACTGCCCTTGGGAATCACCACTACCATGCTGATGAGAGAAAATAGTGTCCACTCGGCTCCACGGAACTTTTGCAAGTGTAGAGTTGACAAATTCCAAGTATACATCAAGAAGTTCCTCATTATCTTCTTGGCTCAAGCGCTTCAATATATTACGAAGAATTCGAAAAATATCAGACACCATGTACCAGTTAGCCTTTTCCAGTTTACATTTAAGAACATCAGAACCTAAGAAATGTAGCTCCGAACTTCCAAACACAACAGGGATTGGGCAACTGTAGACGACTGCTAAGCGCAAACATTCACACAGCAAACGAAAGAAATCATCCCATTGACTTCCCTAGGAAAACAAATGAGTCGGTATGAGGGCTGCAAGATAAAACATTCTATAATATCGACTGAGGAAGACGCAGGCAACCTACAGATTCAACGAGACACTCGGATACTTCTACAAGAATGTTGCCGGCCAAATGTTTAACATGCACATTCTTCATACCCAACAAACCAACCTGCCAGAAAACCCCCAAACGAAATGAAGCTAAAGGATACTTGTTTGTTCCCAAATCATAGACAACCCTAAACCATCAAAGGTACAAATTTTCTGTACTTGGGAATTCCCTTCAATAAGATAAAAAAACCTATCTATAAGCTGCAGTGAACAAAGAATGAGGAACTTACAAGATCAGCCACAACTCTTTCCAAGCATAAAGCATTAGCAGTTTCATCCTCATGATCAACAGTCTCTTCTCCCTCTTCCTGATGAACTTAACTAATCAAATAGCTGTAATAATCATCAACCACCCTTAGATTCTAACACACACAGAAGAATGTTCGAAGAAATTAACTCACCACCATTGAATCACTTACAATTTCGCTAATCCAAGATTGAATTTCTCTCAATACCTTAAAAAAACAAATTTCATCCGTTAAGAGGAACGGAGCTTAGAAGATTAACACACAGGAAAACAAAACAATGTACTAACAAAGATGTACCTGAGATAGAGAAAGAAGCAGATCTTTCTCCACTTCCTTCGTCGGCGAACTTACTTCTTCTCTTTCCTACATGACCATTGCGTTTATACAAAAACCACATAAACAATTGAAGTTACAACGAAACGGAGAACAAAGAGTTAGAGGATTGCTACTTACGACGTATCCGCGAACACAACGATCGATCAACAGATGAAGACGAGTTGCTATGTTTCCGGTAACCATTTTCTCCGACGACTGTGCTCTCTCGCCGCCGGCAATAAACCCCTTTTTATTGTAAAAGGAGTGGTCACATGAACGCACCGTTTTGAATTTAAGAGAGAATATAAACTAAAACGCGACGTTTTAGACTCGTCTGCGTCTCCAAACTTTAAGCTTTCTTTTATGCCATTGAACGACGTAGCTTCCTCCGTAGTAGAACTTACACGGAGATGCATATCGTTTACGGCACTAAAACGGGCGCGTCAGCTCCACGCTCTCGTCCTCACCGCCGGCGCTGGCGCATATTCCGAATCTCCTTACGCTAATAACAACCTCATTTCGATGTACGTTAGATGTGGTTGTCTGGATCAAGCGCGGAAAGTGTTCGACAAAATGCCTCAGAGAAACGTAATTTCTTACAATGCACTCTATTCAGCGTATTCCCGGAACCCGGATTATGCAATTTATGCTTTTAGTTTGATTACTCATATGGCATCTGAGTCCTTGAAGCCCAATAGTTCGACTTTCACTAGCTTAGTGCAAGTATGTACTGTGCTTCAGGATGTTTTAATGGGATCGTTACTACATTCTCAGATTATAAAGCTTGGATATTTAGATAATGTGGCTGTCCAGACATCGGTTTTGGGAATGTACTCCAGTTGCGGGGACTTAGAATCTGCGAGGAGAATGTTTCAGTGTGTAAATGATGGAGATGCTGTGGCTTGGAACACAATTATAGTTGGGAGTTTGAGAAATGATAAGATAGAAGATGGGCTTATGCTCTTTAGAAACATGTTGATGTCTGGTGTTGATCCAACGCAGTTCACGTATTCAATGGTGCTGAATGCTTGTAGTAAATTGGGAAGCTATTCACTGGGGAAACTAATCCATGCCCGCATAATAGTCTCGAATAACTTAGCTGATTTACCTGTAGAAAATGCTCTTCTTGACATGTACTGCAGTTGTGGAGACATAAAAGAAGCATTCTATGTTTTTGGGAGGATTCATAAACCAAATTTGGTTTCGTGGAACTCGATTATTTCGGGGTGCTCAGAAAACGGCTTTGGAGAGGAAGCGATTATTTTGTATAGAAGGTTACAGAGGATGTCCACACCTCAGCCGGATGAATATACTTTCTCTGCTGCTATACATGCAACAGCTGTACCTGAACGATCTATTTATGGGAAGCTTCTCCATGGACAAGTAACGAAATTAGGATATGAAAGGAGTGTTTTTGTTGGAACAACACTCTTATCCATGTACTTCAGAAACGAAGAAGCTGTATCTGCACAGAAGGTGTTTGGTGTGATCACAGAAAGGGATGTTGTTCTCTGGACTGAGATGATCGTTGGGCATTCTAGACTAGGAAACAGTGAATGCGCAGTCCAACTCTTCATTGAAATGTACAGAGAAAAGAATAGAACTGATGGGTTTTCACTGAGCAGTGTCTTAGGAGCATGTTCAGACATGGCAATGTTAAGACAAGGTGAAGTGTTTCATTCTCTGGCCATAAAGACAGGATTTGATAATGTTATGTCAGTATGTGGAGCCTTAGTAGACATGTATGGGAAAACTGGCAGATATGAAACTGCAGAATCAATATTATCTCTTGTTTCAAATCCAGATTTGAAATGTTGGAACTCAATGCTAGGAGCTTATAGTCAGCATGGAATGGCAGAAAAGGCTCTGCGTTTCTTCAAGGAAATTCTAGAAAAAGGTTTCAGGCCGGATGCTATAACATATTTGTCTTTATTAGCAGCCTGCAGCCACAGGGGATCAACGCAGGAAGGTAAATTCCTGTGGAACCAAATGAAGGAAAGTGGCATCAACGCAGGGTTGAAGCATTATTCTTGCATGGTGAGTTTGGTATCAAAAGCTGGGTTATTAGACGAAGCATTGGAACTGATAGAACAATCTCCTCCCGAGAACAACCAAGGAGAGCTCTGGAGAACTCTGCTAAGCGCCTGTGTTAACACAAGAAACTTGCAGATAGGGCTATACGCAGCTGAGCAAATACTAAAACTTGATCCAGAAGACACTGCAACACACATTCTACTATCGAATTTATACGCAGTGAATGGGAGATGGGAAGATGTGGCAGAGATGAGAAGGAAGATTAGAGGATTAGCTTCTGCTAAAGATCCAGGATTGAGCTGGATTCAAGTGAACAACAATAATACACAAGTTTTCTCCTCTGGAGACCAGTCTAACACAGAAGTAAGCCACGCTCAAGATGAATTGCATAGGTTAAAGAGTAGTATGTTGTGCAGAGATCACCATCCAATGAACAATATTCATTCCTTATGTTCAGATTAAAAGTTGTTGTAAACAAGTATCGTCATTTCAATTCGAAATCAGTTGTCAAACAGAGGAGATAGCATCAAACTAAGATCATAGAGCCAAAAAAAAACTCAAACTTTCTCTGCTTTCTAGTTTCCGAACACAGGTACTAAAATGACAAGACACACTAAGAGATTAAGACACCCCAATAGAGAGAAACTAAAAAAAAAGGCAAAGAGACTGAAACACTCTAGTAAAAGACACAAGCTTTGTGTAAAGTCTTCTCATTTGAGTGAGTTCCCTGGTGTTGTGATGGAGAGATCCGGCCACGCAAAGTACTCACCGGAGACGAAGCCACCGCTTACGTTGCTCTCTAAACCCTCGAACTGCCACGTGGCTGGCATCTGAACAACGTGATGACCACCGTTACTCCCTACATTCGTCGTCGCAGCATCACACACAGTTGAAAAAGGCCACATCGCTCTACCAAGTCCAAAGCCAACGTCATCATAACCCGACCCGAGTCCGATTCCGAATCCTCCGAGTCCAATAACCGAACCGGATCCATGTGTGGCCGTTGCAGCAGCGTTATGGTTCAACAGAGAGGTGAAACTTCCGCAGAGAGATAAAGCACTTCCCTTTGCGTCACTGTCAAGCGGAGCGTTTACGCTGTGAGTAGCGCCGTTAGACTGAGGAAAGAGAACAGGCGTAACGCAACGAACGCCGTTAGCGGTAGAGACGACAGAGTTAACGGCAGAAACAGAGGAGGCTGAGTTGGAGGAGCAAGTGCGGGAACGTTTGGCTCCTTTGCGAGTACCACCGCCGATGGGAATGTCACGGAGAGTACCACCGTGAGTCCAATAACGACGACAGGCTTTGCAGAAGTGACGAGGCTGAGAAAAGTTGTAGTTGTTGTAGTAACAGAACTTAGTGTTGTTTGAGTCACAACGAGGACAAGGGAGCTGCTCTTGCTGCTCAGTGTTCGGAGCTGTTACGCCGTGAGGCTTCATAGCTATCCGTCGCGATTCACCGGAGTCAGACGTCGGCATAATCGGAGAATGAAAAACGAAAGCTTTCTTTTTGGGGAGTGAAAACGGCGGGAATCGAAGAAAAGGTTGAAGCTTTTTTCGTTTTTGGGTTTGTTAAGGGTTAAAGGTTGAAACTTTAGGGTACAAGAGAGTGAGATTTTTTGGGAACTTTGTTTGGTTTTTATGGAGAAGAGAGAAGAGAGAGAAGAGAGAGAGACATGCGCAGATAGAAATGGGGATGGAGAAGAAAGTTTCAGGCTTTTTTTTTTTTTTTTGACAGAGGGTGTTGGGTTTTTTAGAGGCCACGCTCTTGTCTTTTAAATTTGTCTTTTTATGAGAATTTTATTTTGTTTTTAGGAATTAGTTGAGTCGGCTATAGATTATTGTAAACAGTGATATGCTCTGTTTTTTTCATCCCTATGAAACACTATGAAGTCGGCTCTCTTCATACGTAGACGGCTCTGTTTTCAAAGTTCTCAGTGTTTTGAACAAATGAAACATTAAAAGTAATACACATCTTTAGCATACATTGCTTAATGCCTAGTGGTGACATGAAGAAAACATATTTTCTTATGATCGTCGCAATATTTGACTAATATACCATACATATGTGATGCATATGGTAAATGAGAAAACGACCAAAAACTTCAACAAGGTAATCATTCACCGTTGTGGTTTTTGGTACCTAAATCATCTGATAACAAAAAAAACATCATGATACATATATTTTAGTCTTATCTTTTTACCAACCTTATAAATCAATTTTTTTTGACAAAAGAAAAGATAATTATTGTACTTATGTGACTAATAATGTTAAAGTTTGGTCATGACGTTGCTTTTATGTTTTGAAGTTTTAAATTACACTATTACTACTACTAAACAACAGTCAAAACTAATAATGATGACATAATTTTATTTTATTCTAATATGGAATAACAAAGACACGTTGATTTAAAACAAAACAAAATGATAGAGTAGGTCGCAGTAGGCAACACAGGTTTGGAGACTATTGAGCTTATCAATGTACGGTCATTCATTTCCAAGTAATTCTACATTTATCTTTTCAGATTCTTTCAATTAGTACCATTTTTAATTATTTAATCTACCACTACTAATTTCGCCTTTAACCAATATTTTTTAGTATCCGTAAATGTCAGAAACTTATAAAGTATAGTTTTTATGTAAGAACAGAAAAAAAAAAAATCAGTCGTAAGCGTAACTCATCGGCAATTAAAAAAGGAATAAAACGAAATGTTCGAGAAGGTTGGAAACAATGGACACGTTTTTCTATCGTCTACGTTAAAAATAATTTGAAAATGGATAAAATTTGGATTTACTGTATTACTTTATATTGAGAAAACGAAAATTAAATAATTGTTTTTCTTTTCTTTTTGTTTGGATCAATCACGCAGCTTTTGAAATTAAAGTCTCAAAACAAAAACAAAAATTGATCTTGTTTTGTCTTAGAAAAGACAATACTATATTGTAAACCTTTTGTTTGTTTATTACTCTATTTAGAGATTTTGTTCTTTTCGATCACTTTAAAATTTCTAATTCAAACTATGTAATATAATAGACAAGTGATGATGACACATTCGCTTATAAATTTTCGTGGTTTTAATTTTATATAACGGTAGTGGCGGTGGGCGGTTGTGGACTATATATGCTCGTGTTTTCACGAATTTGTACTACTATGAATCATTTGATCAAATTCGCATTAGGAATTATTGTTTAAGTCAATATATACAACTAACAACATTTGTAGTGGAGTTTGATGATCTCTCTCATCAAGTCTCAAAGGACCACATTAATCCTCACATCAACACCAAATCAACGCAATAGATCCTTTCTTTATTACACTAGTAAGATTTTTAAAGATAACATCATAAGACGAAAACAAACATAACCTTTTTTATATAAACATAAAAGAGAGAAAGAAACATGTGAAAAAGTAGTTTGTTCATAGAAGAAACTCATCCGTTTTAAAAACTAAAGTCTCGTTTTACATTTTTTTAACGTATTATATGAGCATGAGTGTATGAAGAATGAGAGTATGAATGTAGAGTTTAGTTCCGAGTAGTATAAGATATTAAAAAGATTGAGTAATGTGGAGGAAACTGGAGAAGAGAAGAGTCCGCAATCAGAGGAAAAATTGTGAAATGATAATTCGTCACGCCTTGTCCCGACCCTTCCCATCATTCTGTCTCTCTCCGCATTTCTCGTTCTTCTTATCTTATCTTTTTTTTTCTTTTTCTTAAAGAAATATATATGACTTTCAAGAATTGTCAAGAAAAATAGTATATTACAAAAATCTCATAAGATGATTAAGACAATAACAAATCCGATGTTCTTTTGTCTTGTTAAAGTTAAAGTATTCGTTAGCCCTAGTCAGTATTCATACTGGTCTCTGGTCCATATAAATGTGTTTACAAATACGTACGTTACGTAGCAAAAACGGGGTAGTAGAAAGAGAGAGTCTTGAAAAAGAAACTGGTCAAGGAGACAAGAGTGAAGCTGTCGGGGGTCGGGGTCGAAGGAGGTGGATAAGCACGCGCGGCCGGAGGATGATATGACCCACACTGCTGCTGTGCTGACTGCTGAGCCACCTCTTCTCTTCCTCTTCAACGACTTTCTCTCTCTTCTCTCAAGTCGCTTTCACACACCCAAAAACAATGAGAGAGAGAGAGAGAGAGAGAGGTGTGTTGTGGTGTGGTGTGGTGTGGCATGGTTTGTGTGTGTGTGGTGCTATGGGTGGGACGATGTGTCCTATTTTTGTATTTGCAGCCGTCCTTTCGTTGTCGGATATTCGGGTCCGGACTCCGGACCGGTCCTATCAGATCAAAAACCACTGACACTGACACCTCTCTCTCCCCTTATTCCCTCCCTCTCTTTCTTCTTGTCTTTTTCTTCCTCAATCCACTCTGTTTTCTTATTCCCCCCCATTTCAGATCATCCAATGGCTTTCTTTGTCTTTTGAAAGAGGACTAGGCTTCGTCTTTTTCATGTTTATCTGTTATAATAGCTTTAATAACCCAACGGTCCAATATTTTTCCTTTTTTATCCTCGGTTACCAAAAATAAACAAAACATATATATAACTGATTATTCCCTTTCGCTTTTTCAATAATTTACTTTGTTATATCTTTAATAAATGTTGTGACCTCTTTTACTCATTTAGACGAGTGTGATTCTTAGTATCCGACACTTGTAAATTCCAAGACAAGACAAAACATCTCTTTATTATACTAGTATCAACTTCAAACGTTAAACCCACATACAGTATATGAAACTAAAACCACAAATCTACAATATAAATCATGAAAAGATGAACAAATGTTTTTATAGGTAGCTATAACCATTTATAAGCAAATAAAAAAATTACAAAAAATAAGGAAAGAATCTCACAAAAGTCGGAATAGAAATTACAGTTTTTTTTTGTTCTTATTAAAACACAAAAGTAAGAAAAATCAGCTCAAAGGTCACGAAGGTGGAGGAGGTTAAAGGGAGTAACGAATTTGGAGTCACCGTAAAGTAATTTGTCAGCAATGAGGAGATTAGCGGCTTCGGTGGGATGGTACGCGTCCCAGAAGACATGGTTTGACCGGTCCGTACACAGGCTCGACATTGGTCCACATGGCAATATCCCCGCCAGTCTCCCTTTCGTCTCACAGCACGCCTCACTCGCCGTCCTAAACCCTATATTATTAACTCCCTTCCATTAACCCTTCTTCTCTATGATTTAATCAAACAAACTAAATGTATACACAACTTACGTAACATTGTTGAAAAAAATAGTCAAAACTCAAAACCATAATACTGAAGTTTTGATTAATAAGAACACTTAAATGGTCCATTGGATGTTAAAAGGCCCATGGGCTTCTTATATATTCTTACCGTAGTCTTTGAAGTTGACAATGAGGTCCATGAATACATCATAAACGTTGGCATGGACGATGTGTGCGTCTTTGAGACTGTCTTTCAGTTCCACCATCAAGAGATCTTTGAGACGAGCATTGTACTGAAGAGCCAGTTTGTTTGCCAAAGCAACACACTGCTTATCTTTCAGTTGGTTGATCGAGTTCTGGTACGGTATACATCCGATCGGAGCCACATTTCCCACCACAAATTTCCGAGCATCCAAATCATATAATCTCTACATTTGAATTTTTTTTTTTAAAACCTTCGATTAACGTTAGCTACAAAGAATAGTAAAAATTGTTACGTAAGTTGTGTAACGTACCTTGAGCTGGTTGCGGAGGTGGCTAATCATGTCATCAACAAAAGCTTCAGGAGTTTGTGTTAGCCTTGCTTGAGCAGCGACAAATGGGACTAGATAGTTGTTGAGAAAATCGTTTGAACCGATGACTATGGAGAATAAGGATTTTCTTATGTAATCTCTAGCCTTGTCTTCACCTAAAAGCTTATCAAACTGCTTCCTTGTATTGGTAAAGTAATCAACTTGTATGTCCATTCCTAATCGATTCCCCTACCAAAAGCCATAATTTTCATATTGTAAAACATGTACACCAGTCCATTTGCATATATGTGTACACAGCCAGACATAAATTTTGATCCAAAAATCAAAATTTGACGCCTATTCATAAAAATAATGAACAGAGAATTTTTACGTAAACTTTTCCTGTCAACCAAACGGACGTGACACGAAATATACGACGGATAATGTGTGTATGAAGACAAACGAGGCTTACAAATACACTTCCTGTAGCATTGAGAATTCCACCAGCACCTGATGCATAGTTCACACCATTTAATATTGCTTCACCACTTGCATTTGGTGCTAAATATGGAACTGCATAACTTGGCTGCCCTAACTTTTCTCCTATAGACGACAATATAACATTTAAATAAACATTAGCATGCATGATATATAATCCAAAAAATTTGAACATTTGATTTCTATTCTGGATGCAACATTTTAAAAAAATTAAATTACGTACCAACGATGTCGGCTATGGTACGGCCATTGGTAAACCGGCCGGTTGGATTTCCACGAGATGGTTTGAAATCGATGCCATTAGGAGGACTGTTGGCTCTAGACAACGTTTGAAAGTAATTATTGTTTCCTGCGTCTACAAGTGAATCACCAAAGACAAATGATGCGGCTAAGGCGTTTTGGTCTCCTGCGCTAGCAACTCTCAAAAATATTGCTCCAAAGAAGAAGAATGGGACAAAGAAATTAGCTTTTTTCATTTTCATGAAATGGTTATGAATTTTATTTTTTTGGTTTTTATTGTTCTTTGACATAGAAGAGTTTATATAGATAACTCTTTTTGACTGGTTAAGAAGCTATGAGAAGCAACCTCATGTGTTAGATTTTGAAACCGGGTTGTTTAACAAACAAAGGCTTTTTGTTATGGTCAACATGTTTCCAATACTTAAAAAAAAAATTATTATTACAAAACAGATAAAGTTAGGACACCAACATTGTTGTGTTTTATGGTTTCTTCTCTTTAACTCAACAGTCTATAACACATCATCCTTCTAAACTATTTTATTTAGCGATCTGTTTTTTTCTTTCAATTTAGAAAAATACCAACCAGTAATTTAAAAATGGGATAATAGGAAAACACACAAGTCGAGCTAATTACTAAAACTGAGTTGGTCATAACCGACCATACAATGACATGAGTTTTCAATCTCAATCTCAAACTTATGTGTTATGCATAGTCATCATGGATATAGTACAATTTCATATTGATTTTTTTCTTTTAATCTAAATACCATCGAACTACTACCACCAACTTAAGATGTTGAAATGTCTATACAAATTAGGTTTGTACATGTTTTTTTTTTTGTACTTGGATCCATGTGGTTATAATTTTGTTGGTAAGGATCAGTGTTATATAATGAAGTGCTTAGTTGAATCTGATATGAAAATGTAAAAGAAAAACGCTCAATAAGAAAGAAAAAAAAAAAAAAAAGGATTAATGATGATGCCTGATGTTGTGTGTTGTGCATGACGCACCAAACATGACATTATTAAAATGATTCAAAGAAAGTTGAAGTAATTTCATTGCCGTTGGACCACTTAAAATCATATCATGTCCCATTTTTCTTATGTAAGAAGAAACTTGACTAGTGGTAACAACAAAATTATAAAGTAACATACGATTGAAGAATGGAAAATAATTGACAAAACAATGGTCACCTACCTTACTCAATTTACTCATTACGTGACTCGTGTCCACTTCAATTCCCATGGTCGGATAAACGTGTGGTTAGAGTCGGTCCAGACAATTTGAGAGCTCTACACAAATATAAATTTTCTATGGTCTTCAAACTAATGAGAAATTGGTGTGAATAAAAAAGAGTAATGATTTTGACAACTACCAGAATAATGAATTTTTTATGTTATGATAAAAGTTTTAAGGAAAGAACTCTAATCACAAAGTTCATTCTTGTGTTATGATTAGAGTTTCTGAACAAGACTATTTGAATAATCATTTCATTAATTGATTAAAAAATTTGCAGTTTTGGTGGAAGTTAAGTTCTTCTCTGATTCATATGTAGAGTTGCATGTCAAATAAATTGTCACAATCCCGGTTAAGGCGAACCGGAACTCCATGTAATAAAAATGCTTGGAGCTTGTTGGATCAAATCACTTAAATAATAGTTAAATTACATACACATTTGATTAGTTCAACGTTGTTTACGATATACACACAAAAAAAAAAACTATTTTTTGGGGCTAATCCTCCCTTGAGCCGAGAAGCTAGGAGCCACCGTTAACTCCGACGGACCACCACCACTAAACTGATCCGGCAACCGAAAATCCTGATTCACCATCGGCGGTGATTTCTCCGACACACGCCACATCTTCACCGACCTATCTAAACTCCCACTATAAACAATCCACCTTCTCTCACCGGAAGCCGATTCTTGATCTCTTTCCACCGCCAAACACTTAACCGGACCAGCATGTCCGGTCAAAACCGAAAGACAAACATGCTCACCTCCACCACTACAACCACCTTCTGGTCTCCTCCACACACGTATCCCTAAATCAGCTGAACCACTAAACATCAAGTTCCCCGCCGCGACTAAACAGAGCACGGCGAGTTTATGACCTTTCAAAACGCCACCGTTTCTCATATTATTCTCACGTTCCCAAAAATTAACGGTTCCGTCAGACGAACCGCAGTAAACTAACGTCGCGCTTTGATCAACGGCGATCGCCGTAACGGCGCAGTCTTGTTTCAGTAACGTCTGCGAGAAGAAATGTTTCGTCTCCTTCGCTTGATCTTCTCTTCTCCAAACCTTAACCGTACCATCAGCTGACCCGGTGAAAACCAAACCGTCAAAACCGGACACAACAGCGTTCACAGCGTCTTCGTGAGCGTTCACAGATTCTAAACACCGCAAATCCGAAACTCTCCAAACTTTAAACGTTTTATCCCAAGAACCAGAGTACAAGAGCCTCTTATCTTCGCTCAAGGCGAGACACGAGATCGCGTCTAAATGTCGAAACCCTAACGCAGCGCTGCTACGATTACGTCGCGTGAAGTTGAAGTAAGAGGAAGGAACAATGGAGTTTCTTATGTAATCACGTAGGTTAGGCATAGTACCAACACGACGATGAACGTTTGAGTCTTTAGAAGAAGCTTTCCACACACGTATCTTACCATCTTGATGACCGGTGAATATTTTATCTCCGGCCAATACAATAGCCTTAACCAATCCACTATTCGATTTGAAACTCGAGAACTCAACATGGTTTTTCCAAACCCTAATGTTCTTGGAATCAGATCCCGTGTAGAGTAAATCTCCTGACGTAGCTAATGAATAGATATGGCCTTCTTCACGAACAAGAGATCCCATGAGAACATTAGGAGAGTAGTTTGCTGTTTCGTCTTTGGTTGTATCCGTCGTAGTTTTGACCGAATGGTACGGCGAGTCTACGGCGGATTGATCGACTTGAACGGACCATGGTGACTTGGATAATGGAGAAGATGAGCCTTCCGAGGGGGAGATGTCGACGTAGGTTATGTCGTAAATGTCTGGATCAGCTGGTACGGTTTCTACTTTCTTGAGTTTTGTAAATGCTTGGCCATTTACATCTCTGCTTGAACCTTTCTTATGCATCGAAGAAATAAGAAGAAGATTAGTGTTTTTTTTTTTTTTTTTTTTGAGTTGGATTTAGATAGATTCTTTCGATTGTGGAGAAGGGGAAAAAGAGTTGGGAACGATGGTGTCTATATGGAATTTATGATTTTTTTAATGTTCTATATATAGTTATTTCAAAATTGGAACCGTTTATTTCGGAATAGAATTATTTTAGAGATGAATACGAAATAGCTTATATGAACTATTTTCTATTATTAGGTTTGATTACATATTTCATGACGCAATCGAATATTATTAAAAAAAGAGAAAATCAAACTTATAATATACCCTTCTTCATTTACAAAGACATATATCTTCTCAGTTTACAAAACGGAAGCAACATATATATTAGGGAAATATGATTTCAAGAAAAAAAAAATTGAATACACATGTGAACATCTATGCTTCGTACGTATTGTGAAGCTAATTCGTATAAAAACATGTATTTGTATATTGCGAGTGATGGAGAGTAGAGCCACTAGCTCGTATATTGCGAAGAAAGTTTTTATCGTATGGTGTTTTTATACGAATCAGCCTCTTTTTTCAGTAATAGTTCTTAACTACTACAGTCCAAGCACTATTCATCTATACACATTTGTTTGATTTCAGTTATATTAACCTTAACACCAAATAAACAGAGAACTAATTCATTTAACGCCATAGAAAGTACCTTTTAAAGGATGATGACACCAGGATATAGACCTATGTATCTCCGAATCATTTAAGGCCCAATGTGGTTATGGTTCTTTTATCATTTATGTCTCAATGTCCGTTTGTGTAAGTAAGAAAACAAGGGTTTAACAAAACAAAACAAAAACACATAAGAAATCATTGACATTTGCTATGTGATTCGTATAAGAAAGTAAAAAAAATTGAGCTTAGTTCATCTTATTCAAAACTGATTTCGAGATCTAAGTAAAAACAATTAAAAAAAGCAATTCAAATCCTAATCCAAATAATAATCCAAACAACAATCAAAAGACTAGTTAGGTGCTTAGAGACGTGATCTTAGTATATATGGATGTTGATAGACGTGTCGTTGTGCCATACGATTGCGACGGTGTATCTCTTGTAAAGCTGCGAGCTCCTTTTTGGCGATTTTCAATTTAAGTTTAAGGTCCTGAAGTTGACGCTCGAGTTTGCGAATCACACCAACGCAGCCCATGACTGGGTCGCGGATACGGGTTTCTGCCTCGAAACAGAATGAGTCGACGCATGCTTGCTTCTGGCTAGGCTCAATACTCATGACAATTTTAGCTATGTTGCTCATGTTAAACACTTTAGACAAGGTAGCATACTTCTCTGGTTTATTCCCTGGCAAATAGGGCGCAAACACACACTCTTCTATGCATGTATGCATCACATCTTTACACGCACATGGTTTTATCTGCTAATATAACAAGTGTTAAAAGGAAAAAATAATCAGAAAGTGTATCCAAAAAAACAGTCTTATAGAATTCTATTGATAAGCAATAAAACTTCTTGTCAACACAAAACTTCGTCTACAAGATACGCACCAAAAAAAGAAAGTTTTTTGCTACCAACAATATATGATTGATGCTTATATTTTCAATCTTATATATATAATAGTTCGGGATTTCAAATACAAAGAGATCTCTATTAACCCCAAACCTTGAAAACCCTAAAACTTCTAGAAGCCCTAAGTTTAACTATAGTTGATAAACATATACATTAAATATATGATCGTGACAATCAGTAGACCAACCATAATATGTATCCGATATATAGAACTTTCACGGTTTTAGATTCGTTAGGGAAAGCGGAAAGAAGATGAAGAGATTATAAAGAAGATGAATAATAGTGAAGAACCTACCCGAAATATATAAACATATTCAACACACAAATATGGAAATCTCTAAAACCTTAGTATTCCTTTCCCGTATATGTGTAGCATTTTTTATGAATGAATGAAGATTTCCTAATCTATGTAGCATATTTTTATGGATTAATGAAGATTTCCTAATCTATGTTATGTGCTTATTTTTTGAATCTTCATAACATAGATTAGGAGATTTTCAAAAAAATAAGTACACATATATATACGTAAATAACCCAAAGTTTTAAGTGAGAAGTTATCCTAACAATAAATTTTAAAGGGTAGTTGATTTTAAAGAAACTAAATTGAGGAAAATATAGCTAAGGAAAGCCACGTACCTTGCAGCAATGCAGGTTGCAGAACTGTTATCCAAGGATGATAATATTATATGATGATGATTTTTATAAATTTTCTCTTCTTTTGAAATGAAGGTTGCTGAACGGTTATTTAAGATATCTTATGTTTAATTACTCTTCTGACTTGAAGAGAGCCTTTGAGACTGCTGAGATCATTGCTTCTAAATATCCTCTAGGAAACTACACGTAGTCTGGTTCCGTAAAAAAGAAACGGCAAAGAAGAAGCTTCATCGCCTGCAACTGAAGCAAGTGACTTACACGTGTCCTTAAGGTATCGTTCTCATGGCTTCGTCTTTGTCCTCTAGCTTTCCCGCTCTGCCCTGATAAGGATATTTGTTTTTTTTTTTTCCAACAAGAGCCTCTCATATTAACCGTTTCTTTCTTCCCAGCTCGTTAATGGCGAATTCGCTCGATCACGCGCTCTAAATTCACATGGCGTTCCTTCGCAATTGGGTTCGACGGAGACTTCGTACTCTGTTGCTCCCTTTTTCTCGGGATGAACCTGATCTTCAAGTTGAATTAGGGTTTACTGATACTCTCATCACCGTACGGAATTTTCGATTCGATGTTTCTCAGCTTAATCAGCTCCTCGATGGATCGAAATTTCCATTTGAGAAATTCACTGTCGACCACTTGACTGTTCAGTTTTCCGTTTGGTCAGCTCCGGCGATTAAAATCGAAATTCGCGGTGTCAATGTCAAATTGTCAGCCAGGTAAATTAACCCCATTGCTCAATTGTTGTTTTGTTAATTGCGTTTCGGAGTCCATTGTTCGTTAGGGTTTATAGGATTCTGCATTCTTTATTTCTATAGAGGGACGAAGGAAGGAAGCTCGAGGAGGAAACGAGCATCAAGTGAGACAGTAGCAAATGAGATAAAGAAAGTTCTATCTTCTATTGATCCCGAGGTATCTTTCTAATTATGCTACTATGTCAACGAATCCTTATTAAGTCTGGGATTGAGTTGGTAGTTTATTTTAATTGTAATAATTTGTGTTTTGGTGTAATGCCAATTGCAGGGATGTGTTTTACATGGAATTTTGGAAAAGTTGCTGGGTCGTAGCACTTCCCAGATAAGTAAGCTCAAGACGTCCTTCTCGAATCTTCTTCTCAGGCATTTCCGTATTCAGATACATGATATTCATCTTCAACTTTGTTTCCCGGGTTCAAGTGAGTTGAGTTGCGTTCTGGAAATCGATGAGTTGAAGAGTGATTCTGAGAATTTTGGAAATCTTAGTTTAGTTAGGAGTTCGGCTGCTGCAGTTTTATTCCCTTTGAGTCGTAGTTCCCTAACACTGAGTTGCTATGGTTTCAAGATTGGGTATAAGCGGAATAATGTGAGCATTGAACTTTGTGCATTTGACAGCCTTGTCATGTTGATTACGCTGCATAATCTTCAACTTATTGATCTGATTGTCCGCATTCCGGAGTTAACCTTTTTGTTTAGACCCACTGATCTTCCGGTTTTAATGGGACTGGCAAATCTATCATCCAAAGATAGCAATTCTGTCAGAAATGGACGTCAACTTTGGAAAGTAGCTGCTCGCAAAACTGGATTGATGATTTCACCTCACAATTTTTCATTTCAGAATTCAGTCAATGCTGTTATCTTATGGCTGCGATATGTGAATGATTACGAGTATCTGCTATCTTTAGCTGGGTACTCCAGGAAAATCCCAGAGAAATCATTACTTTGGAAATTTTCAGAAAACAAAAGGCATTTTGAAACTGCAAGACGTAAATGGGAGATGATATGTAATATTGAGAAAGATCTGTCTGCCGAAGCTATTGCACGGGCACGGAGAGTAGCCAGATACAGAACTTGTCTGAATTCTCAGAATGTTGATGACATTTATGACGAATCTTCCCTTTATGGCCACTTCAATTGTTTGTCTAAGATCACCTGGGTTTTAGCTTATATCTGGAGTCTTATTAGTAAAACATTCTGGTCTGTGGCATGCTGTCTATGGTTAAACAAACTGTTGACCCAAGAACTACAACCTGATAGGAACAATGAAGATGATTCCGAGCGGCTATCTCTTGGGTTTCATGCAGTTGTATATCTTGGGAAACTTTCAGTTACATTTTATCCAGAGAAAATGGTTTCAAAAGACAGGCCTGAACACATGGACTCAAACATTTCCATGCTCTGCCTTTCAGTTGATGAGTTATTGGTAATGTCTACTGTTGGCTGTTTTACTCAGTGTTTGTCTGCTTCCTGTGGGAAACTGAAGGTTGAGTCCTCTGATTTAAAAAATACCAGTCGTTTCATGAATTCTACGCAAGATCCCAGTAGTTCTTCTGAAGGAAACAAGAAGCACATGGGTGAAGATGTGAGAACTGTTGTAGACATGGACCCAGCACAGCGAATTTCCAAAACAGTTAGCAATCATGGCGATGATCAAAATGAAGGTATTCTGCATCTACACAATCTTTTGAGAGAAATGTGGTTGAACTGGAACAGGAATTGTTTGAGGTTGGATAAAAGTACTTTTACAATTTCTGATAACCCTTGTCTACTCGTTGACATTCAAAACTGCATGGCATATGAGCATGTTGGTAACCAAGATTCCGAGTTCTGGAAATGCAGCATGGTATTGGGAAAGTTGGATATTGTTTTAGAATATTCATCGTTGTTTTCAATGGCTTTGCTAATTTGGCAGACAGAATGGGCTCAGAAGTTATTTGTAGACGAATATACTGGAAGGGTGCATTCAAGTTCTTCGGTAACTGGTGGGGTTGATCCTGAAATAGCTAGTTATGACGAATATGGGATCTACAGGCGCAGTATCGAACTGTCTTTACAAAGAGTTCATCCAGAGAGACAGATTCAGGTTGCCATATTTATTGGTGGCCCCCAGGTAAAATTGCTAGTTGAGAAGGCTAGAGAAGTGGATACTTTGATCAGGAAGAAGGATTTTCTATTATTTGATTTTCATGATATTGAGTTTGTTGTCTGGCCGACTTCGAAATCTGACGAGGTGCCATTAAGGATGCCTAATAACGCAAGAGCAGATAGGCCTTTGCTTCAGGAGCTGGGGCTAAGTGAAACGGTGATTCCAAGTTATGAAAAATATGTTTCTCAAGGATGGAACTCCCTGTCCTCACACCTAGGGTTTTCTGGTTTTGATTGTTCTTTTTGCAAAATGGCAGAAAAGAACTGGAGTCAATTATTTGTAGTGAGACCAGTAACTATCTGCTTTTCATCCTTAAGGTGTGGGATTTCTTCTTATATCAGATTAGTTTCTTTTAATCATTGGGTAATTTATTACTACATATGTGTGATACTAAACATTGCCTTTGTCAGCCTGCTTGATACATATTTTTTTGTTGTAATGTCATAAGCGAACTGTTAGATCCCTTAATTTATCGCTGAAGATTGATTATTAGCTGCATCTTCTTCCCAACTAATGGTACTGAGCTTAGGTACTTCGTTTAACTAGTTAGTGTATGTCCATAAGATGTTTCCAAATTCCGGTGACACTACATTATAGAAAGGAGACTTACTATTGTACTACTTAGATTTTGTGCAATTCCATATAATACTGAGAGAACTGCAATCTATTGCAGAGAGCATGTTTATTCCTTTAGCGAAGCTATAATGGGTTTCTCAACTGGTTTGGATGTATTGGTGCTGGGACTGACTATTGTATCAAAACCGGATGACCTAAATGCTTACTTTCAGGTAAGAAAGGCTTTGTTGGCAGTTTTTACTTTTTATGTCTATAAATATGCATAGTATTTGGAAGATAGTTTCCTATGTCTTTTCACGCATTTTTGCTGGTGTATGAGTTAATATGTGTTTTAGTTGGACATGATGCTCAAGTACTTATGAATTCCTCGATCTAAATGACCCTTTCCTTGTGCTTTTATAGTTTAAGATCTGAGCCTAACATATGAATAGCATCAAGATCCTAAATTACCATTAAGGTTATGAAAAAGCATTCAAGTAAATTTTGTTATTTTGTACCAGATGCTTCTAAGCTTAGTTGCTGAGCTTTCCCATGGTTTGAGTGGCTTAGGCTCTGTGGGTCATTCATTGGGGCAAGAATTTCTCAGATCTGATGCAGTCAATGTGGAACATGAGACCGAAAGGATTTTCTGCAGAACTCTTTTTGTAGTTAAAGGGAGCATTAAGCTGAAGGATATAGATGTGATATTTGATGTTCCTGCAGTAGATGACGAATTTGAGAGGCTCACGGAGCTAGATAATTCTAGAATCTGGTCTTCTCTCCAGGAAGCATGCATTGAATTAGTTTTAGAAGGACATAAGTGTTTAGTCAATGTTGATCTGTGTGAACTCCAATCAATTCTCTTCAGATATGAGGGTAAAATATGGAAGAGTTCTGGAAACTTTATCGCAGAATCTTTGCTGTTCAGGTCACATGCTATTTTGTTTGAAGCATGTCTTTCTAGCTGCTTATTGAGTGTGTCTATGGATTGCTTAAGCCCATCAGCACTAGGGGACGCCTGTTGTATGGCTGGAGATTCTACAGGAAATGCATCAGCAGCAAGTGAACCTTCTACAAACAATGTTTGGGTTCAGAGAGAAGTGAACATGTTGGAATCTGCTTCAATCTCTACACCATCCAACTTGACGCGTTGGATACACATCAATTTAGCTTTGACTGACTTACTTGTAGCTAGAGGCTCAACAAAAAATGTTTTGATGGAAATCCGTCGGTCAAGTAAGTTTGTAACAGCGGTTTCTATTGGGAGAAAATTTCAGTCAATCTCCTGTGATGTTGAGGTAAATAATAAAACACTACTAGCTTTATATACATATTGACTAGCTCTATATCGTGTGTGAAGTAGCTCACAATGTTGCTGGCAGGGTGGTCTTTTTGTCCTTGAACCAAAGGCCTTGATAGGGTTAATTCATGGTTACTCCATGTACCTTTATTTCATTTCGAGTAAGGTGTCAGTGATTCAGAATTCTGCACCAGTTCTTGAGAAATTCAAAGCTGATTCAGGTGTCACTGAAATTAGTACTCCTTCTCAACGAGAAAACTGGTACCCCGTAGAAGCATTTTCTATAGATGTTACCCAGTTTGCACTGGGTTTTGTCTGTGATGATGAATATGGTAAGTCACTATCTTAATCCACTTGTACAACGTTTTTCCTACGTAAATCCATAATTGGCGTTTCAAAGAAGATATTATAACTTTATAATTGCTTGATTTTGCAGGAGGTATAAGGGAAATTGTTCTGGAGATCACTCTCCACAGTTCCCTCGATTCGGCAGGTGGAGAACAAAAGTTTCTTTGTGAGGTTTCTCGCTTATCAGTTCTTTCTAAGATTCTTGAGAGCGTGGAAAGGGACATAAATATTACTCAATTTTCTTCTCCAGCATTTAGTGAATCTTCATCTTTTCTGTCTGGTGCTCCTCTTGAAACATCATTTCAGCAAAACAATGTAATCAGTTTAGGTGGTAGCACAAGTGTTTCAGCAGATTTTAATTCTCTAAGAGATTTTTCTGCAAACAGCAATTCACAGGAAGAATTTCACTCTCGTTATAAAAAATATCTTTTGGAAGACCTACGTGTCTCTGCATCTGTTACGAAGCGAGAAAATACTGGTCACCAGTTTAGCCAGGCATGGGTCGGCAGTTGTTCTGTTCTGGGATTCGATATAACTATTTCTCTGTCAGAATTGCAGGTATCATTTTTTGTGGTATAGTTATCATGTTTGGAACATATACGTAAATTGTTTTGAAATTCTCCTAATGTGTACACATTTACTATAGTTGCTAATAGTCATGACTGCTGGGCTATTATGTGCTTCTGTGTCAGATGATACTTTCTATGCTTTCATCATTTGCTGCATTACCTGGAGGAGGAAGCACACTTGCTTCTTTAGAAGAAAGGCCTTCTCTGTCCAACAGCGAATCTGAAAGAAGTTTTGAGTCTATAGTTCCCGATGGTAAGTAGGTTAGGTATATTACTATTTTAGTCATCCTTAAAACTTGTGGTTTTTCTTCTAATGAAAAATTTATATGTGTATAGGAGCCATTGTTGCTATTCAAGATACAAACCAACATATGTTCTTCACAGTAGAAGAAAGGGGGGACAAGTGTGTTGTAACTGGTACCCTTCATTATTCTCTTGTCGGAGAAAGAGCTCTTTTCAGGGTATGTACAGTACAATATTAGAATAACAAAAAGAGAGAAAGAGTAAATAGTATTCTTTGATTTTATCTCAGGATAAAATCAGGCCAGCTACCTTTTTGCTTGACCCTGCTTTTTAGTGAAATGGTGTCCCCTAAATTTGAATTCATGTGCAGATCAGCTACCATCGTCATCAAGGATGGAATTCATCCACCTTATGGTTTTCCTTGACATCTTTGTATGCCAAAAACAGTAAAGGAGAGCCATTACGGTTAAACTACCATTCAAGCTCAGATAGTGTAAATGTCTCTGGACTTTACGACAATGCACCAACCCTCTTTCGGGCATCTTTTGACGAATCCGAAAATTATAAGGGTGATATTGACTGGGAAACCTACCGTAAAATGGTCAAAGATACATTTTACCTCGTTAACAAGAAGAGTGCTTCAGCTGTTGCATTTATTGATGGTTTTCCAGAATTTGTCAGGAAGCCAGGAAATCCATTCAAGTTTAAAGTGTTTCGTGAAAGTTTGACGACTCGTAATGTTACACCTGTGGTTTCCTCTGAGATCAATGAGTCTGAAGCGCAATCTGTGATGGACTCTTTCCCCCCTTCTATTGCCATCACAATTGATGGCGTATCTCTGACCATTGTTCATGAACTTTCAGAAACAAGGGACAAATTTCCCCTTTTTCGTGGTTCAATCAATATCACTCAGCTCAGTATACAAATGCTATCTTCTAAAGCCAGGATTATGAGTACATCAAACATATTGGTGCTGTACTTTGATGCTCAGACAAACCAGTGGTGAGGATTTTTCTTTCACTGGGTTCTTAAGATGCGTATGCTTTTCCCTGATTATGCATTTTCCTCTCCTATATAAAATTCCATCTAGCAACTGTTTATATATTTTTTTCCTTTCGTTCTGGTGGAATAGGCGGGAATTTATTCATCCAGTTGAAGTTAGTGCTTTCTACCGTTCAACTTTTCAGACTCAGGAGCTTCAAAATACAATGCACAAAGTGCCTACCCATATTTACTGCAGAGTTGGAAAGGTACTTCAAAGCATTTTGCTTAATCTTCCATGAAGTTTTGGGGCTACATAACTTGTTACATATTTTACCCTCACATGTGCAGTTGGAGGTCTTTGTAACCGAGCTGTCTTTGGATATGCTCCTTTTTGTGCTTGGAAAACTGGAGTTTGCTGGTCCATTTTCTGTGAAAACCTCCTCTATTCTTTCCAATTGTTGCAAGGTTATCAAATCCTTGATTACTGTTCAATGGCCTTATATTTTTCATACTTTTTCTTTGATATACACCTCTTCGATAGAGAAACATGAAAAAATTTGGATTCCAGGTAGAAAACCTCTCCGGCCTCGACCTTATTTGCTGTTTCAATGAGAAACAGACTTCCACAATTGGTAGGAAGCAAACTGCTTCGATTTTTCTTCGGTAACTTCTTGGTCCCTTAATGTCTTAATTTATGCATGTGTTTATGCTTAGTGATGAATGCTGACAGTCTTTGGCACTCTATTAAGTAGATTGCTGAAATAGTTTTGTTTCCCATGTTTTGATTAGTAGATTGCTACTTTGTTTTACCCATAAGGTACACAAGAAAAGTACTTAAGTAAGAATACTCGTTTGAATAACTGAGAATGGAGAAAGACGTTCACTACTTTCTAGTTCATCTGCATATAACAGTAGGTGGCAGATCCTTAATAATGTGTATTGTCTTTCAAAGGCATTCAATGAACCATCAACCAGAAGCTTCTCCAGTTGCTGCAGTCCAGCTATCTTCTGGAAAGTTTGTAACCTCCTCTATCAGCGTTTCTTTGTTAGAAGCAAGAACACTAGCTTGGAGAACAAGGATAGTATCACTCCTAGGTACTTTGAATTTTTTTCAGAACTTCTATTTGCTGATACGTTTTCCACTTGAATAAGCATATGCTGCAGCCAATTCTGAATTCCATATATGTTTTATAGATTCGAGGAGTCATCCTGGACCGTTTGTTGTTGTGGATATTAAGAAGGGATTTGAGGTATGCATAGCTGATTCTCAAGGTTTTTTATAAGATTGTCAAATATGAACCAATGGGCTTGACAATGCAACTTTTCCCTTAACTTTTGTATTTGTTATACCCTGTAGGATGGTTTATCGATCTCAGTTTCTCCTTTGATAAGGATTCATAACGAGACTAGTCTTCCCATGGAGATACGTTTTCAACGATCTAAACAGAAGAAGGATGATTTTGCTTCTGTACCTCTGAAGCCTGGGGGTTCAGTGGATGATTCAGTCGCAGCATTTAATGCCATAAGCTTATCAGGAGACCTGAAGAAGGCATTGACATCCTTAGCTGTTGGTAGGTTTGGCTAGTAGAATTTTGGTTTCTTGCTATAATACTTATAAATTGAAACTTTCGAGCAAGGTTGAAAATGGCCCCTCATCACGTTAATGTAATCAACTAGGTTCCCATCTGTTTGTCTTTTTCGATATAGACTGTACCCCCCCTGTATTTCTCTACATTAGTTCTAGAGGTAATATCAATAGTGTCGTTTCTCTTAGCGTACATGGATGATCAGCCACAGCGACTGTTCTTAATGGTATTCTGATTGATTTCGCAAACTCAATGGCAGGTAATTTCTCACTCTCGTTCAGACCTGAATCTTTGGAAGCTTTGTTTGAGGGTGAGAAGTCACTGGCAAGTGAATGGTCAGAAGAGCTTGAAGGAGGCAAGGCAGTACGCTTAACAGGAATTTTTGATAAATTAAGTTATGGAGTTAAAAGGGCATTATCTATCGAATCAGTGAAGGTCTCATTGACTACTACATATTGCTCTGTCACATCCGCAAGTCAATGTGTTGGTAAAGTGCATTTTCTGATCCATAGCATTCGGAGGGAAGTACCAATCATACGGCCTGATGCGTCCTCTGATGTGCTTGAGAAACAGAAAGCATGTATTGCATTGCGAGAGCAGAAGGAAATTTTTCTTTTGCCCACTGTGCAGGTGTCCAACTTCTTGTCCTCCGAAGCAGCCATTCTTTTGACAGAAACTGGTAATTGCAGAAAAATTATGTGTTTTTAGGGTGACCTGTATTTCTGTCTTTACATGTTACTCTCGCACGCAGATCAGTTCACCTCTATGGAGAAACACAGCATTGGGAAGCATGCAACTGTACAGAGTGGAAAAACTATGGATTTCTATGCTAATCCTGACATGATATACTTTAGAGTTACACTCACTATTTCCCAAGCGAGCTGCAAACCAGTCAATAGTGGTCAGTGGGTTAAGAAGTTACAGAAGCAGAAGAATAATGCAGAATGTTTGGATGTTGATCTCGATTTTTCGGGTGGAAAATACTGTGCTTCCTTGAGATTGTCTCTAGGGAAAAGAGGCATATTGGAGGTCGTGTTTTATCTAGAAATCTGTTTCTTTCCTGGTTGCTTTTTCTTATAAAAAATCTTTCTGGTTGACACAGGCAGCTGTTTTCACATCGTACATTCTTAAAAACGACTCAGAATGCACCTTGTTCTTCTTTCCTCCTGATCAAAAGCCTCTGTCCAGGTACATGGCAAGTAAATCAAAATATCCGTAAAGTTGATGATGGCTATTTACTTTTGAAGTAAACAATGCAGGGAAGATATGGAGAAACTTGATCATGTTATCCCCCCTGAGTTTGGATTGTATTTGCCCCCAAAGACACAGGGGTCGTGGTTTTTAAGGTATGCTATAGGTGCTCGATACATAGTTATTTTCATCCTCTATCTATTTTATAAATTATACACACCTTGTTTGGCCAGATCTCGCAAGGTTTGTGTCATATTGGCTGATGGTCATGGGGCAACTGAAGCAGTGTTGGATCTGGATGCTTTATCAGGACTAACAGAGATTAGTTTGGGAACAAAAGATGAGTCTGGGTTTCGGTTTATAACAAGGTTTGGGTTGTCAGTTAAATCAATCTCAAGTAAAATGGTTGTTCCATCACGGATCGTGACTTTTGTTCCGAGACATCTTGTAATTAATGAATCAGAAGAGACCATCAGCATCCGCCAACGCTATTTTCAGGTTTGTTTTGTGTCCCTTTTTATTTATATATTTATTTGCTATCAGGAACATGATTTGTTTACTTTTCTTTCTGTCACTTCTCTTTCTTTCTGAGAAGGATGACTCTGTTGGCATAATCACCATCAAAAGTAAGCAGAGGGCAGCCTTAATATTGCAGGAAGAAACTACCGAGAAGAAAGAACTCAATCTGTTCGAAAATTTTATCAGAAAACACGGAAGTAACAATGCAAATCCGTTGATATTCGTCCAGTTTAGGTCGAACAAAGCAAACTGGAATTGGTCAGGCCCATTATGCATCACTTCAATTGGATGTTTTTTCCTTAAGTTCAGAAAGCAGTCAGGTGAAGCAGGCAGAGGCGCAATTGAATTTGCATCTGTTAATGTTACTGAAGAAGGTTCAACTCTTGCTGTCCACTTCCAAAAACCACCAAATTCTCTACCACCATATCGAATTGAGAATTTCTTGCATTCTGCATCTCTCACGTACTACCAAAAGGTTGGTCATCTCCTACATATTGTCATTGCTACATATGTGTTTCTGAAAATTTGTGCATCATTCACTGCTTGTTGCTTGTTAATCACAGGATTCATCAGAGATTGAAGTACTTGGACCTAGAAGTGGGGCTGATTATGCATGGGATGATATGACTCTTCCTCACAAGCTTGTAGTTATAGTAGATGGTAATAGTTGGCTTCCCACAATGTTCCTGCCTAAAAAGCATCAACCTTTTAGATCTACTAGCAACAACAGAATTCGACAGTTTATTCCATGTTATCAATTTACTGAGCACTCATAAGTATCTAATTGACCAAAAAGCTGGAACTTTATTTTTGCAGGAATGATACCTCTGCGCGAAGTCAGCTTAGATAAGGTCCGTCCATGGAAACCCCTTTTCAAGGCAACTCAACACAGAGGCATAGCCTCACACTTAATGATGAAAAAGAAGACCAAAAACCATAAAGCAGCCGACGAGGAATTGAGTAGCATACCGATGGTAAAGGTTGGATATGAAGTCTATGCAGATGGTCTGACTCGAGTCATTCGCATTTGTGAAGTTTCAGAAAGCCTAAAAGGAGACTCACTATTTCATTCTCGTTTGAAAATTCAATTCCGATTAACCCATTTAGGAATTCACTTACTTGAAAAAGTGAAGCAAGTAAGTCTGTGTTGTACTTCTCTCGTTTGCACCATCATATCTGTATTGTATCTTGCATTTGTTTCCATCAACCTAAAACTTACTTTCCCTTCTAGACTTGATTTTGTGTTAAAATATTTATGTAGAATGCAGAGGAGAAAACTGCCATGTCTTATTCTCCGATCCTAGTGGCAAGACTTGACAATGTTGGTCTACATTCCATGTTCACAGACCAACAAAAATTTAACCAATTATGTATAGAGGTATACTTTTATGAGGTGCAACAGGTTTGGTTGGCTTTCTGGTTGTAGAAATAAGACAGGAATTTTGTCTTTGGATACTGCAGGCTCTGAATATTGATTACAAATGGGAAGGGGCACCCTTTGCAGCCATGCTTCGTCAGCATCAATCAAGTTCAAGTGACGCAAATGATTGTCTATTCAAATGTGTATTCATTCTAGTATCAAGTGGTTCCAGTGTCACACAAGTCAAGCACTCCTCAATAGTGTTACAGGTTTCAAGCAGTTTACTGTGTCATCCTTTTTTAAAATCTCCATACCCTTTTCTTCTCACACTGTAAAATAATGACTAGAGAATTTTGACAGAGATAGTCAACTTCTGAGTCTTCATGTATTGATTGTATTGGCAATTATGCCCGCTTATGCTGCTGGCTATAATATTCTTACTGTCTTATGTTGCAGCCAGTCAATTTGAACCTAGACGAAGAGACTTTAATGAGAGTTGTGGCATTTTGGAGATCATCTCTCAGTACAAATACGCAAAGTAGCCAATACTATTTTGATCATTTTGAAATTCACCCAATAAAGGTTGCTCTAATATTTGCACTAGTTGCCTTCTTTTTCATTTTCCACTCTAGGTTGTGTTTAAAATACCTTTATTTCTCTTCTTTTCAATTAGATTACTGCTAATTTTCTTCCTGGGAGTTCATATTCGAGCTATAATTCAGCTCAAGAAACTCTGAGGTCATTGCTGCATAGTGTTGTTAAGGTATGGACATCAGGAAGTTCGTTTTATTTTCATAATTTTCCTGTTTTTCGTATATATACATGCACATAACTTTTTATGAGCTAATGCTTAGGTGGTACTTTGTTTTCTGTAGGTTCCAGAGATTAAAAATATGGTTGTAGAGCTAAATGGTGTATTGGTCACTCATGCTTTGATAACAGTTCGCGAACTACTTCTCCGATGTGTAAAACATTACTCATGGTACCGTCTTTTGCGTCTATGTGAGAAGTTCCTAGGTAAGCTGTCCTTTGATTCTGGATCTTATTAACTTGTATAATTTCTCCATAGGTATGCAATGAGAGCAATCTACATTGCAAAGGGCAGTCCGTTGCTTCCACCAGCTTTTGCATCCATGTTTGATGATTTTGCATCGTCCTCTCTTGATGCGTTTTTTGATCCTTCTCGAGGCTTGGTCAATGTCCCTGGTTTGACAGTGGGTAAGCGATGTGCATGTGTTGTATCATTACTTAGATTTTTGGCTTCTATAGGGATCAATTCTCAATTGAGTTGGGAATTTAATTTGCTTATATCTGTTGTAGGCACTTTCAAACTCCTCAGTAAATTTATTGACAACAAAGGACTGTCAGGGACAAGACGTTACTTTGGTGATCTTGGGAAAACTGTAAGTAACTTATAGTATATCGCTAGTCAATTTTCTAGTTTTTCAAATTCAACCCCTTATGCAAATACCATTGCAGCTAAGAACAGCTGGATCCAATGTAATCTTCGTTGCTCTCACTGAAATCTCCGACTCTGTTCTGAGAGGTGCAGAAATGAAAGGTGTTGACGGACTGGTGAGGACTCATCTCCTTATGGCCCGCTAGGCTGAAATTTCCATTACCACAATGTTTTTTTTCAAAAATCATCTCTCTCTTCTGCCAGGTCAGCGGTTTCCACCACGGAATCCTTAAACTAGCGATGGAACCTTCAGTGATAGGAACAGCTTTGATGGAAGGTGGACCTGATCGAACAATTAAGCTTGATCGTAATCCCGGTATTGATGAGGTGATATCTCCTGCCCTTTCTTGTACTTTCAAATTAAATATATTCATTTGAGTAGAGAAGAGAAACTTAGAATTCCTCTGACACATAGAGCTTTTTAAATTTTGACATCCCTCTGAGTTTTTCACTATATAATGGAGTGGATGTCATGGCTTCCTTATCGTGTAAAAAGGCTAGGATATATATATATATATATAAGCTTCCAGTCCTATCTACTAATTTCTTCAATTTTTAGAATCATTGTGACAGATAATTGCAAGATTTAGTTCTGTATGCTTATATAAACTCCTTGCAGTTATACATTGAAGGATACCTTCAAGCTATGTTGGATACAATGTATAGACAAGAGTATCTCAGAGTCAAAGTCATTGACGATCAGGTAAACAAATTGCCAAAACAATGTTTCTCGAGCTTAGATTTTCTTCGCAATTCCAAGAAAAGGATGTAAACAGTATCATGATTTATCTAAAAGACAGATTCATACCAACCAGAAATCATGAACCTCATATTTCCCTGACAGCCAAACATGTTTTCTTATAGGTTTTCCTGAAAAACCTACCACCAAGCAATTCTCTCATAGATGAGATGATAGACCGTGTTAAAGATTTTCTCGAAAGCAGGGGATTACTCAAAGGAGATCCCTCAAGCTCTCGTCCTCGTCGCCGTCTCCATGGAGACAAGGTTTATTCAAGTCCCTTTTCTCTACATAAGCACAAATTTGGCTTGGGGGTGTTTGGTTGATAATAATTCCATTCCGTTAGCATATGCTCTGTGTGTTTGACTTTGATGGACCCTGATATATCTCAATGTGATCAGGAATGGAAGATCGGACCAACGCTGGTAACATTGTGTGAACATCTATTCGTCAGCTTTGCAATTCGCATACTGAAACAGCATGCCACAAAGGTCATTACAGGTCTTAGGCCAAAGAAGGAAGAATCAGATGCGGAGAGTAGTGACACTGGTTCCAGTACTGCAATTGTACCGGTAATGAATGACCAGAAGAAGAAGAAAGTGAAGTTTATGTGGAGAACTGGTGTTGGGAATTTTGTGGCTTCAGGTATCGTTGCTTACATCGACGGACGTTTGTGCCGACAAATTCCTAATCCAATAGCTCGCCGGATTGTGAGTGGGTTTTTGTTAAGTTTCCTTGAGAAAAGCAGTGAACAATAACCACTTCCTCTGTAAATAATCTTCTACAGTAGAACCATTACATTACATCAAATAGAAAGTAATAAAAGCTCCTTACGTTTTTCTTCTTCTCTGCATCAATCACCATTGCACAACTGTGTTTTTCAGGGATCTGTTTTAGTTGTCTTAACGACAAATGGGTCGAACCGTTGAAGTCATAAACAAAACTCTGTTTCACTGTCCTGCTTCAGAACACTCTATTACGCGATTCAAAATTGGACGATTGATATATGGGCCAGTATTTGAATGGAGTCTTAAACTTGGCCCGCAAGCAAACACATGTCTATCAAAACAATAATTTTTTTAAAAAGTTAATTTTCCTTATACAAATCCATCTCAAATATGGAAAAACTTTTCTCTATATAATCAACGAGGAGTCTCATCTCCCACGTTATTTCATTAGTCTCCCTCTTTCTCTCTTTAGTTTCTTCAGTACGTATTTTTTTTTTTTTTTGCGTTTGTGTTTTACTCTCAAACAATGGCTGATTTCGAAGACCTCCCACCACCATGTGTGAAGGACCATCATGAGAAGAGAAGAAGCAGAAAAAAGAGGATGATAAGAACGAAGGAACTTGAAGAATTGATTAGTGCAGCCACAAAAGCCGCTCATGTTGCAAGAGACAAAGGGTTTTACATCGCCTCTCCCGAAGCCATACAGTGCGTTGAGATCCTTAGACATCTGCGAAGCATACCTCTAAACGCTCGTCTTATCACCAAGTCCAACGGCTTTCGCACTATTCTCTTCCTCTGTAAGAATGGTAACCCTAAAATCCGCTCCGAGTCTCATTCCGTCATCGATCACTGGAAGGGCATTCTCCAAAACAAAGTTCAATGATGGAAGAGATTTTCACTACGAAGACTTGTTCATCATCAATTGAAGAGTATAAACCTAGGGTTTTTTATTTTTTCCTTGTAAAGGGTTTTGATAAATTTGTAAGAAACTAACTAAGGTCTTTTTTGTTTCTTCTAATTCAAAAGTTTTTACATGTTTGAAGAAGAACCAAGTCGATCGTGTTATTAATAAACGAAAGTAGCATATCATTGTAAAGCAGAGGAATGGGTAAATTTCTATCGAATTGAGAATCATGGGATAATAAAGAGATGATTGTTTAATACGAGGTCAAAAACATAAAAAGAGTAAAGCTTGTCCTGGTTTTTTTTTTTTTTTTTTTTGTCAAAATTGTCCTGGTTTATCTCTCGTGCCTCAGCTTTGGTTTTTTTTTTTTTTTTCGTATTTAATTTTTTTAATTTTTTTTGGTTTTTTGGTTTTTATCTCCGACAAAGAGGCAGTGAGTAGGGGTAGGGCTTTCCTTTTTCCGACGATTCGTTCCCTCGCGCTTCGTCGTCTGACATCAGCGCACTTTAGCCACCGTCGTAGTTATCATACGCCCACCACCGCCGGAGGTAATCTTACGGCCGCCGTTTCGAGCTGTTTTAAAAAGGGGAAACGAAACCCTAATTCGTCGATTTCCATCACTTTGATTGTTTATCTTCAACCTAGCTCTGCGTCTGTTCTACGCTCTGGTTTATCACAAAGGATCGAATCTGAAATTGATTGTTTTGATTTTGGTGTTTTTGAATCAGGGGAGAGATTCTTCGATTGATTTCCAATTTTGATCAATTCGTCACTGTAGTAGATCTGAACCAATAGACTGCGGACGAATTTGACTGGGGAGAACCAGATCCAGGTTTAGGGTTTGATGCGTTGGCGATGTTCAGTGATCGGCGGAAGCGGGATATGGCTAATCATGGAGATGGAAACAAGTATGCGTCTGTGAATCTGAATAAGTCTTATGGGTATCAATCTCATCATCAGTATAATCAATCTGGAGGTTATGGGGCGAACAGAGGGAGAGGAGGTGGTGGCTATGGCGGTGGTGGAGGTGGTGGAGGAAGTATGGTGGTCCTTTCACGGCCCAGAAGCTCGCAGAATGCTGGGCCGAAGCTATCTGTTCCACCCCCCTTGAACCTTCCTTCACTCCGTAAGGAGCATGAGCGAGTTGATTCATCTGGTTCGAGCTTTCATTCTGGTGGAGGAATCACTGGCAGTGGAACAAGACCTGCTTCATCTGGTATCGGATGGAGTAAGCCTGCCACTACAGCTGCTGATGGTGATATTGCCAACCATACTGCTGAAGGTGTTACCAGGGGGAGTAATGGGTTGAATATGTCCCTTGCTTCTCGTGTTGGTGCAGCTGAACCTATGGAACGAGCGTTTCATCATGTAGAGAAAGTAGCAACTTTGAGGGGTGAAGATTTTCCGTCCCTTAAGGCGTCTCTGCCTTCAGCTTCTGTATCTGGGCAGAAACAGAAAGAGAGCTTAAATCAGAAACAGAAGCAAGGTCCAGGCGAAGAGTCTTCAAAAGAGCCTAGAGGTGTCTCTGGTATGGGCAGTTCACTTGTAGATATGAGGCCTCAAAACCAGTCTGTGCGTAGCCGGCTCGGTAATGAGCTCAGTGAGAGTTCTAGTTTCTCAGACGGGTTACATTCATCTGAACAAGTGAGGAAAAGGGATTATTTTCCAGGGCCACTGCCTCTTGTTCGTTTGGCACCACGCTCTGATTGGGCTGATGATGAGCGTGACACTAGTCATGGCTTAAGAGATCGGGACAGAGATCATGGCTATTCAAAGAATGAACCATTTTGGGATAGGGGTTTTGATCTTCCGAGGACTCATGTCCTGCCCCAGAAGCATGCTACATCTAATCTTTTTGACAAATCAGGACAGCGTGAAAATGAAACTGCAAAGTCCTCTTTGACTCAAGTAAGACCAGTGAGTGGAGGGGGAAAGGATACCAATGCTTGGAGAGTCTCCGTACCACTACAAAATGAAGGTGCAAATAATAATAACAATAACATTTATGGAGCAAGGCCGTCTAGTAGGGGCAGAGAAGCTGCTAAGAAAAGTAATTACGTCTTGTCATCATCAAGGGAAAATGTTTGGAATAATACTGGAGCTAGAGAGGCTCCATATCAGCATGGAGGAAGGCAGCCATGGAATAATAATATGGATAGCTACAGCAACAGGGGAACTTTTAATCAGAATAGGTATGGAACCAACTCTTTCCAGTATGACTCTGCTTTAATAGGTTCGCTTACTTCTTGTGACAAGATTTCCTTAATTGATGTTTTCTATATTAACTTCTTGCAGGGATAGTCGTCCCTTCTTCAAGAGTGACAAACCTCATGTGGAAGATCCTTTTATGAAAGACTTTGGTGACTCTGGTTTTGATGTCCATGATCCATTCCCAGTACTTGGTGTTGCTAAGAAGAAGAAAGAGGCTTTAAAGCAAACAGAGTTTCATGATCCTGTCAGGGAGTCATTTGAGGCTGAACTTGAACGAGTTCAAAAGATGCAGGAAGAGGAACGCCGGCGGATCATTGAGGAACAGGAAAGGGTGGTAGAACTAGCTCGAACCGAAGAAGAAGAGAGACTGCGGCTGGCCCGCGAACAAGATGAGCGGCTAAGAAGATTAGAAGAAGAGGCTAGAGAAGCTGCTTTCAGAAACGAGCAGGAGAAATTAGAGGCTGCAAGGAGGGCAGAAGAGTTGAGAAAGTCAAAAGAAGAGGAGAAACATAGGTTGCTCATGGAGGAAGAAAGAAGGAAGCAGGCTGCTAAGCAAAAGCTTCTAGAGTTGGAAGAAAAGATATCCAGGAGGCAGGCTGAAGCTGCCAAAGGTTGCAGCAGCTCTTCAACCGTTTCAGAGGATAAATTCTTAGATATTGTTAAAGAAAAAGAGTCTGCAGATGTTGTTGATTGGGAAGACAGTGAAAGAATGGTGGATAGAATTACTACGTCATCATCTTCAGATCTACCAGTACCCAATAGATCTTTTGAGAACAATGCCGCGTCTCAATTTTCTAGAGACGGCTCTTTTGGATTCCCTGATAGACAAAAGCCTACGTGGAGAAAGGAAGATATTGAAAGTGGAAGCAATTCGAGGTTTATTCAACAAAATATAGAGAATGTTCCAAATAGCCCACAGGAAGAGTTCTTTGGTACAACTGGATATCTCAGTGCCCCTTCCTACTTCAAACCAGGATTCCCAGAGCATTCAATCGATCAGAGTTGGAGAATTCCTGGGGATGGAAGGAACCATGCTAAGAATTATGGGATGGAAACTGAATCTTGTGAAAGTTTTGGAGAGCAATATGGTGATCCCGGATGGGGACAAAACCAGGGCCGTGCACGCCACCATGGTTCATATCCTACTTATCCTGAAAAGTTGTATCAGAATCCAGAGGGGGATGACTATTACCCTTTTGGAAGACCAAGGTATTCAGTAAGGCAGCCACGTGTTCTTCCCCCTCCTCAGGAGATTAGGCAGAAGCCGTCCTTTAGAAGTGGTGAGAGTGAGCATCCTGGTCCCTCAACTTCCGTTGGAGGGATTAATTACAGCCATACAGGTAGAACTAATTCGACCGTTCTAGCCAATTATATAGGGGATCTTCAAGATCATCATGTGCTGCCCGGAAGAAGTATCGATGAACATCATCAGTTTGATAGCAAGCTGACTGGAAGATGTGACTCTCAGTCTTCACTCTCTGTTACTAGCCCACCTGATTCCCCTGTTCATCTCTCTCATGATGATCTGGATGAATCAGCAGATCTATCTGTCTTAGCTACTTCCAGAAAGGGAGAAGATGCTGGTTTACTAGAGAACAGGGGAGCACCAATTATTTCTAGTGATACTGGAAAGGATAGTTTGATGATTGCTACAGGCTCTGTGTCTTGTTGGGATAATGAAGAGTGGACACTTGGAAATAATGAACAGTTGCAGGAACAAGAAGAATATGATGAAGATGAAGATGGCTACCAGGAGGAGGATAAAATACATGGTGTTGATGAGAACATAGATCTCACTCAAGAGTTAGAAGAAATGCATCTCGAGGATAAGGATTCTAATCTAGTATTAGGCTTTAATGAAGGAGTGGAGGTTGAAATACCCAGCGATGACTTTGAAAAATGTCAACAGAACTCTGAAGCTACATTTCCTCTTACTCAGCATACTGTCGATTCTTTAGATGATAAAAGACCTTCTATTGGGACAAGCTGTGGTGAACAAGACGCCCAACCTGTTGAAGTTTCTGATCCGTTGAGCATGCATAATGTGTCTAGGAACTTCCAGGGTGCTGAAACCATGATGCAGAACTTTCCAATTCACCCAAATAATGGTCGGCAGTCATTTGAGGTGGCCAGTAAAGTAGACTCCACGAGTAACTCTACAGTTTCTACACATCCTGTCGTACCACCTCACAGCACTAGTCTGCATCCATCATCTCTTCAGACAGCTATTCCTCCTGTATCTACTACTTCAGCACAGATGGAGGAGCCTGTCAAGTTTCAGTTTGGTTTGTTTTCTGGTCCTTCTTTGATACCTTCTCCTTTCCCTGCGATTCAGATTGGTTCTATCCAAATGCCTCTTCCTCTTCATCCCCAATTTGGTTCCTCGCTTACCCATATCCAACAGCCCCAGTCTCCTATCATTCAGTTTGGTCAATTACGATATACATCCCCAATATCCCAAGGGGTGCTGCCACCACCACATCATTCAGTTGTACAAGCGAATGGTTTATCACCTTATGCTTTGAATCAGAATCCTGGATCCTCGGCGACTGTTCAGGTTGGTCAAGGAAATTCGGGTAACCTGATTGCTAGAAATGCAGCAACCTCTGTCTCAAACCCTCAGCTTAGTGTTCTTAGAAGACCGACAAATGCTTCTGATGGGGGCACACTGAAGAATGCTACTATGTCTCCAGCGGGAGCGATCATTGAGGCTGCTGTGTCACCTCAAAAGCAACCAGAGTTTTCTGCTAAGTCGCAGTTACCTTCTCGAAAGATGAGTCATGGAAAATCAAATTTTGTTGAAAGACAATCAGGATACCAAGTCCAAACTGACACCAATGCAGTTAGAAATTCTGGCTTGCGCTCATCAAGTACTGCTGAAGTTTCTCGGGTAGATTCTGGTGGTAATAGAAGATATCGGCGTCAGAGGGTTGAATTTAGAGTTCGAGAATCGAACTGGCCATCTTCTGAGGAGAATCGAAATGGCAATGGAAGGGCACAAAATTCTACAAAAAATGGGAGTAGAAAATATGTTGTGTCCAACAAGTCCCAGAAGCAAGCCTTAGATAGCTCAGTGTCAGGTTTGAATGCTATGCAGGAAACAATAAGTGGGGGTTCATATGAAAATAGACTTGGGAAAGATGCTGTTGTGAAGAATCCGCTCAGTCCAAATTCTGGACAAGCAAACCTTGAAAGGAATATGATATCTGAAAAGGAAATTGATACACCTTTGCAGAGTGGAATTGTTCGTGTCTTTGAGCAACATGGCATTGAAGCACCTAGTGACGATGATGATTTTATTGAGGTAAGATCAAAAAGGCAAATGCTTAATGATCGCCGTGAACAGAGAGAAAAGGAAATCAAGGAGAAGTCTCAGGCATCCAAGGTTCTGATGCATTCTAAAACCTCTAGTGTTCTACTTGTGAATTTTTACAAAGTCTGAAATAGTTCTTACTAAAAGTGAATTCGTTTTCTTGCAGGCATCCCGGAAACCTCGTTCCACTTTCCAGAACAGTACTACTGCAGCCAGGTCAAACACACCAGCTAGCCGAGTTACAAACAATAAGCAATTTAATGCCGTCTCCAACAGACAAACGTTAGCGCCAATTGGCACACCTTCCCCTAAACCAGATTCCCATGCTGATGAAAAATCTGGGAGCAAAAAGTACTTCCTCTATTTGATCAATTGAAATGCTTTAAGTGTTTCTGCATAGATAGCTCCCCTCTGTTTATGTTTTTAACTTTCTACTTCATTTTGTAGGTCCACTCAGGCAAGTAGTGCTCTTCCAGTTATACCCAAAAATGATCAGAATCCAGCGTCAGGTTTAGTATTCAATAACAAAAAGGTGCTGGATAACAGTCATACATCTGTGGGGACTTGGGGAAACCAACTCACCTATCAGCCGGTGAGTATATATTGTTCAAGGTTTCACGAACTTGGGTTCATGTTTCTGAAATAATCCGAAACTGACTTCCAACAAAGGAATGTTTTTGCAAAATTCTTTCTTGGCTTTCCCATGTCTTCTAAGACGTTTATGTTCCATGCGGCATCTCATACTTTCTTTATATGAATTGATAGAATTGGTTACTGAAAACATGAAGAGTAAAAAGTTGTTACGATGAAAGTCATAGTAAATTGAAATCAATATAGTTTTTGACTCATGCTCTACTAGTCAGGGATTACGCCTTTGCTAATTTCTGATGCCTTTTGTTTTACCTTGTAGGTTATGGCCCTTACCCAGAGTCAGCTTGATGAAGCTATGAAACCCGTCTCTCTTATTTCATGTGTTTCTGTTGAAAATGGTGCCAACCGAATTAGTGAGCCAAATTCGACATCAACATCTGTTGTGCCAAAGAACTATACTTTTTCAAGCAGCACGAGTCCAATAAATTCATTGCTTGCCGAAGGCAAGATTCAATTTGGTGAGCTGATGGCCTAGTCACCTCGATTGTCACTTTGAAGTGACTAGTCTTTGCATGTAAATGATGCAACTTTTCTTCTCTATTAGGTGCAGTTACATCTTCCACTGTTATCCCTCCGTGTGGTGGACGTACGGAGAATGATAGCTCTTTATATTTTGAAAAAGATAATAAACATCGCAATCCATCATCCACTGGCATGGAGATTTGTGAAGCAGAAGCCGAAGCAGCTGCTTCAGCTATTGCTGTTGCAGCCATAACTAATGATGAAACTGGTGGAAATGTCTTGAGAACTGTCCCTGTATTACCTGATGACACCAAAATTTACGGAGGAACAGAGATAGATGATGAGGCAGCAAGTGGTAATATTTACTTTCTGTTGGGTTTATGCATATTCCCAAATGGTTATTTATTGTCTGAAGCCATTTCTTTCGCTTTGACAGGTACTGTTGGTGGACAGCCTAGTCGATCAAAAGCTGAAGAGTCTCTCATTGTTTCTCTCCCTGCAGATCTTTCAGTGGACACCCCAGTCTCTCTGTGGCCACCAATACCAAGTCCACACAACTCAAACCAAATGATCACTCACTTCCCTCCAGGCCCTCCCCATTACCCTTTCTATGATGTGAACCCCATGTTAAGAGGACCCATCTTTGCTTTTGGCCCGCACCATGATGCAGGATCAAACCAATCACAGTCCCAGAAAGGTCCAGGAACAGTTTCTGGTCCACCTACGACCTGGCAGCAGCAGAGTCATTCTGGGGTAGATTCGTTCTATGCTCCTCCTGCCGGTTTCACGGGTCCTTTCCTAACCCCACCCGGTACTATTCCTGGCGTTCAGGGCCCTCCACACATGTTCGTTTATAACCACTTTGCACCTGTTGGGCAATTTGGAGGATTGAGTTTCATGGGCACAACTTACATCCCATCTGGAAAACAACCAGATTGGAAACACAACCCAATCGTGTCTTCTTCTCCGGTTGGAGGAGATGGTGATGTAAACAATCCAAATGTGGCCTCTATGCAATGCAACATTGTGCCTGCGTCACTTCAGCACCTCCCCATGCCAATGTTTGACCCATCCCCTTTCCAGGTATTTGATCCCATCATTCTGATTTCCAACAATGCTAAGTAGCATAAAATCCATGGACTTCATATTTATTTTCATGGTGTGGTCAGTCTACTTCTCAGGAGATGCCTGTTCGAGCACGGTGGCCTTACATGCCATTTTCTGGACCTCCAACAATGCAAATGCAGAAACAGCAGGAAGCAGCAGATGGCTCCAATCTTCCAGCACCTCAGTTTAACAACAACATGCTTCCTCCTCCTCCTCTTAATAGATATCCCAACATGCAAGCATCCACAGCTGCAGATGCTATGGTGGACTCCTCAAACGCTTACAGTTCCACCACTTGTGCTCCACCTCCAAAGGCCACCACCACCTTGTCTGATCCCAACAGCAACAACACTCAGAATCCAAATGGTCCTGGCTTCAAGTCACCACCACCACAACAACAACAACAAGGTTCCCAGGGGAAGAACTTGCCGTCTCAGCATGGTGGTGGGTCTAGCAGTCACCAACACCAACACCAACATCAACACCAGAACCAGCACCAGCAGCAGCACAACCGGAGGTCAGGCTTCCATGGCAGAAACCAACCCTTGGCAAGAGAGAGAGGTTTTCCGAACAACCCAAAAGTCAAGCAGATCTATGTGGCTAAGCAGACTGGTAATAGCAACGCCTCTGCTTCCTCTACCAGCACCAGTGCCCCCTCGATTTGATGATTCTTCACTATCCAGGTCTTTTCAGATATATAAACTCTTTCCAATAACCAAACCAGCTTTGGCTTCATAAGAAGATCTGGATTTTCAAAAAAATCAATTTTCCCATACTTACAGTAGTTTTTTTTGTTTTTTTTAATCCTCGTTAGATAATTAGATTTCTTCTTTCTTTACTCGTTTGGGGGGTTTCTTTATATGGGGACTTTGGTATGATGTTGGTAAAATATTGCCGTGAGGTTTTCGGTGTAGAATACCCAATTCACGGCTCCAATGTATCTGTTGTCAACATTATCTTATCTTATTGAAATTAGTTACTCTTATTGAATTATTTACTTTTATGTTTTATATTGGTTGAATCCATTATAGTCCATCAAAGATGATATGCGCAAAGGTTCCAATCTTGAGGACTTATCAAGTAACCAATACGAGCTCCTAAAGTTTTTGCAGTAGACTCATTGCCTCATCAATTCAAATGTATCTATTATACATCTTACAATGATACAAAGATAGACCAAGACTTGCCATTAAGAAAAGCTATAGATAAAAAGAAAGAAAAAAAAGCTGATATCTTCAGAAATATTACAGAGAATTTCAGGCCTCCTCAGTTAAAGAAGTATAACAGAGCTCATCAATATTGTTGAGAACAACAACCTTTCTAGTTACCACCATAAGTTGTTCTCCTCATCATCCTCATGAATTCATCCATGTTAACTTCACCATCATCTGCAGTTTTGGAGTTATGTAGTGAGATCATTTATCTTCTCACTCAAACCAAGCACTGCACAAGAGAAAGAGGAAACAAAGGTTAGGAAACTTACGATCTCGGTCAGCTTCTTCAACCATTTCTCGTATCTCAGCATCAGTGAAATTTTCACCCAAGTCCTTTGCCATGCGTTTGATATCATCTGGAGATATTTTCCCCTGAACATTAGGAGGGAAAAAGGTTAATAATGTCCAGAGAAATTAAGATTGCAATCTTCAAAAGAAGTAATTAAGATTGTACCATACGTACATTTTTGTCAAGATCAATGATCTGGAATGCTTTTGTGAGCTCTTCTTTTGTGTCTCGTTCACCAATCTTAGCAGTCATCATATGAACAAACTCATCAAAATCTATGGCTCCACTTCCATCTTTGTCCACATCAGCTATCATTTGGTTGATTTGCTTCAAAACCAACACATCAGAGTTCGTATAAGAATCGTAAGAAAAAAGAAACAACAAAATCTTAATCGAAAACCCAAAAATAATAATACCTCTTCCGTCATTTCAAAACCAAGCGCCCTAATCAAACGTAGTAAATTCAAGAATCAATTCCTAAAAAAATCTCATAAAAACCAAAATCATTATAAAACAAAGAGAAACATGCAAACTCTAGGTTACCTCATAGCAACATTAAGCTCTTTAGCATCAATGGTGCCAGATCCATCAGTGTCAAACAGCTCAAAAGCTTCCTTAATCTCTTGCCTCTTCTGCGTCGTCAACCCATGATGACGTCTCGGTTTCTCTTTCCTTGAAACACCTCTGTACAAGCTCGACTGCAGTAGTAACATCAAATTCAAAATATTAAAATCTCTGATTCTTTTTTCAACATACTAACAACACAAGGCCGAGCTCAGATAACTAAAAACTAAATTCTCAGCTTAAGACACGACAGGGGTTTCTCATCGAAATCTAACCAAGTGTAAGAAATAAAACAGATCAATATTTTGGCCCTAAAATCTTCAATCATAGAACCCTTAATTTCTACATTCTAACAATCGTTTGATTCCAAAGATTTACAAATCAGATCTTAAAAAGCCAATATCAAATACAAAACTGTAATCTATAGATCCCAGTAAAGTGATAAATATCTACACATAAAAGAAAAGACAAAGAATCAAAGGTACGAACGAACCATCTCCTCTGCTATGAATTCTCCAGATCAATCGATGAAGCAAAAGCAATTTCAATTTGCGCGTCGAGAAAGAAAATCTTACGTTTCTGCTTTTCCAATTTTGCGTTCATACTAAAAAGCGGTAACGAATGGGCCATATGGGCCTAATAATGAAGGCCCATAACTTAACACTGATATATTTGGAAACTTCATCCCAGTTTTAAATCCTACACTAATAAAATCATCATAATCGTTTCCTAGGACATAAACAAAAAGAACATGGACTTTGTTCAACTACGCAAGAATCAAAGTGTTTGTTTAGTTCTTTTAATTTTAAAAGATTTGTCATGATTAAGAATTTAAGATATATAATCAACTTGTTATTAATTAAGATTTATCATTTGGAGTTTGCTTATTTGAGGTCTCTAGTCTTGGATACAAATTTAACTTAAAATTCGTTTTCACGGTCAAAAAAATAATTGCATTCAGATCACTGTGACTTAATAGAAATGTGGATTTATATCTATTGTGTATTGAGTAAAAATAATTTTATTAAAAGGATTCTAAAGAACATAGTAAGTTTAAGTTTCCAAGCAAAAAAAAAAAAAAAAAGTTTTTAAGTGTTTATTTAAAAATAATGGCTCTTATAAACCAGTTGATCGGGAATTTAATAACTATAGGTAGATAAAAATTTAAAACACTCCTTTTCTCTCTCGAGGAGTTGCCCTAGCCGCCGCTCATCACCTCAACAGTTCAAGATTTTTGATCGCCCTCTCCGATTAGCGGCGCTCTTCGCCGTGATTGTGAGAGGGCCCTTGCTGCTCTTCCTTTCTTTGCTGTAGTTGTTTATGTTTCAGTTAGTTCAGTGTTGCGATGAGAAGAGAGTTTGCTCAGCAAAGTAGATGTTCTTCATGGTGAGGCTTGTTCGACGATCTCTGTGTCGTTCTCCCTCCTCCGGTGGTTTTGCAACTGGAAGTTCTGCTGTTGTTAGATCCAGCTTTGGTTGGGTCTCGTAGGTGGATTTTTCTGGATTTGTAGCCTTGGATTCTTGTGGTGCTGCTCTGGTAAGCTGTTATTCTAATCGTTCTTCTTCGCCGTTAGATAAGTTTATGTGACTAGTGTCGGATGCAGATTTTGTTGCCTTCGATTGGGAATTTTGGTTTGTTTCGAGTTCTGATTATGTGTGTTGGAGGTAACGGTTGGAGCGGCCATTTCATTTGGGTCCTGTGAATTCAGAAGTAGGACTTTGGCCCTTGCATTTGTTGTCGCTCATGTTCTTTCCATAGTTTCTATGCCGTTAGTGTTGTGTGGCTGTTGGATTTGTTAGTTTCTCTCAGCCTTCGCCTCTCCTCTCACCTTGTCTCCTCGTCTCAGCCTTTGTGTTCGATCTTTCTCTAAGCAGAAGATTCGTTTTGTTTGACTGTAACGGTAGTCTCCCAAGTATGTCGAGTTATCTTCTTCTTGCTGTTGTTCGATGTGGGAGATAGCTCTCGTATTTTTCGTCGTTCTCTTTGAGATTGACGATTCTTGAGATGTTAGGCCTCGCTCCTTGTCCCTGCGTTCGAGATTTGTTGAGATCTGTTCGCGTTTGGTGGCTTCTAGTTCGACGTTCCTTGACGTACCAACGTCGTCGTCGCTTCCGAAAGCTATGTGCTTGTCGGGTTTTGAAGTCTTTGGTTTCGAGAGATTGGCTCTCTTTGTGATGGGAGGTGGTTGTTGTTATCTTCGGTTTGGCCGCGGGCATCCTTGGTTAATCTCTCTCACTTGTCTCAGAAGAAGAAGTGCTTTGTGCTCTTGGTTCTATTGTTTATCTTAAGGTTTTTGTGGCCGGTTTCTTATGTTCTTAGCTTAAGGTTTTGATTCCTTTCGTTTAGGTTGCAAATTTTCTGTTTTGTATCTTTTTATCTTTAGACTCCCTTTCATAGGGCTTAATGACTCTGGGGACATATTTATCGTCCGCCGGCTTATGTTTCCCTCTTTTGGGCGTTGTATTTCACCTTTGGTTCCACCACAAGGATTAATAAAATTTCAGACGACAAAAAAAAAAAAAACCAGTTGATCTTGGTAATTTTCGAACATGGATTAACTTGGATTAACTTGTTATATACCAATGTTGAAGATGATGACGAGTTTTTGTGATTGGAAAGATATATCTACTTCAATTGGTATTCATGTCAGTCATAAGTTTAATTCGGAACTAATCAATATACGCAAAATCACGTAACTTTATTTTAAATTATTTTTATGAAGCCACCACCACGTACTCGCCCATGGCCATGACCATGCCTGACAAAAGTCAAGACAACAGAATCTAAAGAATATACTTTTTGCAAATTGAGCTCTGTTTGTATATAATAAACAAAACTATGCATCAATCAAATCATGCATCATCATCATTATACAATAAACAATAATGTAATCTATAAACAAGTTTGGGTTCAAGTAACATACATCTTTCATTGGTATTTTACTATTGCTTTCGTGTAATATATTACAATGCTGACTGAAACCTCCACCGACTGTTTGGCTGTTTCAATTTACCTATCCCGTTCCGGAATAAGCCTTTATCCTCACCACGTTTAACAGAGACGCTTTAATTAACGCCGTTATAATTATCATCTCGGAGGTGATTGGTTCACAGTGCACGCCACCACTCTCGCCCATTGTTTCAGCTTCGTCTTCACCGTTTGCGGATCATCGCCTATTTCAGACAAAATTTTATATTTATAATCATTGTATTGTGTGTGTATATATTTGTTGTTGTATGTATAGATTTATACGTACTGGTTCGGTATACGGAGTTGTGACGACTGGTATCGCCGTCGGAGGAGAGTGACGAAGACGACTTGTTTGAGACGGCGTCGTTGTAGCTTTTCTGAACGGCGAAGTAGAGTTCCAACGCGGGAAGCGTGTTGGAAAGTCTCGGATCCGCGATTTTAGGAGATCCGAATCCGAATCCGAGCTCGAAACTAGCTTTGAGCTCGTCGAGGTCTTCGTCGGTCAAGCTCTTTCCTCGGCGGCGATGACGGTGGCGGGAATCATCTTGGCGCTTTGACCAAGCTTCTTCGCGGATTAGATCTGGAGACCAGGAGTGTTGTTTTAAAAGAGAAGTAGAAGAAGACGGAGGCGCGTGGAGGCGACGCACTACCCCCGGCGAGGGGGTGTGCGGTGGAGGAAAGGTTTTACGATCAATGGCTGGTTTTTTGGTAATTAAGCGGAAGATTTTGGGTGAAAAAGTTAAGGAGGGGAGAGAGAAAGGTTAGTTGAAGATTAGTTATAAAGGGAGTGGAAGAGAGAGAGTGTTGCCGACTCAGTGATTTGGGCCGGCCCAATTCATGATAATGACCTTTAGATATTTTTTTATATTAAATTATGTAATATTGTGTACCTGGAAATAACGAAGCAACACAAGTTGGTATTGCATAAATGGTTTAAATACCTGAAAATTTTGGAAATTCTTCTTTTTATTATTAGAATAAGGGTATTTTAATGAGTATAAAGTCTGATACGAAATAGCTTTTATGATGACTTTATGTAAATGAAAGAAAAAAAAAACTAGTGGGTTGATGTAGCTAAACGACCTTAAGTGTTGTAACATCATCATCATCTCTATATAATGTCCTTTCGAGATTAAAGATACTGTTTTTAGATTTTAGCAAACGATATGGATTTGGCTTATTTTGGGATTGTTTTTGGTCCAGTTTAGCTTCTTACGGCGGCCCAATAAACTATCTACTTAGCAGCAATAGACAGCATGCTTAATTAACAGTAGTACTAAACCATACCTAAAGCTGTCTACTGTAATTTTACACTTGCTCATCTTGATCAAGCTATAAGAATTTGGAATCTATGATAAGATCAGTAACGAGATATGATTTGAGTAGAAACAAAGTAGGGATTGGAGAGAGGTCAAGCTTAAATTGTTGAAGATACATAACGTGTAAATCACTAATATTGTCGAAAGGTATCATGAAAAAGATATATTATATTTGTATGGCCGGTTGAACTAACTGAATTTAAATATTACTTTACTGCTTGAACTAGTAGTTGAAACAGAAAGGGTCCAAATTTAGACAATGAACCAACCTCAGCAGACTCATTATGTTTGGACCACAACTACATAGCCGATGCTCATTAAGTCAAAACTCAATGAGCCGGTGGAGTGAAGTGAAGGGTCTTCTTTACTCGTTAGCCTCATTGCCGCATTGAATATATATGTAGGATTGCTCTAACATTTTTTTAATAATACACGGTACAATTTTCAATTTTGTCCCAAAAATATAAACGGTTGAAGTGCAGTTGGAAACATGTATAGACACAAATAAAAAAAATTGAATAAAATATGCAAAAACAGTGAGAAGCAAGCTCACTCACTTTATCCTTCACCAAAGCATGCACGCACGCTTCAACAATGGTAGGCTTTTATAGCCACCCTGACCCTAAAGCTAGAACCTACCAAGAATCGATTTTATAAAGAAAGAAGAGACATGAGATATCGACCACACGAGTGCTTATCATCTTTGGATATGTAAAAGGGGAAAAGTATCTATAAATATATCAAAAGGAGATTGATGCAGTATGAAAAGGAGCTAGCGAATTATGCAATAAAGCTTTCTCATACTTTATGTTAAAAACAACAACAACAACAAAAAAAGAATGCTGCTACATACTTTCACTAGATCGTTTATTTTATTAATTTAGGTTTCGAAATTCATAAAATGTTTAATTATCTCTGTTTGTTATGAAATTTGACTTAGCAACTATAAAAACAACTGATTTGGTCATAAATTATCTCGGTTGTTAATAAAAGTGTTTACATTCATTCTATTACTTAGACTTAGTGGACATATATATTTATGTGTGCTTTTTGTATATCTTATTCTCAATAGACTTATAATTGAAGCTACTAAAAAATGCTAGATTTTAATTATAATTTATAAGAACAAGATTAATGTGTTTATTGTGTGTATCTGTTTAAAATTTCTTATAGCTAGCAACTTGATACATGCACCTACATGCATGCATATATGTTACGGTCTACTTGTTCTCTTAATTATTCGTAAAATTAGCTTATTGTGGAAGGATATAACTAATAAGGTGTTATGCACATGCGGGGGCGGGGGGGGGGGGGGGGAGGGGAGCTTTAATTGGATTAGTTGATATATTAGTATATCAAAAATTAAGATTCATAGCTACTCTATCATTGAAATAATATAGGCATCTTTGTGTAGTTTGATATTATATTTCGAGTGGTTCACCTTAAAATGCGATAAAATCAACTTTTGTTTAATTAACCCAAAAAAAAAAACCATTAACAAAAAAAGTTTTATATAACTTTTTCAGGTCCTCTCATTTTTTATTAGCAAGTAACGAAAACTTTATTATAGTTAAGAAGATAAATGTGACTTGGTTCAAATTATATATATAGGAACGACGATCTATTTCCCCCCAGTAACTTTCATATACGATAAGTTCCACCCAAACTTTCAGCATCTCTCTATGTCTCCCTCGAAAAATAGTTCTACAATTATTTCTCCCCATGTCTACAGTTCGAAACTTACTTATCCACAAAATCGAAGTTCGAAACTGATTTAAACATCGAGTTGGGTTATTGTTGGTTTACTGTAGACCAATCTTATTTTAACCAATAAAAACAAAATTAAACCAATTACAAACCAAACTTAGTATCTCAGTACACTGTTACGCTTTGTTTCTATCTTCTTCTTCTTCGTCTTCTCGTCGCGTTATGAGAGATGGACAAGTGGTGGCAGAGCTTTTGGTGACGATCAAAGAAGCCAAAGTAATCAAGAACAATTCAAATTACGGGTAAGCTACACAGCAGACGACATAACAAATTATTGCAGATAGACATAACACTATTTTGTCTTTTGACCCAAAGAAGAGCATCCAATGCGTTGTTGTATTGAGGTGGGAGTCTATGTTCAGGTGCTAAACAGTAGTTCACGGAGACGATAATCACCGTTAACTCATTAGCCATCTGAGAGCAACAACGGTTATTGGCGGCGGAATTGGCCGGGTAAAGGATCCAACCAAAGCCGTGGAGATGGAGGATGATTGGGAGACGAGCGATGTCGTTATCGTTGGACGGGAGATTGGTTGGTTGGAAAATAGGTACAGAAACACCGGTTTCATGGTGGTTCTTCTTCTCCTTCTCGTTATGTCGATGGTTACGAAGCTACTAGTCGTCGTATCAGTTCCGTTGGATCTAGATCTAAGGTTTGTTTCTCATTCTTGATTATGTTCTAATTTAACTAGTCTAATTTGAACTCATCAAAAAACTTCTTCTTCTTCTTCAGTTATGTACTTGATTGAATCGTAAGAAGAAGATGATATCGATCTAGGGATTTTTGTTTTGGGGATTTTTTTTTTTGTTTTTGAGGTTTTAATCGGGTTAAGGTTTAAGTTAAATTGGTTTATGATTGGTTTAATTTGTTTTTATTGGTTAAAAACAAGATTGGTTTACAGTAAACCAACAATAACCCAACTCGATGTTTAAATCAGTTTCGAACTTCGATTATGTGGATAAGTAAATTTCGAACTTTATATATGGGGAGAAATAATTGTGGAACTAATTTTCGAGGGAGACATAGAAAGACACTGAAAGTTTGTGTGGAACTGATCGTATATGAAAGTTCCTAGGGGGAAATAGATAGTCGTTCCTAAAAATAATTATTAGATTTGATCATAATTCTTTCCTAGCTTAGTGCTAGTAAACTTTTATAATTTTGATTAAGATAGTAATATGATAGATAAATACACCACCCAACAAGTAAACGCAATCACGCAAAACCAACCCCATCATGCAGCTAACAACAAGAGATTTGACATTTTGGTTACGAAGACATTGAACCAAACCAAAGCTGTTGGACCAAATTGACTGATCGATTGTTGTGATTGAGTGGGGACATAGCAACGGTCGATAGAGAGTCGAAGCCACACAAACGGACCAAAATTGTCTACGATAATGACTTTCTTGTAACAACACTTGTAATCCAAAGGATATTGCCATAAATTTCGTCGACATATTTGTCAAATACATAAGGAACATCACGTGAAGTCCGATGTGTTTGACCTTATCATTTGTCGTCTAAAATAATTAGGTTTGATTTGAACTGATTTGGGATAGTCAACTAAAGCTAACATTTAAACATATCTAAGTTGTGTATTCAGCTAGCATTTGAACATTTATATAAAATCAATTATATATAGAGAAAACAAAATGGTCAAAACTACTTATCACTTAACCACTCAAAGAATTGGTATATGTCAACTGACTCACAATGACAATGAAGAGGGAGACTAACTATGTAACATGTTCCTGTCTTCTTTATTTATACATGAAGAAGTAAAGAAGACCAAACCCGAACAATCAACTATTTTAGTAAAAATGTGTAAACTACATATTACTACTAATCTACAAAGACAATAAGATTTGGATGAAACTTAGAATCAGCCAATGGACCACGACAATACATATTTAATGAACTACTTGCAAAAGAAAATGGCCATGGCACCTTCCCATAGATCTCCCAGCAAAACAAAAAAATCATTATAAAGAGTTTTTTGATTTATGTGGTTGGGACAAAAGCGACCCTACATATGTCACAGAACATGAGCTAAACAAGTAAACATATAACTTGTAAATGTTCCTAAACCTTCACAGCCAGACAACAAATACTCCTCACCTTATGAGAAACATTTTCATTAACTCTTACCCATACCTAAGTAGAGTCCAACCTTTCACATCCGCCTGTAATTGGAGTTCATGTATATACAGACGAAATTAAATAGTCAATTTTCTAATAGAAATAAAAATAAGGTATGGTCTTGTCATCGATGATAATCCCAAAAAAAAAATATCTCTTATAAGGTTTTAGTATATTACTACTTACTTACCTACAGATCTGATCCAGCTTCTTTTCTGCTTCATTTTATTTTCTTGTTTTATTATAATGATCACGAGATCTAAGGTTGGAATCCATATTTGTCAAAACCACTCTATAGGTTAATGGATAGCATAACATTAACAATGTTTTAGTGGTTGAATCATGTATCATGTATGTGCATGCCTGAATGGTATAAACACCACCACCAACGGTTGACAAGAAGTATGTATATAAATAGATATAAATAGTGTAAACTTTGGAAATGGGTCGGACACAATTATAACTGGACAGAGCAAGTGGAGTGGTATAGAAGTTTCTTAGCTTAGTTAGCTAGCTTGATTATTTATTAGTA